CACCATCTCCATAATAATTATTTCTCCCGGCCCATCTGCTATCATCGATGATATATATAACATCAGCATAGATGGGCCCACCCGTTGTAGAGACTCGATCCTGGGTAGCCTCACAATGGCACATATTGCAACATAGGTCGAGTCTACAGTATCATGCATGTAACACGACACTTGCGCGATAAACGCGACGTTCGCGCAACGCGCGCGACTTAGGCAACACTTCCGCGACATAGGCGACACTTGCGCGACTTGCGCGCGCTTTAGGCGAATTTTCCCGCGCCTAAGCGCTATAGGGCGCCTGACTTCCCACTGTGTTTTCCCATGTCCAACCAAGTTCCCAGGTATGCATTTCTCCATTTATCATTTATTTCAACATCGTACCATGTTTATTTTCACTTGGTACACATTTTTCATGACACATTTTTTTACTTAACACAACACACATTACCACGGACCACCATCATGATAGACAGTCACCATCTCCGAGTTTTTATTATGTTTTGAATAAATCATCGCAAGCCCTAGTAGCAGTTAGCTCTAGTGGCCATATCCGCATCAGTTGTCTTATCAGCATCTCAGTACACGTCTTAACATCTCACTATCGCTCGCATACCGCTTTCACCCAGTTCCGCTTTTCGACGCGCGACTTTCCCGCGCTTCGCGCGCCTATAGCGCCTTTGTTCCCGCGCTTTCGCCTTATCACGCGCTTTGCGCATTCCCCCTAGAGTTGACCAGTGGATATTTGCTTTCTCCGCTTCCCCTAAGGGACGAACATATCGCACTCATATTTTCCTCCCTTCAACAATTATATCAGCTGCACCCTCAGCTGAGTTGAAGATCCTTCACCGTCTCCATCGGAAATAATATTCCTCCTGGCCCACCCGTCAACATCGGGTATATACATAACATCGGCCCATAATCCGCTGGCCCGTATTACACGGGATATTATGTAGGTTGGGTGACCCGTATAATACGGGATTTGTCACTGAAGGGGCTCTTTATCAGAAGACTCAAAAATCCCTAAGTCCCTCGGCGAGGCTGGGGGCTCGGGGCGTGGGCGATACATTCTCTATGATGCATTGAATTGGAGTCCAAAGAAATATACAGAATTCAAGGTTTGCAATGTACATGCTTGCTCTCTGTTTCAAAGCTCACAAGGCACTAAGAAATTTATGTATGTTGTTATCAGCGATGACCTCACAACGACACAGTGCGCTTCTGCGCAAAGCCCTGCTCAGTTGGAGGTCGTACGGAACAAGGTAACTATGAAACAGCCTCACTGTGCGGGTCAAGGATCTCATGGTATGTTAAGCTATCGACAGGTTCCCAGACCTTGAAGATTATAGCGATTTATGGCCGGTGAACGATATTATCACAACACGACTGAAATACATGTCGCGTCACGTCACGCGGAACTTGAAGGAGCAGGAGATGACTGCGAGTGTTCGAACGACAGTTTTCTGACAACTATGTTTTTGGTATCACAGCTAATACTCCTACAGGAGGACTAATGTACGACTGTATCATTAACCTTCAATGCTCCCTCTGCTGTCGCACTGCACTGACATACTTGTGGTGGTCATAACATTTGAGTAGAATACATATGTAAAGAATGTCCTCCTTCATATGAACAGTGAAACTTCACAAAAGTTTGCTATGTTGTTCTGCGGAGATCTGCACACTTTGCGCGAAACTGCACTGATGGATCGATTGTTCTATCAGTATGGAGTGGGTTGCTTCCTCTTCAATGTAAATCACTCCTCCGCAATTGATCATGAAGCCGATATCTGAAATCACGCCTGTAAAAACGGTGAGTTCTTCAGTGAGGATGCATTAATCATGGAGATCAGAAACGAGATAGTTGTTAAAACGTTAACACGCGTGTATCTGTTCTAGCGAGACATGAGAGGAATCAAGGGGAGTAGGTTGTCATCGTTTCTACCATGCGGTCAACGAGAAGCCAGGGAAATACAAAAGGTGTCGTAATTATATAGGAAGATATTGCGCGTACAAGGACATGATGAGATCGAGGGTAACGCTTGCGGTACCGGGTATCCTGGTCCTTAAGACCGAAGTGGGCGGATGGGAGTTGGTGCAAATTGGGTGCAAGGAGAACCATGGACGAGGGGGAGATGCTGAGCTCGCCCTTCTGACTGCGCGGGTACACCTGTAAATGTAAAGACAAGAGTTCATGATACAGCGGGGGGTATAAACCATGATAGAGTGGGGTGGGATGGGATATGAAGTGCGTCTTCTATGCCGATTTGAGATTTGAACTTATGGCTGTAAATAAATATTGAAGAGTGTTACATTGTTATATAAAAACAGACTCACCCAACATCTCATTGAGCTTACACTCCTGGCGACATGCAAGCATCCACCTCGCACTTTGTGCCACGACGATCGAGCGCAGCCGCACAAGCGGTCAAGTCCACGACTCGTATCGCGTGAACCGCTCGTCTTGACAGTGGATGGAAGCTTGACGCTCTCGAAAATGTCGCGCTGGTGCTTCGGCCTGTAAGAGAATGGGTTACTGAGCATGTAACGGAAGCTTACCACAAGTCGGTCTCCTTCTCTCTTTCGGGAACCGACGCTGGATGAAAAAAGACTATGCGCCATCTAAGTTGTGATCTTTCAGTGTGTAAGAAGAAATGTTCAGATTGACAAAACTTGCCTGATGATAGTGGGAACAGCTGAACACAATGATGATCGCCCGGTTAAAGTGAGGGAAACTGAATGAGTGTTGAGTGATTCAGCGCAAGAAAGACTTGCCTGATCACGCTAAGCAAGTCTTATGAGATTCAGCGCGTAAATGTGGACATCTGGAACTTACACAAAGAAAGATCGTTGTGAGATTCAGCGCGCAAGAAGAACGTTCAAACTCGCACAAGAACGATTGTCTGAGAGTGAGCTGACGAGCGTCTGCTTCCACCAAGTTCGAGATAACAGCAATCGTGGATGTAATAAACCACGACTTCGACTTTGAATGTGTGAGAGGTAAATGGAAATTGATTAGAAATTGACTTACTTCGTACCGATAGAATGAGCGTACGGACTGCTAAAGAATATTCGAGCAGGCCGATGCAGGGATGCATGGTATCATCCTGCCAGGCTCGATTCATCATGCAGCTGTGTAGTGCATTTTCGCGCAAATTTCCGCAGAACGGCGCGCCAAACTCTTTCGAAATTCCGACTCGATTCAATGGTCATCCGACTGCACGTAGAGTTAGACATGGGCAATCATAGAAGGGCGAAGCGCTCACCAATACTAGTCCGGAAGTCTTGGGTTGACTGCAAAGAGAGGTACGACCTGCACGTGGGTAAAGTTAGTTTGTGCAAGAGTTAGTCGACACTGAAAAAGAATGACACTGGTGATGTTAGTACGGCTGTCCGCGATCAATACAAAATTAATGCTATAGTCGCCCTGCCATTCAATGAGGAGTTAAAGATACAAAAATGCGTAAGGATAAAAAAACGTAGTGAGACACTTGTAAGTCAGCATAGCTAGTAAGAGACAACAACCAAAAGGCAAACTAGTGATACTCAGAGGGTATTGGATGCATGAAAACATCCGATGATAAAATAAATAGAGTGAATAGAAAGGCTAAGCAATTGCATTGATTTTACCTTTTCATTTTGCCGCTACCCCGTCTTCCAGATGTGACACGACCACGGACTGGCACACCAAAGCCTGCTTCACTGGCGCCTAGTCCCCTCGAACGCTTGGTGGCTCTCCGAAGGAGTTGGGCTTCACTTTGGGCAGCCTTTCTCTTGCTCTCAATACACCCTTTGGAATCATCTTCATCCACCAGTAGGGGCATGCGATTGCCCGTTTCGAGATAGCGCTGATAACGAACCCGAGCATATTCAAGTTCCTGGTCTTGGGGGTATTGATCTTCAGCAGCGTCGATGCCGTCGCGGATGCGGCGTAGTATCGAAAGCACTCGTTCGTGCGTAGTCGGCGGGGCGTGGTCGCGGCGCACAAAGCCATCGGGACACAGCTTCTTAGAACCCAAGAAGAGACTGCGCAACTCGAGCATCCCGTCTCGTACGATTTCATGACGAATAAAATATGGTGTCATGAGGTTGGTGAAGTCGACGTCAGTCATACTATTCCTCTGCTGGACAATGTCTAACAGTGAAAGCGAGTGCACTCCAGGACGGACCCACGGATAGTACACGGGGCTGACACTTTGGTTGGCAAGGGGGGAAGCAGGACGGTCGACATCAAAGACCTTCCCATACATTTTGACCTCAGCTAAGTGATTGATGAACGAAGGCGTAATGGATTTGTTCGCAGAAAAACGTTCGAGTTCCCCGTCCCAGTCACGACACATGTTGAAGGGACCTGCGCAATTGCAAGTAATGAGGTAGGCCAACCAAAAATAAGATTCAAGGTCGTGATAGAACTCGAGTTCTGAATTCAGCATGGAGGCGTTGGACTCAAAGGGAAGTGTCCCCTTTCCGTCATATCAGTATTGGATGTTGCGTGATACACAAGAAAGTGACTTATGGTGCGTGGCGGGGACGCCCCAAGTTCCAAACAGTCTATGGCAGACCCCCAATCAGATGCCATCCCGTTTCTCATGGGGGTCCACTCTTTTTCTGCCCCTTCAGGACGCGGAGGGACAGTGGACTCGGCGGAGATCGCTTCTACCAGGAACATCGTATTACCATCGCTGACATCGCAATGCAACACATCGCAACATTTATAAGCGTTACGATGACCTAAAATAAACGTTAGAGATAGAAATATGTAGAAAAATATTCAATCTCACTGGTCACGGTGCCTATGATGCTGTGGAACATTTCGCGTGCAGTTCCGAACCACAAGATGTTGACTCCGCAGGTAGTAAAAGATGTGCGGGATCGATGTCTTTCCTCTAGTTGTGATTTTTCTTGTGAGTCGTTGAGAACATTAGCCAGGTCCTGCGATGTCATCATAGCAGCACATATGGAAGTGACCGACTGCAGCACTAGAGATTTGGAGAACAGGCCAATGGAGGGACGCATGTGGTCTTGCATGATAGTTATTCCTGGAAGGGACTTGATATTGTCCCAACAACGGCTGCCAATGTGGCAGTAGACTCCATCCAGCCTCTGGGCACACTCTCTATCCAAACAATCACCAGGATCTTCCTTTCCGATGAAAACCCACTCGTCATTGAGCGAGCAGACAACAAGAGAGTCCCGCAAAGGATCTTGGAGTTTCGTGTGTATTATGTGATCGCTCACTGTTGCTGTTGGATCCCAGCAGTCCTTGATTACAAGAGGTTTTTGATCGAGGGCACTCTCGACGGCAAAGACGCGCGTGCCTTTGCCATGTAGGCCTAACTGCTCATCAAGGGAATACAATATTCGGTGATGCAATAAGACATACCTATCGATCGGTGAAGGTGGCCAACTAGATGGAACTCCGAGTCATCGCATGCCGCTCCGTTTTCCTCTTCATTCTGCCAATACTGCTTATCATCCCAAACCTGGACCGCGGCGGGGAGGAACCAGAAAATATGAATGTCGTATCCCAACCACGAAAGTTCTGCCTCCGTAAAGTAGTTCATGACCTTGGAAAACATTTTGGGATCTGAACTTATGTCAAGCGCTTTGGAGTGAAGGCTTCCGCCGCGCGTGAACACAGACATACAAAGGTTCGTTCCGCATCAGCTGAGACAAGGGAACCATTGACGATGAGGCTGGTGGTGGAACACAAAAGTAGCCTTATCTCCGAGCTGTAGGATGGCACTCATCAAGAGATCGGGGCTGTCTTTCCACTTCACTTCGATGACCGAAATGAGATTGCACCACTTGGCCTCCGAATTGGAAGCAGTCAAGATGATGTCAGGGCTGCGGCTAACTTCCAGTAGAGTCCTGCTGTGTGCCGTCCACAAGCGCAATCCAACATCCACGGGAATGGCGGCACCCTTCTTGAAATGGTTTTTATGCCTGCGACTCAGAATTGTGACCTGAAAATCAACGGTAAGGTTTCGGTGAGTAGCAGCGCCTGCATCACTTACATACCTCATTGAAGAAGTTGCTAAGAAGCCTCTCATAAGTCTTATCGACTGGGGTGCCGACCAGCTCCAACCAATTGCTATGCTGTAATGGCAGGGGAGCTTTCGAAATTGCTGTCCATTCATATGCTCCTTTGTTCTCCACGAGTGCACCACCCGGTCTGGTCCAGCGATGAATCATTGTGTCGCGTTGTGCAGGGGAAATAAATACGTCGGCAATATCAATAAGACAATTATCGCACCAAGGAAGGTCGCGGACCAAGAGAGAACCAATCTCAGCTTTCAGAGCACTATCAATATTTCTGTGCTTCATATGGTGATTCATGTCTACTCCCCAGTGTGACCGTATCTGCAATTGATGGATTTTTCAGCGCAGAAGTGAATTTATCCGCGTGAATGGGCTAGAACTTACTCTTTGGCGAAAGTTATGGCGAGGGATGATGGGAGACGGTGATGGGGAGCTTGGTTGTCCTTGTGCAATGTCATACCCGCTACTGGCTGTGGCTGTGGCTGTGACATCCTGCAACTTCCCATCAGCAAGTTGTTTTGGTCAAGCTTTGGAAACTCACCAATGCCATTTCCCCAGGGTAATCTGAGCAAGGAGAAAGCGAAGCAGGTTCCAACGTTTCAACAGGCGATGCAACGTAAGCAATTTTTGCCCACGGTAATGTGGACTTGATTGATAACAAGAATAGAACGATGGTGTGAGAATCCCAGCTCTCACAATGGATGGACCAGACGAATATATACAAATTGTTATCATGATCGTTAACTTTGAACCAAAGTTTGGTGCGTCTTCTAGACTAGAACAGCGCTTGAGCATACCCACCGTGATCATTAATCTGCAGATTACCCCGAGAAATGCCAACCTAGTATGTGTGAAGCCGTGAACCAAGTGGAAGAGTGGCATTTCCATCCCTTAATGCACGGCTTTGCTGCATCCATAGTTTACCCGCATCACCGCTGCGCAGTGCTCCCCAATGCGGCCTTCCTGCTCTCTGCAACCACGGACAGACTGTCTCCTCAAGTACAAGACACAATCAAATTCAGCGGAATCTGCAACCACAGACGGACTGTCTCCTCAAGTACAAGACATAATCAAATTTAGCAGAAAGAAGTCTTTTGTATGACATCATTACATATTGCCGCGCGCCAAGGTATGTGAACCCGAAATGCAACACATGTACAATACCTATTGTCCAAAATTGCCAGTTATTATTGTTTCTCAGGCGCCGCATACATATAATTGCTTGTTTATCTCCAAAATGTATAGTATGTACTTCATTCAATTCCATGACAACTTTTCTATCGCTCACCGTACGGTATTGTTTCTACCCAATATAGTAGTCCACCTAGCTCAAGATCATAAATGATTCTCTTACATTTCAGCATTGTCCTGCCCCACACCATGCGCAACACTTCAAATGCTATTTCTCCCTTCTATGACCAGGAGCCTAGTGCTCTGCCGCCATTTCCCCCAATGCTCATGGACCAACTCGAACTGTTTGCCAACGTCCACCATCCAACTACGCTTATTGCTGATGAGATCCTGGCTCCCAAAGCAAGTTCCATTGTTGCTACTGTAAGGACGTCGCCCGCATTCGCCCCTGAAATGAAGCTTGCAAAGTGTTCGTGCAAGCGTGGTCACCGTCACTCCTCTCCGTACCCAAAGAGGGTCGCTCGAACTCGCTCCCGTTTCGTGACACATACATCCTCAGATTCACCGGGTTCTTCGAATTCTTCTTCAAATGGCGACTCCTCGACTTCAGCTGTGCCATTATCAGAACACTCAAAGATACCTAAGCCCCCTGGTGAACCTGGGCGCCCGGGGCATGGGGGATACACGCTCCATGAGGCATTGAATTGGAGCCCGGTAACATATACAAAGTTCAAGGTGTGCAATGTATTCACTTTACATTACAAAGCAACTCACTAATCTCTAAGAAATACATGCATGGCCTAATTGATATCCATCTTGAGACGACAAAGTCCTCTTCTGCGCAAAGTCCCGTACTCTTGAAGATCGTGCGACTCAAGGTAAATTGCCTAGATTGTGGTTGTTCATGATCTCACGGCGTAACAGGCTGCCAACGAGTTCCCAGAGCTTGAAAAATATACAAACCTATGGCCAGTGAATGACATGATCATGTCACACCTGAAGTACACCTCAGGTCGTGCCAGGCAGAAACTGGTGGAGATGGCTGCGGGTAAGATCATCTAGGGTAAAGTCTGCAATCTATGTTACTGGGATGATTGCGGCTGATACCTCTGCAGGAAGACTAATCTACGGCATACCTTGTGCATTGACTAATGTCATACTACTCACTGTTATTTGGAGGAACGACGCACTCTGAGTGCTCGATGATGCAGTTATGCCAAAGACACCTAAGACCCCATCCGTTGTTGCAGGGCTCAATGAACGCGCTATGGCGCTTGTTCAGACAGCGAGATGGCAGCAGGACTCATCCAAACAACGTCCGTAAACATTGTAAACAATGTTGATACCTGGGGTCGCGTCGTCGCAGATAGAATAAGAAGGTTTCAAATTGTTGATCAAGCCGCACGCTAAATGTTGTTTTGCAATTATAGTAATGACGTCGCCCACTCATCAACTGTGAGTACTACGATTGTGCACATGTGTTGGCTTCATGCTTGGGCTCGCTCACCCACATGCCGTATGTACCGACGCATTTTAGCTGAACCTTGAGCAGCCCTGCATGCCAAGTGAATGCTTACCCAGACTAAGTCACGATCTGCCTTTCTTCATAATCAACCCCCGTACCAGTTGCATCGGTGAGTGCCCCGCCACGTCTACGATTTCCCATTTCTAGCTCTATGCAGAAGTCGGATGACCATTGAATCGAATCTTTACCCCACTTCCCTGCGTCGACCTACTCATGATCTTGAACCAACATTCTCTAGCAGTCCGTGTGCTTGTTCCTTCGGTACGAAGTAAGTTGATTGCTCGTTCAGCTGTTCTTCCTCACTGTAATCGGGCGATCTCCATGCAACCAACGCTTGACACTGCCTCATCTCCTGAAGGAGCTACCATCGTCCCCGGGGTTGAACTGTGTCAAAACTAGCTTGCAGTGACTTCGATTTCAGGAGGCTTGTTCAGCGTAATCAAGCAAGTTTTACTTGTGTGAGTTTGAACGTTCGGGCGATCATCTCAAGATACTCTGCGAATTTACCACCCTGCCGTCACTAACACGTTCATTATCTGTGACTGCGACTGGGGGCGCTACTCCTCCGGATCCGGCTCTCCCTGCTGAATTTACGGTCCCACTGCTTTATTCTCCCAGCATTACGTTGTATTTGCGTCGTTCAGCAGAAGCACCACGGCATCTTCCTGCTTATGCTTGCTTTCGTTGTATTCACAGTGGACTCGTAATCAAGGTCTATTAAAATTTGTACGTTAGTGGTTCTTTCTGACATCGCTTTTTTGGCGTAAGGAAGCCTTTCAATTTTCTTCCCTGTGAAAAGGTAGCAGCTCATGTCGTCACTGTGTGTAGTCGCCAGGGCAGGTGCTTTAGGACGTCTTATTCCCTCCATCAGATTTCATTTACCAAATATCTTCGAGATCTCTCATGAGATTGAGTCGTCAACTTTCAGCATGGACAGCTTCCCTCTGGTCCTCATCGTGAGTTTGTTCACTAATATCGCATATTTCTGTTGCATTGACGCTCCGTGTACCGGTGAGAAAAGAGCGGGGATTGCAGTCTGTCAATTTGGCATTTTGCTTTGAATTTCCTCCATTCACGAGTTGCAGCCTTGTTCCATGGAAGTGTACAATTTCCTTGGAGTAAATTAGATTAATGGGCACCAACAGCCTGGGAGTCAAAACCCTCACGACCATATGTAAGTTACTATAAGTTACTAGCTTGAGTGAAAGAACATGGGCTCGGCGACTCTGCCCTAAATGCGGCCAGTGATGGAATAGACTTGGTCGGGGATACACTAGTAGATATCGATCGGCGTCTGTTTGAACCATTTCTCTATTGAGTGTGCAATACCTACTAGTATACCTATCAGACATGAATGAGGGGGAAATTAATCTTTCAACTGGTCGCTATCGCTATTGTCATCTTCCTCCTCATTTTCATTACTCTCCTCTGACGCAGACCCCTCATCATCTGGAAGTTCGTCTTCAAAATCAAGCTGTCGCTCTTGTCAGCACAAGAGCTACATAACGTACTGAATCATAAACAACTCTGATTGACTCTTATCAAGCTACAGCTCGGACACGTCGCGATATCCTCGCGATCGGAAAGCTGCTTGCGAGAGATCTCAAAGCGATCGCCGCAGGGACAGGGAAGACGCCTTTTAACTCATCAACGTTGAGCTAGCTAGTGCTATGCTCTGAAGTCGCTGAGTGAAAGGATGGATGATGCAACACTACAGAGTTGTGTATGTTGAGCTCTGTCTTACTAAGCTATGGAGATCTCCGAAAGCTCAAGTCTGGACTTGTGTACAAGTTGTGCGTGCCGCAAGGTTCTGATCCGATCCGTTGCCCTACTACAAGCAATTTACTAGGTATTGCGCACATTTTACGCTACCACTAACTTCATCCATTTAAACGTTTCGTTCGCCATTTCCAACCTCTCAACCTCACACTCAGTAAGACCAGCAAGCCATTTGTTGTCGTAGAGGATCTCAGGTAATCCTATGGACGGTTTTCGTGTTGTCCTCGAATTACCGGGCGTGCATATTCTTTTCAGTGGTTTTGAGCCCTGAGGTGCGAAAATATCATCGTCCAACAACCGTTGGTGATCCACGATATTGAGCTCTCATTCTATCCCACGACGCCATCCCATGTTCTTGACGCGGAGCACGCACTCGAACTCGTTCTCCACGTCACTCTCTTCTGAGCTCATTCCATGGTCTCCCAGAATCTTGACTAGTCTTTGAAGCCACTGCCAGGCCGCGAGGTCCTCGTGCTTTTGGTCGCTCTTCAGCTCGACGAGATATTTGAGAACTTTCGTTCTTCGGACATATTTCTACGGAAGTGTTGGTTATCCTAGACTCGAGTGGGTTTGAAACTGTGGGCTCACATTTCGCCTACGTGTTGATTGACGAACCGCCTTGAGAGTCTCGTCTTTCTTTGTGTTTAACCTAACCTCCACCTCCGCCGCAGTCTCCAATGCTCCCCTGACTGTGACCTTCGGCTGTGCTGCTTTCCACACAGTCCGCAGTCACTTGTAGCATTCCTTCAAGATCGCTTTGTAGTACATATCCAACCTCTGGAATGGCCACCCCTCTTGCGCACACCTCTTCTGCAATTCCTTGAGCAGGAGATCAATAATTTTAGCGTTCCAGGGGGTTCTCGATCCGTTTGCAAGATCAAATACAAGGTTTTGCGGGTCGGGGCCCTGTCCATCTTCGTGTTGGTATGAGTACACGTCTTCATGACTAGCTGGCTGGTGGACTATAAAATCACTGTCTTGAGAGATTTTGAAATTGTCCTTGAAGACACGCCGGACTTCACCCTGTTTCTTGCTCAGTTAGACATCTCCAATGTAGAGTTTTTGCTTACAAGAAGAAAGTCTCATTTGTAGCTCGGTTCTGCAGCCCTTTCCATCTGAACTTCTTGATCCTCTAACTTTTTCCTTCGGGGACTACACTTCGTGGTCACTGGGAATTCTTTATCGATGAATATTTGTCTCAATGCCGCTTCTACGCATTTGGAGACTGAACTCTCTATCATGGACATGGGGGAGGCATCGCCCGGTTTTGATTGCGGTATCTCTCGCTCGATGGTGGGTGTGTCTTCTGCACATCCTTCAGAATCATCCTGCTATATGTTGTATGTTAATAACAGTTCCAGCCGCGTCTGTTACTTACATCCGCTACCAGTGACACTAGGCGTGTCCTGTGTGATGTTCCGCGTGTCTTCTTGATCTGTTTGATTGCATTGAGGCATGGTGTTCCGTCCAGGGGCTTTTGCGGCGTCTTGGGTTGCTGAGCGCTGCTAGGGGCGGGATCTGCATTCATTTCCGTGTCCTCTTGCTGTTGCCTACCACGTCTTGCAAATCGTCTCTCCATATGGGCGAGCTCGCTCTCTCTTTCTGCCTAAAGTGTCTTTTCAGCATTTATGCTCACGAGCCTGAGGTGATCAGATTCTTGCCTTGGATTTTCTCAATTCTAACTGTAGCCTTTGTTCCATCTCAGCGGCCATGGATTTCTCGCGTTCTTCAAACTAGTTTGACGTTATCAGCGATTCTCTGTGGTAGTCATTCTCCCTTCGTCACCTCTTTGTTTTTTCTTGCGATCAGTTCTGCTTCACGCCGTGCCAACTCTAAGGTGACACTGTTACTGACTTCTGCTTCCCGCTGCTTGAGCTGCTGCGCATAACTCTGGCGAAGATCCTTATGCAGGCCACCTCGAGTTCCTTATGAATGTTGGCCAGTTGCGTATCTCGCTCTGTTAGGGCCACTTTCCATTGTTGAATCATGTTGTTGACATCATGGATGTGGCGTGCACGGTCTTCTTCAGCGAGACGTCGTTGTTCCTGAGCCTCATCCTGCAACTGTCACTGATCAGCCAGCAATACGTCCATTGAGCCTCTAGTACGTACTTTTTTGTTCGCACGCAATTTACGCTTCATTTCATTTACTCGTTCTTCTTGTTGGTATACTGTTTTACGCAGTATCTTTGAAAAGTCCACTTCTTGGTACCGACGCTTCCCGAATGGCTGTATGAACCACATGAGCATGTCAACAAACTTGGTTCATACAACCAAATGTACCACTTGCTCATGCTGCGCATCCCACATTTCCCTCTTGTCGACTCGCATCGCGCTGATCGAAGGAAGTTGAATGAGACTGCCGTCCGGTACAAGTTGAATGAAATTGCCGTCTGGTACGTGGTCAGAATGTTCTGTGTCATCGATTCGCATTGTGGCACTGGTTGAGGGTTGAGTGAGATCCGAGTCAGCATCCACAAAGTCCTTGGTATCGCTCATAGTGCTGTCTGTCTCTTCTTGATCAAACAAATCTGCGTCATGGGCGGTTTGTATGTCTTCTGGCTCTGTGTGTCGGTGTGCCATCCTCGTGCTTAAGCCTCCTGACGACTCACGAGGCGATTGGAGACCGAGAGTCACTTCAAGTTGTGGCAGCAACTGGAGACCGAACTCGAAGGTGGTCCGTAGTGGCAGGTGGTGAGGGTTCCAGGTAGGTTTAATCGTCGAATATCGGACTCCTGATTATCTTAAATTACGCAGGTACATTATTGTCCTTCTATGAACAACACACGAAGGTTGGACTGTACAATTATTTCCCCTACCTACCCGGCCAAATAAATAGGTAGGTAGATCCATCCGGCTTGCTTAAGTGCTCATCTCGTACTACAGTTATCATCTCTTCACCTGGAAACCACACAAGAAGAGCGTTCGACAATTGTTTCACAATAGGGATGGTGAATGGCAAACTGTGACAGGCAGTGAGTACTAAGTGAGTCACCAACTTGTGGATGAAATTCGCAGGTCCTAGTAGTATTGTTGCCCATAAAGATGTCTCTATAAAGATACAATGTTATGATAGACAAGCGGGAGCAAGCCCCCCCGAAAAGGGCTATGTCCAACATAGGGTCTTTGACCCCAGAGGACAATAAATTCAAATTAAAAAAAAAAAAAAAAGATACAATGCGCTGTACTATTGTTGTCTCTATCAAGATACAACTTTGTGCTTTACGCTTTACGGTACCATTAGGCTTTACTGGATATTGTCTCTATCAAGATACAACTTTGCACTTTACGGTACCATTAGGCTTTACTGGATACTTAAGCTTATGGATGATCTGTCTTGGCGCGATCAAAACGAGCGCCCAGGAATTGCTTCCGTGAATTGGAAACGGTGTTCAAGAAACCACCACCTGTGATGATTACTACTCGTGACCGTTGGTTTGTCTTCCATTTGTCTTCCATTGTTCCGTCGTCAACGTTTCAACCTCCAAGTCATCCTGGTTCATATCCGAGAATTCATTTTCTCTGATTCATCAGGCAAGCTTTAGTCGTCCCGTCTCCGGGATGGGTCAAACGATTGTCTTTATTATTAATGCCTCGCTGATGAAAACAATTACTCAGAGCGAGTTAAAGCGAATGCTCTTGCGGTTCGTTGAGTTCAAACGTTCAATCCTTTCTACGTGATGGGAAACTCAATAAGCATTGTCTCTGGTCGACAACATGTCTGCCCAGATATTCATCACGTATGTCTATTTCTTCTCATTCATTCGTCATCACTCAACGATTTCTTGGTTCAGTCCTGTGACTTTCCGTCAATGACCCATCCCTCTGCCTCCACTGGCAGTGTGAAATTTCCGTTTACCTCGATGGTGAGGCTCTTCACACGGAAACGGAAACCAACCTCTTGGCTTAACTTCTGTTCCGCAGGATATTAACCCCTCAGCTCGCTTTCAAGAGGGTATCGCCATCCAAGACAGCAAGGCACTCACATCATGCGTTCTGCCGCCTGAACGCAATGAGCAACCTGTCAAGGTAACTGCGTGTACTTAATATGACTGACGCGTATGCTGATCTCAATCCCAATCAAGCGCAAGATGGAATTTGCTGACCCTGCAACCCCTTGGAAGCAACGAATACTGGAATCATTTTCCACAGATGGCGTACGTCTTGTCGCTACGGTAGATGCTTAATTCGTGTGTTGGTTTGTCGGCGCTAACGAAGTTGTAGCCCATGAAAATGATGCATCACAACACGGATATTACTAGCCCTGCTGCAAAGTGCTTGTATAGGGAGGCGGTAAGCAAAATCAAATACACCTTGACTGTCTCCACTGATCCGGGGGATAGTCGGGCATTTTCTTGAAGTGTAAAGCGGACGCTCAAATAGATCCCTTTACGATCAAACACATAAAAGTTGATGAGCCGCCGCCTAATGCCAGAACTTTCATTTGGTCGCTACCCGTGGAAACTCTCAGTGCTATCGTCAGTCTACTGAGAGTGGAAGATCTACACACTCTTACCCAAGTTTCTTCTTGACTGAGGGAGATAGCTGGCCCTATCTTCTTTGCTAACAGGAACTTTTCAACTTCCCCGGAAGACACGTGTTACCTGCATGTCGACTCGCCCAATTTTGACGTTTTGACGACTTGGAGACGAATGGATACTTTTCGTCCACCACGTATGGTGTTGAGCTGGATTGATGTTGATGTACAACCTGCACAACTTTCCGCGTTTTTGGACTTCCTGCAATCCGTCCCCCGAAATCCATACGATTCATCATGCTCTTCTGGAGTTTCGACATTCTCTCGTCCCTAATTTTCCCTCAGATAATCAATTTTTTGGAGAACATTCGTGCTTCAAGCTGTGAAGAGCTCACGTGCATGGGATTATGCCGTGACAAAGGCTCATCATCCATCGGTGGGCTCACTAAAATCGAGGCTGCACCCAGCTTCAAACGGCCTGAAATGCTTCGACGCATCATCGCGGGTGTTCTTTTCTCCTCAGCTCCTTCCTTTCACGATGCAGACAATCCATTCATCCTCGTTGGAGAAGCTAGGATTACGTCGCGTGGGTCTCAGTCCTGCGCAATGGGACAAACTCCTGCGGTATTTATCCATGCCAATGCTCATCAAATTACAGGTTGATGCTGATTGTGCACCGGGCACGCTGATACAGTTTTCTGGCCCGCCATCCTGACGTGAAAAGTCTACGTATTACTCCAGGACCTGCTGTGTCCTGGAGGACCCCTCGCCGGGCCACCACTCCTATGATCCTTTCTATGTCTGTGTTAGACAGACCTTTGCCTCACATTCTTTCCATCCTTCGCCAGCATCGTAAACCACCATCCCTCGAGTCCCTTAAGATTTTATTGCAATCTAACGACGCGTCGCCTGATTACATGACTGCAATTTTGCGATGTCTTGAGCATTGCGACAGTATCGGATATCTCGCACTTCACTTGCCTGCGCAGAGTCATCATCGGTCGAAAATGATGTGTCACCCAGACACTTACTGTGCGGTCCCGGTCAGACACTTGGAAATATTGTACTACTCACCCGAAGCCTCAGCCCAGTCAGGCACTGATTCGGCAGGAGACCCGCTGGTAATTATATTCATTTAATGTGACTTTTCATGCTCATCGTGGTTCCAGGCGTTGTCTGCACCTTGGATTGGGGCCTTTCCTAAAACCAAGCACGTCAGCATGCGAGGTGAATCGACCAGGACTGTCATGGATCTTGTCCACTCTATACGCAGTTTTGTGGCAAAGGATGTCCAAGTGTCTGTGCAACTGCAGGACATTCCTTGGTGAGGAACAAGAGCTGGCAGACTAGCGGAGCAGTGTTCAAACCCCTAATTGTTTATATGTTGGCTGCGACTGACTGACTAGCACTAGTAAATATTGTACTTGACGAAATATTGATTACTGTAATGCAGTGTGGATTTTTACATGGAACTCATAAGCGCGTCTTCAATGCAAATCACTCCTCAACAACAGAAGTATTTCCGACGGCTCAGTGCCCGAGTTATTTTCACACCTGTAGACACGGCGAGTTCTTAGCAAGACACGAGAGGAATCAAAAAAGTAGGTCATCATCGTTACTATCAACGGTCGACACAGTAAAAACGCGGTTAACGGGAAGCCGGGGAAATGCAAATCACTGTGGGTAGTAGAATCAATTAATTTAAGTGCCTTCATCACTGGTCGCGGAAATTTTCAGCAGGTCTGTCACTGAAGTGGCACTCAAGTCTTTTTTAGTGAGAATAAATCATTTGAAAATTCCATTCACTTTAGCGCTCAACACTTAAAGATCAGTAGCTTGGGCATTGACCATGGAAAAAGTAAATGACGAAGACACTTATTTTGAAGCTAAACAAATTGCTCATTGTAGCAAGAGTGGCGAGAAGCGAGGGTGTAGGAGGAGTCTTGCTCTCTGTACGGTGAAGTGTGACGATGTTTGGATGTGGGGAGAGGGATTGGTGGATTGTAATTTCCGTGAGCTGCGCTGTAAGAGCGGCAGAGTCGAGGAGGTGGAATTTCTCTGTGAAGACTTCAAACAGGCGAGCAGAGGCGGTGCTGTATGCGCCGTCGATACTGTGTTCCAATCCTGCGATATCGCTGTACTTGAGGACTATGAGGAAGCATTAGTTCAGCATGAAAGTGAGTGTAAGCGCAGAACCCACTTCCGCCCGTATTGCTCATCTTCTCCCTCGTTGCTACCCAATCCGAATCGTGACAACTGTACCTGATAAACATCGCAGGCACCCTTGACACAAACGCTCATCATGCGCATACGGAGACGCCATTCTGTTATCCAAACATCGAGGCGTTTAAGGGTGAGGCCAGTCTCCTCTCCTGCTACAGTATCCGATTGCGAGCCTGGAGCTGAGTTGAATGTGTTGCCCATCTGAGACTCTAGAACGGCAATGAGTCGGTAATATTCGGTAAGCAGCATCTGGAGGTGATGGCAAAGGCTTTGCTCGATCATGCCGACAGAAGGACGATCTTGTGTGCTGACGAACGCAGCTATGCGCGTGTAGAGATGGCCGAAGGGATGATATATTTCTGTAAGTATGATTAGCACAATAGGACATTCATTTAGGATTGCTCACAGAATCTTCGATGACCGTCAACAGGGCCCTTGAGAGAGGCAAGAGAAGGAATAGAAGAAGCGGTAGCAGCAGGCATTTCTAGTATCTGAACCGGCCATAAGCGCACAAAAGAAAAGAGCGCAAGAGTATGAAAGTACCTTTAGTAGAGACACTGAAAGTATCGCGACAATGAAGATAGAGAACGCAAGTCTGAGAGTTGAGCTTTCCAGTGAATCCAGCCGAAGAGCAAAGTGCCATTAAGTGAACTACTGGGCGGCGCAGGGTTCAGAGCAACTCTGGACGCCCTGGCCAAGGTTTGCTTGATGCGATGGTTACTGACCAGGGTTCAGAGCAACTCTGGATGCCCTGGCCAACCCCATGCACAAACCAAGTTCACAGACACTTGCCTTCAGAGGATCCGCCGAAACCCAAATGAAAAAAAACGGTTCAACAGGGCGCAGCGCACACCAAAGTTCGTCCAATACAGGAAATCTCCACTTGTATTGGTTTTGAGAAGTTACTAGGAAGCCTGTAGAACATCTCAAGTCAGCATGTCTTGAATACATATGTGAGACTCACTCGCACTCAACAACCAACCTCGTTCCGTTCGAATACGCCGTGGCCCATCCAGAGGAAAATTCGTATTGAACAGGTAGGCATGCGCTTAAGAAATCAGTAGAAAAGCCTAACTGACTGACTTCGAATATCGTTGCAACTCCGACGGCCATGAAGTATGGCTATGGCTAGTAGTAGATATATCGATAAGCTTTGATGATCAGGCAAGTTGTGCAAGTCTGAACACGAATGTTCTGAACATTGTTCTAACGCGCATCGCCGAGCGCTTGTCCGATGCTCCGGCTTCAATGTAGGAGGTTTAAATTGTTCGTCTACGTTATTGAAGTTCTTGTTCTTTAGTATCCCTTGTGCTTTGTATGGCTACTACGGCAGATCCACCATAGTTGTTCTTTTGCACTTAAAAGATCTTGATTCTTGAAGGAGCTCCGACCTCACAACTCCACGATTCATCATCTGCATCGGCCTTCCAGTGTCAATTCATCACGTGGTACATACTGTAATACTGTCTCCCATTCCCTGCTAGCCGATTCTGATATAGAACTCCAAGATTTTCAATATTCAGTGCAACGCAGTCTCTTCATGCCCGCAGCGCGCCCAGTTTTCAAACAATGTACCTGTGAGGAATGCATCGAAAAAGGTGGTCGCGATGAGAATGGCGAACCTAAAGGACTGCCTGTGGCAGAATGTCTCATTGCAGCTCATATTCAGCGCGTTCGAGCAGACCGCTCTGGGCGCAATAACGCTGGCGCAGATTTAGTAGCCTCTCGGCTCTCCGCCCTCGGGGACACATTGTCTGTCTGCACGGTGACCGACAACCTTGGTCACTTGACGCTGAGCGAGGACATTCCGGACATTCCCACTCCTGTAGAGTTCCCGGTACATCCAGAACTGCGCATTCCCGCTCCACCAGTGTCTGTCCATACCTTGACGGATGAACTTGAACGGCTAGCATTGTCGGATGCTTCTATTGCAAGTCATCGCAAGAGCGAATTGATATGACTGGACATCGTCGGGTCCTCCAAAGGCACAACAGCCAGCAAACCGTGAAAGCCTTGAGGCTGCTTGATAACATCGAGTCCCGTGTGCAACGGTGCTTTTTCTTGTTGTCTGCCGGTAGTTTTGATGCCATTGGTCGCGAGCTTCCTTTGCTCCGTAAGGCTGCGGACAATGTCAGTCAAAAGGCAGACATGGTGAGATCGCGGAAGGACACAATCATATCGCAGATAGACAGCTTAGGAGCCCAGTTTGAGAGTCGCAAGCCCTTCACTACCGACTCATTGAACCCAGTCGAATTTGATGCCGGTATGGTTACCGTCATGACCATGCACCTATTTTGACCAATTTGCAGATCTTACCGAATCCCGAGTAAACCGCTCTGACGAAATTGCCCAAGTCGTTTTGTTCTTGTGTGTAGCATGCAAGGTCTTCATGGGCATCAGTAGGCGCAGCTGTGATTTCATCCTGGGAATCATGTCAATCGTGCTGTTCCTCGCATTTCGGAAGTCCGATGGCACCCTTAGCTTCTCGCATGAACATGTGTTGAAGCAAATTCCAATGACTGTCGATCGCACGCTCACCGACTTCCATCTCACGGGGAAAACTGTCACGTATGCAGTCTGCAGTTGTCATTATACTTATGCCCCGACTTACGCAGACGGCTCGGCTCTTCCTGTATATCCTCAACGGTGCACACATCGCCCTACCCCAGAGGCTGAATGTGGTGAGCCGTTACTTGAACCTGGCCCCAATGCAGTGCCACGCCCAAAGAAGACCTTTGTATACCACAATTTTAAAGACTACCTCGCTGGTCTTCTCTCCCGTGCAGATATCGAGGTCGCAATGGATCAAGCTTGTGACGATCTGCAAGATTCTACAAACTCTCCAAATCCGCCTTTGGTTCATGATGCATTTGAAGCCCAATTTCTCCGTCAATTTCGCGGTCCAGAGCCAGGTTCATTGTTTATCGATAGAGGGGAGGAAGGGCGTTATGTCTTCGCCCTTCATGTCGATTTCTTCAACCTGGAAGGCATGAATTTACGCGGTGCCAATACATCCTGCGGGATAATCTCGATGGCGTGCTTGAATTTACCTTCGGAAATCAGGTACAAGCCCAAGAACATGTATATTGCAGGCATCATCCCCAGTCCGAAGCAGCCATCCCTTGAAAAGCTTAATCACTACATCCGACCACTTGTCGATGACATGGTCGATGCATGGGAACATGGTATCAAATTTTCTAAGACTGCTCGTTATGCTACTGGCCGGCTTACTCGCAGTGCAATTGCACTTGCTGTTTGTGATCTTCCAGCCGCACGTCATCTCGCTTCCTTGGCTGGGATTGGTAGCCACTTTTACTGTAGCGCATGCAAGTGCTACCACAAGACTACATATGGTAGAGTGGATTTTGAGACTTGGGAGCCTCGTGATAAAGAAACACTTCGGGAGTTTGCTGAGCGGTGGAGGGATGCTGAGATGTCCTTTGAACGCGAAAGGCTATTCAAGTCTCATGGTGTGCGCTACTCAGAGATGTGGCGTTTGCCATACTGGGATCCCTCGCGTCAACTTGTTATCGACCCAATGCACTGCATTTTAGAAGGCTTAGCACAACATCACTCCCGCAACCTCCTTGGTTTGACCACAGAGACCCGCTCGTCGAAGTCAGTCCTTCCAGCGTTTTCATGCAATTTCGGCGCAGTGCCGGAGACGATGTCCACCAAGGAAAAGACACAGGTCTCCGCTATACACACCCTTCTCGTTTCCCAACTCCCTGCTATTTCCAATGATGACCTGGACGAAGAATTTTCTAAACTAAAGAATTTGTTGTCCCGCAAGAACACTGGATCTCTCAAGTTTGTTTGCACTGCCATGGGATGCACGCCTCAGGAAGCCGGTGGATTGTTAAAAATGGACTATGTCAAAGCTCTTGTTGAATGGGTAAGCTCTTTCATGTGTTCCGAAATCTGTTTAATTTCTTATTTTATTTTCAGCGCCGCGAAAAACCTTTTGTTGCTCCACGGGAGGAACATCGGTTTGGAACACTAGATGTTCTTCATCACATTCATGATGTCATCCGGGATATGTCCGTTCCGTCTTGGTTTGGGTCAGTTCCTAGTAATTTCGGGGAGGCATCCGCCGGGACCATCAAAGCTGACGAGTGGCGTTCTCTTATTACTGTCTACATTCCCATTGCCCTTGTGAGCTTGTGGGGAGCTGGCACCTCACATCTGTCCGACGACGTCACCATTCGGCTCAGAACCGCCCTCGATCATACTATGGAGCTTGTTTGCGCAGTGTATCTTGCGTGTGCTCGAACAATGACCGCAGAAAGGGCGCATGCGTATTGCTCCCACATCGCTGAGTATATAGGAAATTTGAAGAAGGTTTACCCCAACTTCACTCTGCGTCCAAATCACCACGCTGCCTTCCACATATACGACTACCTACTCTCATTTGGCCCAGCCCACTCATGGTGGTGCTTTCCTTTTGAACGTTTAATCGGAACGCTCCAGCGTCTTCCAGTAAATCATAAGTCAGGTGGGTGTTTTCCAAAACACTAGAGACGGCGAAGACTGATTTTTCAAGGCGAGTTGGAGACTACAATGTTAAATTCGTATATCAGGGCTACGAAGCTTCGCTGTTGGCTCAGTCGACCAGATTGTCCGCCAGTGATTCGAGAGTGTAAAGTTCTGTTCGACAGAATGTACGCTCCAAAGAGCGCCACGAAATCCGATGAAGAGCTTGCTGAAGATCCTTTCGATGACAGCGTACATGCACCTATATCCGCTACAGCCACTGCTGTGCCAGAAGACTTGTACGCACTCATTAAACGTCGGACGGCGGTATTACGTGCAAGACTCAGATTCGACGGAGTTATCTACAGTAGGGCCTCTACGCACGTTGGGAACAGTCAGGTTTTCTTTTATCCTCGGGGCGATTGGTTATCGTCTCCTATCCCCGGAAGTATTCGTCATATCTACGCTTCACCCGCAGGTGAACTGGTGCTTGCTGTACAGAGATATATCCCCCTGGGTCGTGACGACCACACTATCGACCCATTTGCTATGTATCCCGGGTTTCCGGCAAAATTATACTCGTCGAGCCTCAGTTGTCACCTCGAAAGCATCAAGGTCGCTTGGGTAGTGGGTCACTTCGCTCGATGGAAAGTTTCGAGTGACCAGGCAGTCATTCTATCTCTATGTCGGGTAAGTTACATACCTTTCGTATCTGCAGTTATCTGACGGTGAAATAGGGTTGAGCATAACCGATTTGCTTCTAACACCCCATCATTCTGCTCATGAAAATGTGAATGTCGCGACCTCTTCCATATCATCCATCTTCACATCTTCATTCACACAATGTATTAGTATCTCAAAGCTACTCACAAGGATCACGAAGCTGGCTGCGGACGGCGAGTAAAAACACGGTACGCGAGAAGCTGGGGAAATGCAAACGGTGTCTTGATTATATAGTACAACTGTAAATGTATATAGTACAAAGATAGTTGTTAAAACATTAACACTCATATATCTGTTCTAGCGAGACACGAGAGGAATCAAGGGGAGTAGGTCGTCATCGTTTCTACCAATGGATGCAAACAGTGTCTTAATTATATAGTACAACTGTAGATGTAAACACAAGAGTCTCGTGATACAGCGGGAGTATAAACCATGATAGAGTGGGGTGGGATGGGATATGAAGTGCGTCTTCTATGCCGATTTGAGATTTGAACTTAAGGCTGTGAATAAATATTGAAGAGTGTTACATTGTTATATCAAAGCAGACTCACCCAACATCTCGCCGACCTCATACTCCTGGTGACATGCACACTTCCACCTCGCACTTTGTGCCACAACGATCGAGCACAACTGTACAAGCAGGTCAAGTCCATGACTCGGATCGCGTGAACCGCTCGTCTTGACAGTGGATGGAAGCTTGACACTCTCGAAAATGTCGCGCTGGTGCTTCGGCCTGTTAGAAAACGGCTCACTGAGCATGTGACAGAAGCTTACCACAAGTCGATCTCCTTCTCTCTTTCAGGAACCGACGCTGGATGAAAAAAGACTATGCGCCATCTAAGTTGTGATCTTTCAGCGCATAAGAAGAAATGTTCAGATTGACAAAACTTGCCTGATGATAGTGGGAACAGCTGAACACAAGATGATCGCCCGGTTAAAGCGAGGGAAACTGAATGAGTGTTGAGTGTTGAGAGATTCAGCTCGTAAGAACATTCAGACAAGCGCAAGAAAAGACTTGCCTGATCACACTAAATAAGCCTTCTGAGATTTAGCACGTAAGAAGGAATGTTCAAACTGACAAAACTTGCCTGAAGCGGGGAAACAGCTGAACACGAGATAATTGCCCGGTTCAATTGAGGGAAGCTGAATGAGTATTGAGAGATTCAGACTCGCGCAAGAAAGATTGGACTCCGCAGGATGAAAAAGACTTATGTGTGATCCATTTAAAATCAGAAGGGCGCAAGAGGCATGTTCAGAATTTATGCAACTTTACCTGATCACAGTTGGAAACAGCTGAACAAGCGTTGTGTGGTCCAGCGCATAGGAAGAATATTCAGGCTTCCACGAGAAAGATTAGCTGATCATAGCGAGGGGGAGAGGATGATAATTCAAGTGAAGATGATGGATGTCACGCACGTTGAAGATCGATCAAGCAGGCTTTCCTCTGATTCCGAATGTGAGAGATAAATGTAAATAAATTGCATCGTACCGATAGAACAAGCGTACGAATTGCTAAAGAATATTCGTAAACGAGCAGGCCGACGCAGGGAAGTGGGGTATCATCCTGCTAGACTCGATCATCATCATGCGAAGACTCGATCCGCTGGATTTTATTGGGTCTTGTAGTTGAGGAGACGGTCTGCCGGTGGTTGCAGAGACCAGAGCACGGTTATTGTAGAACGAGGTTTGGTAGCGAGCGTCGTTAAGCGCGTGTCAATGCAGCCTGAAGAGCCTCGATTATGGACTGCGGTGGCTGGTTCGGAAATGCTGGGGGCGGAGTGGAGGGGGATGAAGTATGGGTTCTGGCGAGGGAGGATAATGCGCGGGTATGAAGGGCGACAACGGAATTCGACTTGACCAACACGAGTGACCCTTATGTGAGACTGCTAGAGAGGTGGGGCTCGTTATTGATGGGATGTATTGGGCATAGTCTGTGATGCTTTGGAGGGTATAAAAGTCAGGTATGTGGAAGATGACAGGTGAGGGCTCGGGGTTGGTTGTCAGATGTGATAGTAATTCTGGGGGCACGATGGTGGATATGCTGCATTTGCAACAAAATTGTGAGCCACGGTTCTTCAAAAGTAAATTAACACGAACTTTAAGGGATGTGTTTTAGAGGTCTTGATGGGCATGCTACAATGTGAATTGGAGGAGAGCGGGCTTGCACGGGTGTCAAGGTAGCCGAAACAAGGGTGTCGTTTGCAGGGAACAATATTGGGTCTTGTAGTTGAGGAGACGGTCTGCTGGTGGTTGCAAAGACCAGAACACGCATCGGGGAGCACTGCGGTGATGGGGCCAAAGCCATGCACTAAGGGACGGAAACACCACTCTTCCACTTGTTTACGGCTTCACATACTAGGTTAATCTGCAGAGGGTACTACGCTTAAGCACTGTTCTAGTCTAGTTTTCTTGAACAACGTTTTGAGAAGACGCACCAAACTTTGGTTCAAAGGTAACAATCATGATAACAGTCCTTCAAGCTTCAAGCTTGAAAACTTCATGGACCGTCGAGTTTGATCAATTCCGCAGTATAATCTGTATATATTGTCTGCTCATCGCAGTCAATTCATTGTGAGCTGGTGAAAAGAGCTGCAGCTGAGATTCTCACACCGTCATTCTATTCTTGTTATCGATTAAGTCCACATTGGCGTGGGCAAATATCGCTTACGTTGCAAAGCCTGTTGAACGTCTCCCGCTTCGCTTTCTCTTGGGAAATGGCATCAGTGAGTTTCCTTGACCGCCGGAAGTTCCAGCTTACTCATGGGAAGTTGCAGGATGTCACAGCCACCGTGACAGTCAGTACCAGTACTAGTACTACCAGTAGCGGGTATGACCTTGCACAAGGACAACCCAATATTTGTTTCTCTCCATGCTCATCCCCGCCTCCCATCACTCATCTCCATAACTTACGCAAAAGAGTAGGTTCCAGTCCATTTCCGCGGATAAATTCACTTCCGCGCTGAAAAAAATCCAATTGCAGATACAGTCATATTGGGGAGTAGACTACTATATTGGGTAGAAACAATACCGTACGGTGAGCGATAGAAAAGTTGTCATGGAATTGAATGAAGTACATACTATACATTTTGGAGATAAACAAGCAATTATATGTATGCGGCGCCTGAGAAACAATAATAACTGGCAATTTTGGACAATAGGTATTGTACATGTGTTGCATTTCGGGTTCACATACCTTGGCGCGCGGCAATATGTAATGATGTCATACAAAAGACTTCTTTCTGCTAAATTTGATTATGTCTTGTACTTGAGGAGACAGTCCGTCTGTGGTTGCAGATTCCGCTGAATTTGATTGTGTCTTGTACTTGAGGAGACAGTCTGTCCGTGGTTGCAGAGAGCAGGAAGGCCGCATTGGGGAGCACTGCGCAGCGGTGATGCGGGTAAACTATGGATGCAGCAAAGCCGTGCATTAAGGGATGGAAATGCCACTCTTCCACTTGGTTCACGGCTTCACACATACTAGGTTGGCATTTCTCGGGGTAATCTGCAGATTAATGATCACGGTGGGTATGCTCAAGCGCTGTTCTAGTCTAGAAGACGCACCAAACTTTGGTTCAAAGTTAACGATCATGATAACAATTTGTATATATTCGTCTGGTCCATCCATTGTGAGAGCTGGGATTCTCACACCATCGTTCTATTCTTGTTATCAATCAAGTCCACATTACCGTGGGCAAAAATTGCTTACGTTGCATCGCCTGTTGAAACGTTGGAACCTGCTTCGCTTTCTCCTTGCTCAGATTACCCTGGGGAAATGGCATTGGTGAGTTTCCAAAGCTTGACCAAAACAACTTGCTGATGGGAAGTTGCAGGATGTCACAGCCACAGCCACAGCCAGTAGCGGGTATGACATTGCACAAGGACAACCAAGCTCCCCATCACCGTCTCCCATCATCCCTCGCCATAACTTTCGCCAAAGAGTAAGTTCTAGCCCATTCACGCGGATAAATTCACTTCTGCGCTGAAAAATCCATCAATTGCAGATACGGTCACACTGGGGAGTAGACATGAATCACCATATGAAGCACAGAAATATTGATAGTGCTCTGAAAGCTGAGATTGGTTCTCTCTTGGTCCGCGACCTTCCTTGGTGCGATAATTGTCTTATTGATATTGCCGACGTATTTATTTCCCCTGCACAACGCGACACAATGATTCATCGCTGGACCAGACCGGGTGGTGCACTCGTGGAGAACAAAGGAGCATATGAATGGACAGCGATTTCGAAAGCTCCCCTGCCATTACAGCATAGCAATTGGTTGGAGCTGGTCGGCACCCCAGTCGATAAGACTTATGAGAGGCTTCTTAGCAACTTCTTCAATGAGGTATGTAAGTGATGCAGGCGCTGCTACTCACCGAAACCTTACCGTTGATTTTCAGGTCACAATTCTGAGTCGCGGGCATAAAAACCATTTCAAGAAGGGTGCCGCCATTCCCGTGGATGTTGGATTGCGCTTGTGGACGGCACACAGCAGGACTCTACTGGAAGTTAGCCGCAGCCCTGACATCATCTTGACTGCTTCCAATTCGGAGGCCAAGTGGTGCAATCTCATTTCGGTCATCGAAGTGAAGTGGAAAGACAGCCCCGATCTCTTGATGAGTGCCATCCTACAGCTCGGAGATAAGGCTACTTTTGTGTTCCACCACCAGCCTCATCGTCAATGGTTCCCTTGTCTCAGCTGATGCGGAACGAACCTTTGTATGTCTGTGTTCACGCGCGGCGGAAGCCTTCACTCCAAAGCGCTTGACATAAGTTCAGATCCCAAAATGTTTTCCAAGGTCATGAACTACTTTACGGAGGCAGAACTTTCGTGGTTGGGATACGACATTCATATTTTCTGGTTCCTCCCCGCCGCGGTCCAGGTTTGGGATGATAAGCAGTATTGGCAGAATGAAGAGGAAAACGGAGCGGCATGCGATGACTCGGAGTTCCATCTAGTTGGCCACCTTCACCGATCGATAGGTATGTCTTATTGCATCACCGAATATTGTATTCCCTTGATGAGCAGTTAGGCCTACATGGCAAAGGCACGCGCGTCTTTGCCGTCGAGAGTGCCCTCGATCAAAAACCTCTTGTAATCAAGGACTGCTGGGATCCAACAGCGACAGTGAGCGATCACATAATACACACGAAACTCCAAGATCCTTTGCGGGACTCTCTTGTTGTCTGCTCGCTCAATGACGAGTGGGTTTTCATCGGAAAGGAAGATCCTGGTGATTGTTTGGATAGAGAGTGTGCCCAGAGGCTGGATGGAGTCTACTGCCACATTGGCAGCCGTTGTTGGGACAATATCAAGTCCCTTCCAGGAATAACTATCATGCAAGACCACATGCGTCCCTCCATTGGCCTGTTCTCCAAATCTCTAGTGCTGCAGTCGGTCACTTCCATATGTGCTGCTATGATGACATCGCAGGACCTGGCTAATGTTCTCAACGACTCACAAGAAAAATCACAACTAGAGGAAAGACATCGATCCCGCACATCTTTTACTACCTGCGGAGTCAACATCTTGTGGTTCGGAACTGCACGCGAAATGTTCCACAGCATCATAGGCACCGTGACCAGTGAGATTGAATATTTTTCTACATATTTCTATCTCTAACGTTTATTTTAGGTCATCAGTAACGCTTATAAATGTTGCGATGTGTTGCATTGCGATGTCAGCGATGGTAATACGATGTTCCTGGTAGAAGCGATCTCCGCCGAGTCCACTGTCCCTCCGCGTCCTGAAGGGGCAGAAAAAGAGTGGACCCCCATGAGAAACGGGATGGCATCTGATTGGGGGTCTGCCATAGACTGTTTGGAACTTGGGGCAGTCCCCGCCACGCACCATAAGTCACTTTCTTGTGTATCACGCAACATCCAATACTGATATGACGGAAAGGGGACACTTCCCTTTGAGTCCAACGCCTCCATGCTGAATTCAGAACTCGAGTTCTATCACGACCTTGAATCTTATTTTTGGTTGGCCTACCTCATTACTTGCAATTGCGCAGGTCCCTTCAACATGTGTCGTGACTGGGACGGGGAACTCGAACGTTTTTCTGCGAACAAATCCATTACGCCTTCGTTCATCAATCACTTAGCTGAGGTCAAAATGTATGGGAAGGTCTTTGATGTCGACCGTCCTGCTTCCCCCCTTGCCAACCAAAGTGTCAGCCCCGTGTACTATCCGTGGGTCCGTCCTGGAGTGCACTCGCTTTCACTGTTAGACATTGTCCAGCAGAGGAATAGTATGACTGACGTCGACTTCACCAACCTCATGACACCATATTTTATTCGTCATGAAATCGTACGAGACGGGATGCTCGAGTTGCGCAGTCTCTTCTTGGGTTCTAAGAAGCTGTGTCCCGATGGCTTTGTGCGCCGCGACCACGCCCCGCCGACTACGCACGAACGAGTGCTTTCGATACTACGCCGCATCCGCGACGGCATCGACGCTGCTGAAGATCAATACCCCCAAGACCAGGAACTTGAATATGCTCGGGTTCGTTATCAGCGCTATCTCAAAACGGGCAATCGCATGCTGTTACTGGTGGATGAAGATGATTCCGAAGGGTGTATTGAGAGCAAGAGAAAGGCTGCCCAAAGTGAAGCCCTAGTTCCTCGAGCCACCAAGCGTGCGAGGGGACTAGGCGCCAGTGAAGCAGGTTTTGGTGCCCCAGTTCGTGTCACACACGGAAGACGGACTAGCGGCAAAACCAAAAAGTGAAATCAAAGCAACTGCTCAGCCTGCTTTTCACTCCGTTTATCTCATCATCGGCCGTTTTCATACCATCAGCTTGCTTTTGTTGTTGTTGTCTCTTACTATAGTTGTATACTGACTTGCAAGTGTCTCACTACGTTTGTTCATTGTCACGCGTTTTTGTATCCTTAACTCCTCATTGAATGACAGGGCGACTATGGCATTAAGTTTGTATTGATCGCGGACAGCCGCACTTATAACCCCAGACTTCTGGATCAAGTATTGGTGAATTTTGAAGGCGCCAGAAAATATATACTTGCTTTGGCATCAACTTTGAAGCACAGATTGATTCCAAAAATCCCTCAGGAAATACGAATTCGATCATCTTGGCACAAACCCGCGGTACCAGGTGTGACATAGCTTGATAGCGCAAGGAGAGTAGTGGCCAAAACAGCCAACCTCAAAGCTCAACAAGAGCCATCGGTTCGTCATCCAGAAATTGTACCACATCTATCATGGTGAAGGATCTTCAACTCAGCTGAGGGTGCAGCTGATATAATTGTTGAAGGGAGGAAAATATGAGTGCGATATGTTCGTCCCTTAGGGGAAGCGGAGAAAGCAAATATCCACTGGTCAACTCTAGGGGGAATGCGCAAAGCGCGTGATAAGGCGAAAGCGCGGGAACAAAGGCGCTATAGGCGCGCGAAGCGCGGGAAAGTCGCGCGTCGAAAAGCGGAACTGGGTGAAAGCGGTATGCGAGCGATAGTGAGATGTTAAGACGTGTACTGAGATGCTGATAAGACAACTGATGCGGATATGGCCACTAGAGCTAACTGCTACTAGGGCTTGCGATGATTTATTCAAAACATAATAAAAACTCGGAGATGGTGACTGTCTATGATGATGGTGGTCCCTGGTAATGTGTGTTGTGTAAAGTAAAAAAATGTGTAATGAAAAATGTGTACCAAGTGAAAATAAACATGGTACGATGTTGAAATAAATGATAAATGGAGAAATGCATACCTGGGAACTTGGTTGGACATGGGAAAACACAGTGGGAAGTCAGGCGCCCTATAGCGCTTAGGCGCGGGAAAATTCGCCTAAAGCGCGCGCAAGTCGCGCAAGTGTCGCCTATGTCGCGGAAGTGTTGCCTAAGTCGCGCGCGTTGCGCGAACGTCGCGTTTATCGCGCAAGTGTCGTGTTACATGCATGATACTGTAGACTCGACCTATGTTGCAATATGTGCCATTGTGAGGCTACCCAGGATCGAGTCTCTACAACGGCAACCGTCAGTGCCATCGAACAGTAAGTCAAGACCGAATTTGAGCCTATCTTGGTAGTGACGTCGACCTTGTCGTGTAGGTCGTCCAAAAAGCGCCGTTCAGCAGAGAAAGCCCGAACCGTAACAATACCTTCGAGCAACTCGCCAAAGCCAGAGAAGATAGGCGACCGAGAGGACTGCGGTAGAAGAAACCTATGACCACAGCAGGGATAAGGAAGATCGGGAAGAAAAAACTAGGAAGTCAATGTATAAGCACATTATTTGTCGAGACGCGAGCAGTGACTTACACGACGGTGATAATGGCAGCCGCAAATGTCGCCAATGAAGGGTTGACAGCTGATAGCGAGCTCGCGAGATTGGTGTCGATGGTTTCAATATCCTAGAGACCACCATACGTGAGCTGACAATCCAAAACTACAGTGCTCTAAACTCACCTTTCCGAACCTATTGAGCATGCGGCCAGCCGGAGTGACATCATGCCAGCGCATCGTGGCGCACACGACACCCGTCAAGAGCTTACGGAAAATAGACCTCGACGCTTTCAAGGCTCCGTTGTACTGAATAGCAGTTTATAACACACTGACTGTCGCGGTGGCGAACCCGATCAGCGCATAAACACCAACGTAGAATAGCGGGTGTTCATGAGCGTCAGGCAGCGCGGTGAGGCTGAAGCCAGAGGTGTTAACGTGGAGGTAGCTGTTCGAGTAGTGTTGAAGGTCATGGTAGGGCACGTAGCCGTTCATCAGAGCCTCACTCTCGGTAAATGCAGAGGACGCCATGATGTATGGAGTTGTCTCGGCACCACCGCCGTATGCTTGACCCCATTCGTAGAACAAATATAAAATGCCGCCGATAATGAAAAAGAGAGTAATATGGACTAACCCGAACCCAGAGCTTCTCAATAACTCCTAAGCTCTGTGAACAAGCAATTAGAATCCCAAGCATGAACCACGTCCATTACGACCTGCCCGTGGTCAGCAAATGCAACACCTGAAATGTGACAAGACCCTTATGATGCCTTCAGGTATGCATTGTAAATCGACCACTTGACGCCTCCAGCCTCCCAGTGCTCATCCTTGATAACTTTCATGGCTTTTTGTTTGATTCGACAGCCGTGTCCACCTCAGCGTTGCCCTCCTGCGCTTCGATGGGGGTCTCGGTGGCCGCTACAGCCTCCTCTTCCTTGACTTCCGCAGTAGAATCCTGCGCAATGTGATCCAGAACACCCTGCGCACAGAGATCCTTGACAGCACCCTTGGTATCGATGCGACCATCCAGCATGCGGTAGTAAGTGCCAGGGAGCATGAGCTCTACGTGGTGAGTGACCAAGATCTATGAGTGGATTCAGTACCGCGTTGTATCATTGAGAACGACAGACATACCACCGTACGGTTTGCCATCAACGGCCCGCGGAAAAGTCTCTCGTACAAGAATCGGGCAGTATGACTGTCCTATTCGCAATATAAGTACGAGGGCAGCATATGAACAGACAGATAGTAAAACTCACCACAGCACTCAATGGATCATCCAACAGGACATATTTCGTGCGAGCATACACGGCACGAGCAAGTGCAACACTGAAGACCATGAGCATCCTGAACGAAGATATAAAATGCATGCCTCACCGAGCTTTTTGGTCACCTGATAAACTAACACCCCTAGAGTCAATCTCAGTATCATCTCCGTCCTCCAAGATATCCAAGTCCAGCCGCAGCGCACAGCACTCGACGACATCATTATACCTCTCGTACATATATATGATTCGCAGATAGACAATCCGTCAAACCTACTCAAGCATAGTGTTCAACAAGGCAGAGTATTGACCCCTTGAATCTTCGAGATCACAGATGCGCCAGGAATGACCGGTGACCTGTTGGCATTTGTATGGTCAGAATGTCATAGCTCAAAACATAAAAATTACCATTAAGCTTTTTGCCTTCGTTTTCGCCAAGGTGAGTGTTTTTTTGGCATTCGCCCTCACCTTGCCTACGATCACGAGAGCAGGTTACAATCGTACCAAAGCAGAAATAACAACAGACTCACTCGAACTCATCAGACCTGCGCATTCTGTTTCTTCACATCATGGGGCTCATCGCAAGGAGGACATTGTCCTTCATCGAGGACACGAGCCAAATGACAGGGCAACTTTGTGAGAAAAACCCTGAATATACATTAGGGAAAGACTTGCCTGGTCACACTGAATGACTCTTGAGAACGTCAAGATGATCGCCCGATTACAGCGAGAGTGAAGGAGCAATATGAGATTCAGCGCGTAAGAAGGAATGTTCAACTGACAAAACTTGCCTGATAACAGCGGGAAAACAGCTGAACACGAGATGAATGCCCAGTTAAATCGAGGGAAGCTGAATGAGTGTTGAGAGATTCAGACTCGCGCAAGAAAGATTGGACTCCGCAGGATGAAAAAGACTTATGTGCAATCTATTAACAATCAGAAGGGCGCAAGAGGCATGTTCAGAATTTATGCAACCTTGCCTGATCACAGTTGGAAACAGCTGAACAAGCATTGTGTGGTCCAGCGCACAGAAAGAATATTCAGGCTTCCACGAGAAAGATTAGCTGATCATAGCGAGGGGGAAAAGATGATAATTCAAGTGAAGATGATGGATGTCACGCACGTTGAAGATCGATCAAGCAGGCTTTCCTCTGATTCCGAATGTGAGAGATAAATGTAAATAAATTGCATCGTACCGATAGAACAAGCGTACGAATTGCTAAAGAATATTCGTAAACGAGCAGGCCGACGCAGGGAAGTGGGGTATCATCACGCGAGCTCGATTCCATTGTCATCCAACTCTACGTAGAATTAGAAGTGGGAAATTGTGGAAGGGGCGGGGGCACCCACCGATGTTAATTACGAAGAAAGGTAGATCGCGTCTTGAGAGGGCGACAGTTCTCAAGCACCTCTGGACGCTGAAGAGCGACCAAAAGGACGAGGACCTCCCAGCCTGCTTCCATGCGGAGAAGGGTCTTTTTGGTGGCCACGGCGAGATCGACTGCAAGACGTGCATTAGCAACATACGGAATCATCACTTGAACCTCAGCCCCTTTGCAACAGACCCCTTCATTGGCGACTCAGGCTGCAGTGGGCGCAACGGCAAGGCTTTTGAGCGTTTTAAGGAATGAAGGGGTCCCACGATTAAGGAGGTATTGATCGAGGTTGTTGCGGAGGTCGGCGCTTTTTAATGTAGCGTAGATGAGGGTCAGGAAGGATGATAGACATAGGGAATGCGCTGAGGATGCATCGCAGAGAAATGGCATCGCAGAGACTAAAGTAGTATTTGTTAAGTAACTCTGGGAAATCATGAAGGACGAGGAGTCGGAGGGAGCCAAAGGGCGAATCTCACCTCGCGGTTTTCGGATAGTAGGCATGAAGAGTCGATGTGAAACGAGGCAGAGAGAAATAAGCTAAGCCTAGGTATTCTGCGGGGCTGCGGTCAGTGTCACATGAAGCACGTCTATGGAGTGACAACGCAGCTTCTGGAGCACATTAAGTTGTATTTTTGAAGCCGACGTGCGTCGCAAGAGATACGCAAAATATATGGGCTGGCAGTTTCTTTTGTTTTGCTTATGTATCCTAGTAGGAGAATGAAGTGGGCGACTGAACAATTAGGTTACATAAAAGAAACACAATCACAAACCACATCAAGACTTATCTTAATCTCGCGGAACGGCATGGTGTTCGCCAATGATTCTATGCAGGCCGGACCCATTTGCACTGAATTGGAAAGGCTTCCAGTCGACACATACAACAATCGATGGGCAATGGGCAGGCAATGGGTGGGCGATGGGTGGGCGATTTATTTAATCTGTGGACAAAACTTAAAGTTTTGTCATCACATTTTGTCTGTGGTGTAAACTTTAAATTTCAAGAGGCGCTTAAATTGCGCACACAACTTGAAATATTAGCAACCATATGGTCATAACCCAAACTACTAGTTTTGTTCGTCGTATTACACGAGAGTTAAACTTCAAATTTAAGCACACACATAAAATATGATTATATTTCTAATTGTCATTGACGTATAGTCGGTGGGAACATGGTTGCAGATACTTGATATTTTGCATTCCACACAAAACACCGCCAACATTTAAAGAAGTTATATGTCCCTCTTTATGTTAGTTTAAATTTTAAATTTATCTTAACATTCAGTACCACATAAAAACCTCTCCTAAACATTGATAACCCCGATGTGAATGCATAATGGTCCCACAGGCTTATGCATTATGGTTCAATTTCTCACTGGCCCACGGTGGGACATTCCGAAGTCGATGCATTATGAGATTTATGCATTATGAGACAATGCATTATGAGATAGTGTACTGTATTAAATAATGTCCGTGTCAGTTAGGGTTTATTTGGAACATGCGCACACACTGTTGAGTACCACCCAACTCCGTGGCAATGTCCTTTGCAGGTCACTCTCCCCCCGAGTTTGACGCGTGTGATCACCTGCTGAATTGACTTCCCTCAACTGCTGAGTCTGATCTGCCTGTCGGCGGCATTCCTTATGGCAGGTTAGAGATATCAGCATCGGGAAGCCCGAGTTCTGATCACCTTACCTCTGCAGAGCCTGCACCATCGTGTGCTCGGTGCTCCTCCGTCGATATGATTGCAGAGGCCTTCCCAGTCCCAGATGCTTGTGGCTGACTTGTCCCATCGTCTACAGAACGAGACGCCTGTGGGGTGGAATGAGATGTCCGAGAGGCAGAACGACGGGCGGGCGGGCGAGTCCCAGGTTCTGACAGATCCAGTCCAGCCTCGATATCCTCGTTGGTGTCATGCGTCGAATCGGAGGTTGGGGCTTCTGCGAGTGGAGTGGGCAGGTGGGTCTCAGATAGCTCGGGTGCACCTGACTTTTTGGCAGGGTCAGGGTGCGTCATGGAGGCGAAAGATGAGATATGAAAGGAGACATCCCGTGTCAGCTCGCAAAATATAGCAGTTTGAATTCCAATTCATCTTCGGTGTGTTGCCGACCGGCATAGGTGATGCTGACACTGGCAATAATGGTGCACAAAGGTTAGTCGATGATCTCTCAAGTGGGAATTACCACTTACAAATAAGATTCTCCAAATTCAGCTGCGAAAATAATGCCTGGTCGCTAGTCACCATGCATGCGAGGCGCAGGTCGGAGGAGCAGGCAGACGAAATTGTATTCAAACAGCAGCAAGCTCGTCTTCGTACAAACTCTAAAAAATTTCAAAAGTAGTGAACATACATTATAGATCACGCACAAGTAGTCTAAGATCAAAATATTAAATTATCAACGTCTCATTAGGACCGCCGATTTCCTGCTTCTTTGGCCCTCATTCTATAATCACTTCAGGGGGGAGTCGCAGTGTATACACCAATACCTCCAGGTAGGAAGTTCAGGCCGGTAGCGTTGGTATTCTGCTCGACAGAGAGCAAACGCTGTACCTGCGTGGTCGAGTTGGTGATCGCGCCCAATCCAACATCCGCCCACGGCACGTAGACTATCGCGTCAGCCAAGTTGGCAACGATGAGCAAGTATGCAGTGCCGTTGTGCCAGAGACCGGCATCCACACCTAGATGGTCGTACTTGGTAAATGTGACATTGGAGTTGACGATGAATGGTTGAACAACGTCTGTGATGAGAACAGTGAGGTTAGTCGCTGTCCCCTCAATTGTCGTAACATTGCCGGTTGTGGTCGGGTATTGGTAGGACTTGGAACCTGGTGACGTAAGTCAGTTTTTATTCCTTATGCGGGTTATCAGCATGACTTGCCTACAGCACCATGGATGAGGGAAGTGAATCCCATAGCAGCCCATTGCTGCCCAGTGGGAGTGGTGTTCCAGTATCTGCAATGAGAGTCAAGATGGATCGCATCAGGGGTTCAAGGCGACTTACGCTCCACTGCCGAATGCCTGGGGCGTGGTCCACACAGACTTGGTGCGGTCAAAGCCCAAAATGTTGAGCCTATCTTTGTAGGTCTGGACACGGGACCTGATGTCGTACACGTCACCCTTGCAGTTGTCGCAACCACAGTGACCAAAGTCCTCATTACACACTGTGTGCCATACTGGAGAATATGTGGCATTAATACCAATAGGATAAGTGTCCTACACCAGAGATTAGGTACACGAGCAACGGAAATGTTATGAATGGCTCACCTGGAGGACAATATCGGCTCCCCCGACGTAAGGCGAGAAGTTGTAGTCCTCGCAATTCAGAACAATAGAGACAGGGTGGTATCCGTCTAGCTGATATATCAAGTCATATGTCGACTCCGCTGCACCTAGGGGATCGGAGTTGCCATCGGGCTCGTGGGCGGTTTCCCAGTTCAATAGGTTGGGGATCGAGGCGTAAGCCTCCACTTGTTGAGCGACAGAAGTCAAGTTTTGGTAGCTCCTGAATAGAGGATATCAATGGCCATACGATGAGGTAGCGAAGTCTGACATACGATCGCATATCATAAACAATGTACATGCCGTCACTGCTGGTCTTGTTGACGACTTGTTCGAAGATAGTAAGGTTGGTATAAGGAGGAATTGGGTGAATCTATGGCATAGATGTTCAGTGCGGGATATATCAGATATTCGCAAGACATACAGTATTGAACCTGGAAAAGATTTGAGTGAATTCGCAGGAGGTGATAGAAATGTAAAACGAACCCGTCGTCTTTAAGTTGATCGATCATGGTCAAATTTGTTGCCAGATACTCGTCAAAATTTACGTAGAAACCTTGAGGGAAGAAGGGCGCAAATGCTCCACCCTTGCCATTTGCGGGCCTCACCCAGAGTGCGCCAGTGCGCAAGTCAGTCTTGGTGACGGAAGCGTTTGTGTTAGGGAGATACAAAAGGGATGCGCTAGTCTTGAAATTCTGGGACTTCGAAGAGGCAGAGGAAGTGTATGTAGCGGAGCAGCCGACATTGTATGCAGCCTTCTGAGGCTGGAGTGCGCTGATATTTACAGGAATTTGAAAGTCGGTGGCGTTAAGAGGGACGTTTGTGGTGATCTTTACGGAGCCCACGTCGATTGTGACACTAACGGTTCCCAGGCTAGTGGAGCTGGCAGAAGAGCTGGAGGTAGAAGGAAGTAAGATGGGCTCAGCACCGGCGATCCAGTCGTAAACGATTGGTGTATCGACTATAAATGCTGCGCTACTCGCATCCTCCTGGAGGTATGGACGGAAGACAGGGGCACAGCGGAAGGACAGAAGGGGTTCAGTACTCTGAGTAGGCAATAAAAACTGTCCGCCAGGAGGCACCACAGACTGATTTGACATATAATTCTTTCCGCACCTGGAAAGATTTAAGAGTGAGCAGACTATGTGGAGGATCAAGATGGTACGTACCATGTCTGAGCGAGCGAACCTCGAAGCAGGCTGGCGGCAAGTAAAGCTGCGAAACTTTTGTTGTATTTCATTTTATTATCCCCGAATCCTCAAGAGGGAAGGGGTTATCGGTGGGGAGCTGTCTGGGGATTTGAGTTCTTGCCAGCTCACAGTTTATATAGGTTCGAGTACGGCTGTTCGTTCAACTCTACTAAGCCCGACAAAGGTAATCAGGATTGTGCTGTGCTGTGCAATAGCGCTCTGCTAATGATCGCCTATGATGAGTCAGGACGGATTTGGTTTGCCAGAACAGGCTAAAGCTCCACGGCTGTGGCTCACCTACGAGGGCGATTCGTTGCCAACAGTTAAGGCGGCCCAGCCCAGCCGCTGCCAGTGCTGGACTCATTTGGTAATAGATGGCAATATGTAGGTATCAATTGCATCGCTTTTTAGTCGTTGTAATTTGTAAAGAGCGCAGGGTATATATAAAAGTCTATCAAAGGGCTTCTCCCAGTTAGTGTTGAACGTTAACGTTGAAGCTTGAAGCACTCACCAATAGCTGAATTAGAATATCATGGTAGTGAATATACATATGAAGCACGTAGCCCAAGTCCGAGCTTGACGCAACGCTATGCAACGGTCGTAACCGCCCGCTTAAAAACATGCATGGCATGTCAGATCGCCGTCAGGTCCATAATACAGCTGTCACTGGTGGCCTAGTAGCAGGCTCTGGTAGGCTCTAGTGCGCGTTCCTGCGGGGTTGTTGTATATATGGGAGAGTGCATCGCATATAGGGCCGTGTTTCAAGTTCCTTAAGTAAACCATCGGCACAACTAGTAGACTTTACTGGACCGGCGGCCGTGGTCTCATCGATAATCTCTTCCAGCCAGTAAAATTCTTTACTTTCTGTACCTCTTAATTGGCCTGGCTTAACTTGAAGCAGACTAGAACCTCAGGCCTCACTCTGATCATCGAGTCAGCTGATGATAATTCAGGTTGCCGTTCCAAGATGTTTCATGTTCCAATTTTTGGCCAAGGGCGCCTTGGCGGATACTTTCTTACCCGAAGCTGCCTAGTGGTTGCCACCACTAAGCTCCTTCAAGCTTCAAGCTGAGCACGACATGAGTATTACTGAGTCCTCGAAGCATCCTCTCAATTTCAAATGATAATACTGTTCCGCGGAACTCGGTAACTTGCTCCATGATTAATTGATGTGCTGACATTAGAATAACTAAAGATCTATTATAAGTCACCAGCGATCGGATGCCCGCCACGATGGACGCGAAGCTCCTTAGCACATCATGAAAATGATATTCTGTCGATGGTTAGCATAACATACATCAAACGTTCCTGGAATATCAGTTGGTAGTGCTAGTGATCTACGAGCAGTTCCCACTATTTCCAAATAGGCCAGATTACATTTTACAAACCGCCTTCGAGCTTCCCCAGGACACCGGCACGTGGAGCACCGCGTCTTAACGGTTTCCGTTGTTTGTTGCGGTATACTGCCTTGCTTCAGTTTTGGAGCGAAACAAACAACCATCTCCCCGCAACTCTCCACCATCTCTAAATTTGATATTTCACATTCCTAAATACAACTACTTGGCATTGTTTACAGCTCGTTGACATGATGACTAGCAGGCCTTGCGAGTTAGTTCAGCTTAGTGACCACACAGCAGCTCGGTGGCCCAGTGATGCTCTACTTCGCAGCCCTCTCGGACATGCTAGCTCGTCTCCGTCAATCAAACCACACCTTTGAAAAGTTGTCTCGATGGTCTGTAATGATACACTGGCACCCCTCGTGTACTAAAACGCTCTGTAATGCCTGTAGAAAAACGTCCAAAGTACGCTCTCAGCTCCGAGTCTACACAAGCTTCAAAGCATCGGTGACCATGGTGTAAAAATCAATTTAAGCCTTACACGCGGCGTTGAGAGACGCAAGCAAACGAAGATGATCAGTTGCAAGGTTGATGACGGGCCTATGAGCCGTGAGAGGCGAACCGCGCGAAATTGACAATACGTCAACTAGAGTGAGTGACATGGGCGATATCCCTCGATTTCGTATCGACCATTGTTGTTTGACAGGCTCAGGTATGTATCAACCTTCCCTACCTTTATCCCAGTGGTGGATATTATAACGTTCAATCCCGAAGCTGTGCTGTGCCTTTGACATTTCTGACAAGTACTCCAAAGGTGTCGAATCTGGCATGTCGATTTGGCAATAGTTGTCATATAGACCCTGTTCCAAATAAACGCGTGGAATAATATGGTATGGCACCACTCAATATCAACCCTTACCGTACCTAACTTAGCGTGGGTCAGCACTAGTACTCATTGATCATGTCATACATATAGAACCAATAGGAATAACTGACTTACTTTTTCTCATAGTGTCTCAAACTCGGTAGGTAGTTGACCCTACAGGCGCCATCAACGTGTCACCACTGCACAACACGAATCTGATCTCACACTAGTAATTAGGGTGCCTTGATCCGCGAGTCCGTGGACCGTATAAAGTACCTCAAATTCAAAATCAAATCTAAATGGCAGCACATCAACACCGATGGCAGGCATGAAAAGAAACAACCCACTCTTGGGATCCCGTCTGACTCTAAAAACATTCGTCTCTCATTATAATCGCGGGAAATATAACATCCAAGGAGATCGAGTCCAAGTATTCCAGCGATACGGACTTGAATACAAGGTAGTGAGCACACAAAAGGCAAACCAACCGAGGTCCCAAACAGTAAGCATGAGCCCCAAACCATCAGTTGTGAATCTCATGTCCGTGGTGACGTGGTCGTCATAATGGGGAAGCAGGTTTCCTCTCCGACGGAGACGCCAACACGAGGATGCATTCACATATCAAATCACGTCCTTTCTCGTCTGTCCGAGTGTCCATCGGAGCAGCACGATGGAGTGGAGTGCATGCAACAGCGTGAATGTTTTGCATGAGCTAGGACATACTTAGAAATCAACCGTCTTCAATTCCCTAATTTCCCTTCTTTTCAGGTAGCGAATTAATCTAGTGTGTAGCAGAGTGGGCAACTGGTAAGTCATCGAACATGCATACCAGTGTTGGAGCTATAATCCAAACAAGAGTAGCATCCATTGTCGACGAGTCGAACAGCCAGTATCAACATCGATTTGTCGGAGGCCTCGCAACCGGCGTTCACTCAAATCTCCTCGCCAGCCACTCTGATATTTTGCTTGTGAGTGCTTCCATTGTCCACGAGCCACGGACCTAACAAGAATACAAACGCGTTCAATGTGCGATCAAGGTTCGCGTTTAGTTCCCGAGAATGGAGACTGCTTGAGGTGCGGTCGATTCGGATATCACTTGCAGCCTCGAAAACAAACAGGGAAGGACCGTTCCATTACCATTTTCATGCTGAATACCGAATACAGCGGTGTTATTAGCAAGTGCATGGACTGAGTCGAGATCATGAACTTCTCTTGGCTGTTTTGGGTTGACGCATGCTCTAGTCAATATTGATTCCATTGCACAGCCCCTGAATTTAATACATGACCTTTAAAAGCGGCTCCGCAGGTGATGAATGGAATGAACACTGTCGTGAATGCATCCCCTGAGGTCTCTTACCAAGATTCCCCAGCAAACACAGGGAAAAGAGCTTTGCAGCATTTGTAGCGCTAAGAGACACATCATGGACTTCTGTTATTGATCACCAGTGGCAGGACCTAGGGCCTAAGCCTCCAATCTTAGAGTAACAGCATAGAAACGCGCGAGTCTTAGAGCGAAACGGTCAGTTGTTGTTTGCATGATAAAAGTCAATGCTGAACGACGAGACGGCAAATAAACATCTCTGTATTACCCGACAGTGTGACTGATCGGGGAATCTACATTGTTTCTGGTTAGCAGGACATAATACATTAACGTTCCCGAAACTCGATCGTCCGTGGAGTGAGCAGCAATTTATCCAGACCTTGTTCCTAGTAAACGTATGGAATAATACGGTATGGCACCAGTTTCTTGTACGTCTCCCAATCCTTACCGTACCTAGCATCAACTAGTTAGGGCACATCAATCATAGAAGAACGACCAACTCACTTTTTCTCGCAATTTTCATCATCACGGCGCTGCCTGTGGATGAGCAGGACCGCAAAGTACACGACATAGAAGTATGTGACTGGCGTATCGAACCCGGTGGGAAGCGACCATGCTAGTGCCATCAACAGGTCACCACTGCACAACACGAATTAGATCTCAAGAATAGGAAGAAAAGAAAAACTCACAGGTAGTTGGGGTGTCTTGATCGGCCCCACCACCCTGAAGTGAGAAGCTTCGAACCAGTAGACGTCGTAAAGTATTTCAAATCTGAACGGCAGTAAATCAATATCAACGAAGTCATTTGTGAACGGAAAAAAATGCACTCTTGGGATTTCGTCCATTTCTGAAATCATTCTTCTCTCCATTAGCATCGCGGAAAATATGATACCCAAGGAGGTTGAATCCAAGTACTCCAGCAGTAAGAAGGGGTCCAAGCTCAACGGGCTTGAACACAAGGTAGCGTGCTTGTAGCGAGTACACAAAAGGCACCCAGGTGAGGTCTCCAACAGCAAGCATGAACCCAAAACCGTCGGTTGTGATGTCCATAGTCGTGAGAATGGCGGGCTGCATATTGGGTTAGTGAAAATCTAATCGTGTGGAATGGGGAAACCAACCTCGTTATACAGTCCATCAGCGACATACCAGGTCTGGAATGCGAGTACAAGCCACATCGAGTCGGTCACGTTCGCAAAACCCCCGCGACGCGCAGCTTGCTCGCAGACCATGCTTATGTTCACCAACACCCAGAGGATGAGGCCAGGACGGAGCTCATTGAAGGATTTGATGTCAAAAGAACCAATAGAGGGGTTCAACTCGCGGCCAATGTACCACTAAACAGGTCACTTAAGTCGTAAATAGCACTGACAAGCGAACTTGAAACGTACGTCATAAATGAAATTTCCCGAGTTGCCACCAAGTGCGAGGAGAGCGCCCGGGCGGTATGAACTTGCGTACACGTAGAAGGCCTGCACCAAGGACATGACGAGCGAAGCGGTGATGAATCCTGTCCATTTTTGGTACAAGAACGTGAAAGACTCGGGGCCGTTGCGAAAGATATAGCCACAGGAGACACCCATTGCAAGGAGGAATGTCGAAAAAGCTGCATGAGAACAGCGTCAGTATCAGTGCTCGCCGACATTGTCAGACACGAACCATTGATTTTGTACTTCTTTTTCTCCCCAGTGCGCATAGTCACGCCTTCAACCCAATCTCCGGGGAGCACCGCCCATGCAACAATGCAAAACGCGTACCATCCCAAGTAAATCAAACTGGCTTCGGTATTCCACAGACTTGCCCAAAAGGTCTTGTCACTCAGTGCTTCCACGAGCCGGTCTGGAATAGATTGCAAAGGAGGAGGGCAGCCGCCAGATTCGTCTGAGCAACCAAAGTAGAGGAGATACGTCATGAAAGGTACGCCGAATGAGATGAGAAAGGCGCCCGGTGGGCCCATAAATTCATAGCTCGTCGAGCGCGGGTTCAAGTCTGCCATAGGCTCTGACTTGGCTTTTGTCGTTGTCGACATTGTGGAGGTTTGAGCGCGATGTTTTAAACACGCAGTAAATGGTGGTTCGATCAGTGCACCTGTGCTTCCGACGGAATTCACGCTATTTTGGTCCGATTGCTTCCATATTTGCATGAAATAACAAAACCTTATTGTCTTTGTCCTACTTACAGCCTCCCTACACAGTGCTTGCGTACTTGTAACTGGCAGGCAGTAATTCTTCGCAAAGACAGCATGAGAACTATGTGTTCTACACAATTAGCATGACGGGCGCACGATCATGTTGCGTCCCCATCTAGGTTCCCAACTAGCTTTGACAGCCTCTCCTTCCTCAGAGGTATCCACAACACCTCACTACCACTAGTACCAGGCTGTGCTGCGCTAACCACAAGTCCGTGGTCCCTGAATTCGCCGAGCAGAGCTCTGAGTGCAGTATCATTCGTGGCAATGAACGCGTCCCGCGCCAAAGTAAAGAGAGCATCATATGTCAGGCCAAAATGCTGCTGGTCATGAGGGCTAAGTGCGGAGTTGACCTCTGAGACGTCGGAAGAATCGGCATTCTCAAGTTGCTTTGCAGCAAGCAAGGAAAATAATTTCTTGGCTTTAGCGGTCACTGCTGCGAGGACATGTATTGCCGCTGTTTCTGTCAGCGGGCCAGAGACAGGGTTGGTAATATCAACGCGTGCACGGGATGATGAGGCACCAGAAATGGAGGTACGGTCAGCAAACGCGAGTTCGGAGGTGTATGGTGCAAGAGTGGTCAGGTCGTGCCAGAGCCAGCCGTATCCCACGTTTTTTGTAGCACGGTCCGAAGAAAAGAAAGAACCTTTCCTAGCTGCGACTTGAGAGGCGCTGAAGAGCAGTGGCGCGTTAAGCCTGTCGATAGACGCGGCAATGTGGATATTGGGGCTGAGTGCGAACGAGGAAATGGCACGTGCAAGTTTTGGAGAGCGGTCAAGGGAATGAACTATGAGGAACAGATGGGGGCTGTCTGAGCTTGCAAAGTGCTCTGCTATGCGCTCTTGGGTAGGAGCAGAAGTGGAGGTGGATTGTACGCCTGGGACGCGTGCAATGGACGCAAGCATATCGCGCACGGTCACCGAAGGGTGAAAGGCGTTGACTACGACGACATGTCCACGTCTCGACACGTGCTTTGCGAAATCATTGAGGATACCGCGCTTCGAACCCAGTCCATAGAACAATATATTGAAGCCTTCGTCGAGCTCGCGAGCCCATCTCTTGAAACTGGAACTATCAAAGGGAACATGTGGCGTATAAATATGCGCGGAAGCTCGTGCGAGAGCAGCATTGTGCTCCTCAGGGCTGAGGGGAACGACGCGCTGCGAAAAGACATTGGTGGACGTGCGCGTGCGTGAGGAAGCGTGCGTGAAATAAGCATCAAAGGATGGCTTGTAAGAGTCAATTAGACCGTCAGATTCAAATTCTCTGAAGATGTTGGAAGCATGGTTGTGCTCGACGTCGGAGGCATAGAGCTCAGATCCTTCATCGCTGTCCATCACGATGAGGTCCGTTTGCGGTTGTTTGGCGACCTAACTCTGGATCCAAAACCAAACCATTTAAAACCAAACTGTCACGCCAACCACCACTTGCTCAAGTACTGTACATCCTCAGGGAATTCCTTCTGCGGCTCACAACATGCATTTTGAACAAGGAAATTTGCATTGGTAAGTAATCAAATAACTGCATAACAACAACCACGTTGCACCCAAAAGATACGAAAGGAAGAGCCTTAGTATGATGGTTCATTCACTTGGTATCTTTTGTGTGTCAATACTGTTCTCTTCACCCGCACGCCTTTTACACTCAGCTCACGATACCTAACGGAACCATATCTTCAGACTTAAAGACACGACAGAAATAAAAAGGTGGGTGTCGAAGAAGCACAAATGTACGGAAACTGCGCACCTAGTGTCACATCTATCCTGTACAATCCCAAAGTATTTCATGAAAATTAGATTTAAGTTCCTTTGGTTGATGGACTGCAGCAAGAGTCGAAGCTTCAAGCTTCAAGAACCAGGGACCCGAGTCGCTCTTGAATGTTTAGGTCAGTTCAGGCAGGTTCCAGCCTCCACTTTTGTTGACCATCATCAATGTCAGCATTTTGCACACGTCGTCGAGCAGTCAATGCGCAACGCCCCTCGCGTACCATTACAAATGTCATTTGATCACCCGCCTTCCTGGGTCTCAGTTGATGCGAGAGCTCGCTACAGTGGTAGCACTGAACCATCCATGCCAATCGCGTCATCAGTCTTTGTTATGCTAGCAACTAGTGCAAAGCGCAGGGGCTGACAGAACGTTTCCGTCGGCACAGAAGCACGATATGGCATTGGAGAGTAAATATCTTATGTCGGCGAATCAACATATGTCCACTCATTCGACACGAAATGCTAAACCGCCTTACACTACAGCTCACATTGCCAGTCCAACCGACTTCGTAAATATCATGCTACTTCTAGCAACGATAATTCAGACTGGAGATCACAAGGTATGTTTTTTTGTGTGTTTCAATCACGTAGCAGCCTACCATATGTTTGCGAGACAGCTTGGCGGGTTGGCTGAACATGCATATAGCGTGCCTACTCACCACGCAGTGGTGGTGCAATGATGTAACATTTCTTGGTGACACCACCGATGTAGCTCGGACAAGTGCACTGTGTAGAAGTGGTCTTCTTAATCCTTCGTTCATTTCACCACCACCAGGTGTGGGGGGTCACCAAGGAGAGGAGGGTCAAATTCTACCCGGAGGAATGAGTCGTCTGTTCTTGATCGTTCTAATATCACTGCCCCTCTGCTTCGCTCTGGTCTTGCGCAAGATGGATGTGGTATCTCTCGTTGATGATACCCATTGTGGATGAGGGGGTCGAGGGACTTTGCCAGTGGTTTTCAAAACTTGGTCCAGCAGTTCCAAGTACAGACCTCGGTGACCAAGACAGACATATATCGGTACACTTTGGGATGTTCTTTCAGGCCTCGAGAGTTCTGCTCCGATAATTCGCCAAGAGCTTCGCCATCACCGGCGACCTGAAGTCTCACAGGTGAGCTCCTGGCAAGCGGCATCTGAACCCGTTGCTTTCTTATTTCAACACTCAAACTCAATGCATTGTGTAGATTCACATTTGCGCAAATAGATCCCCATGCTATATGATCATGCTATTCTCTAGTAGTTTCCAGAGAAAACGATTCAGGCTGTCATTCGGTACCGATCGTACGTCCGCGGTGGCCGAAGGCTGTAACATACTAGGATCATGACCCAGTCGTCTGTATCAGGGACGTATTCACTCCAAAACCTGCTCAATTGGGAGACTGGGCGCGAAGCAGATCCGATCTTTCGTCTCGAGTGATATTGTGACTACTACTGCAACATCACCCCTTTCGAGGGACACTGGGTAGCGATCACCGGCTTGTCCTCATTCAACCACGGAGCCTGGTACTTATTACTATACATGCCAATTGTCATTACGAAGACCTGGATGCCGAACTACTACCTCACCGCATGGGAAGGTAATATTCATTCGCCTGTACAGTACCGGCGTCACTAGAAGATCCAGCATGCACGCATGCTTTGACAATTCAGTACCTAGATTGGAAAGGAAAGCAGCCGTCAGGAAGCATTAGTTTTGCCGCTTAAAACCAAGTTCAAGGGTCTAGTGTTCGTAAGGTGACTAGGACCAGTTAGTGCGATGCACCAGCGTGTAATCGTCGCAATACAATAACAATGACATCCGACAAATGCAAGGGCCCCGCAGTCTAGTCCAGAGCTAAAAGTCGTACGATGCCAGATTAGGAGCTTACCACAGGCTGAGGAAGTATCCAAGAAAGAGTTAGGCGTAAGTCATTGATGCTGCCAGAAGGATGCAGCTGTTGAAGGAACTTCTGGTGGTGAATCTGTCAATGGAAGTGCTATCATTGACGCGATATCATGATATGATGTTAGCGCGATTGTGTATGGAGATATCATTATTTGCATTAAAGTTCATGTGTACTTGCTGAGTTTCTTGCTCAAAGGTAGGCTAGGAGTGGATTAGCACTGTACAGCCTGAACGTTCTCTTGCTCGTCACGGTCTTCAGCTTCATGAGCCCGAAGAGACTCATGTGGAGAGCTCAGAGTCCGAGTCTGTCGTCGCTTCAAAGTACGGTCTGTGTCAGCAAGTTTGTCTGAGCCAATCAGATTGCAAAAAAAAAAACACGGCGAGTGCTATGATCTCAAATATGCTCTTTGAATGGGAGCCGCTGATCGTAGGATATTGAATGCTGGGTGCATCGATTTAGTAGGACGACTCGTTGTGTTAGAAAGAAAGCGAGTCAGACACCTTAACCCTATCTCTGATCGATAAAGCCTGCCCTAATGGGATCAGATGGGCCTCGTTGCGATTATCTGACCTGTGTTTTGGTTGTGCTCCGATAAAATTTCAGGAGGTGCGCTAATCAAATCGGCAATCTCATCTTTCTCTCCATCTTCCACCTTCTCCAAGTTTTCAAAATGGCACCTGTGGGCAAGCTCTATTGTGTCTCTGCCATGCCCCAGACCAAGACGGTAATTAGTGCACTTGCGTCATCTCGCCTTTTAATATGACTCATAATAACCCATAGATCAGAAGCGTCTGTGCACTAGCAGGGTCTTGAGCTCGAGATCCCCGAGTACACGCACTTTTCGGACAACCAGAAGCCAGAGTTTCTTGCCAAGTTCCCTCATGGAAAGATCCCCGCTTTTGAGAGCGCAAACGGCCTCAATCTCACGGAGGGTGCCCCGATTGCGCGGTATCGTGAGTCATACTATTTTCCATGTTGATCTTGATCTAGGATACCATAAGGATGAGAAGATCTACAGTTATCCCTGTCTTAATTCTGTGTCGACAACTTCATATAATTCTGATCATGTTATCCGTTCTCACTTTCATGTAGTGTTGTTGTGGGTTTGAAACGTATGTACTGATGTTTTGATTGCAGTTGCCGGCCTTGCTCCCAACTCTGGCCTTCTCGGCTCGACACCAGAGGATGCTGCAGTCGTCGATCAATGGGTTCACTTTGTTGAATCAGAAATTTCCACACAAAACGATCTCATTTCGGGGATGCTTAGGAACTTCTTTCCCTACAGCAAAGGCGTAAGTTAGATCCTCACCACCAGACCGTTCGCACTCAATGACCCAATGCAGTTCCACACCGTCCTCGTTGAGCGCCAATTGCGCAGCCTAATCACCCTCGAAACTCATCTGAGCACCCGTACCTTCCTCGTTGGCGACCGCATCACTCTTGCTGACATTACTGCCGCCGCTGTTCTTCAGCGCGTCGTTGCCGTCACCGCAGACGCCGATGTGCGCGCCAAACTCATCAACACTATTCGTTTCTTGGAAACTATTGTGCATCAGCCCAAACTCGAGGCTATCTTCGGTCCTACTGAGTACACCGAGAAGGCACTGCAGTACGTCCCTCCCAAAAAGGAGAAGGCGCCGGCACCCCCAGCCGCACCAAAAGAGAAGAAAGAGAAGGAGAAGCCAAAGAAAGCCGCTGAGGACGATGACGAGGACGATGGCAACCTTGTGCCTGAGGAGCCCAAGGAGAAGAATCCCTTGGACCTGCTCCCAAAGAGCACGTTCAACCTCGAGGACTGGAAGCGTGCCTACAGCAACAAGGACACGCGCGGCGCTGATGGTTCGCTAGAGTGGTTCTACGCCAAGTAAGCACGTACTACCTCTCCTTCGCTGGACGTGCTGACTGAGGTACTTGCAGCTTCGACAAGGAGGGCTTCTCCGTCTGGCGCGTAGACTTCAAATACAATGAGGAACTCACGCAAGTTTTCATGTCCTCCAACCAGGTCGGTGGTTTCTTCAACCGCCTCGAGGCATCACGCAAGTACCTGTTCGGATCGGTGGGCGTGCTTGGCCAGGCCAACGCCTCTATTATCTCTGGCGTCTTCATCCTGCGGGGCCAAGACTCAAAGGCAGCTGTAGACTGCGCACCAGACTTTGAGAGCTACGAATACACCAAACTAGATGTGTTTGGTAACCAGGAGGACAAAGCCTTCTTCGAGGGCGCACTTGCATGGGATCTAGAGGTCGATGGCAAGAAATGGGCAGATGGAAAGAACGTGAGTATTTTTGTCGTGTTTCACGACTTTTTGCTGATGTTTGCGCTGCAGTTTAAGTAAAAGGCACCTGACGTCGGAGAGCGTGGGACTTTTGGGAAGCTGCAGCATCGATTTCGTGTATCATCGTGTCTCTTATTTGTAGATCTTGTCACTTTTAACCAGCTGTTGATCTACGTCTGTGGAAGGGAGGTGGCTGCGACACACATACTGTCCTATAATGTCCAGTGACACACTTCTCGATGCCTCTTACTTAGAAGTCGTCAGAAGCCGAATATCCTCTAAGCGTATCCTGGGAGTCTTTTACTCCAGAATTGCCGCCTGCGTTGGCAGAAACCTTGTTTGACCTAAATGGTGTGAGTGTGTTTTGGATTCAGCAGAGTTCTAATAAACATTATGGATGGATCACACATGTATATTGCGGCGCAATGCTTAGCAGTGAGCACACACCATCTGATTATCAGGAATATGAATATGATATTTTATTTGGCCATATATGCTCTGTGACATAAGCAACCTCGCTAACGGGCCGGGAATTTCCAGGTCACGTGACTGTCAGGTAATGCATCAGAAGAATGTGATCACATGATCTGCTCTGCTCAGCCGGAAGTTGCCGGTTGGCGAAAGTTGTCGACTAATTATGGGGGTGAAGGAAACCTTCGTCAAGCAAAGTAACGACAAAAGCGGTGCCGGGGGATTCCACGTGCACCTCGATAGCCAAGAGTCTACCAAGTCCCTTTTACCGAAGCAATACGAAGGAGGTAAATGGAAGAACTCGAAATACTAGGGTTGTCCGTTCTGGGTTCGCCGCATAATTGAACTTTGTCGTCCGCACGAAGGTTCAATATTCAATGTTCATAACTTAACCGCAAAACCTTGATATAGGTAAGTGAGACTTATAATTAAGCTTTTGGACGAGCTTCCTTCGATCGTTGCCACGTCTCGGCCAGATTTTGAAGAAATGGAAGACGATCGTCCCTTCTTTCCAGTCGTTCTTTGCACCCCTGGATGAATGTTTCCCAGCTACATAGCGCGGTGATACAGAAGGAGCGACTGTCTCCGTTCTATTTGGTCTAACCACGGGAGACTGGTGGTGGATAGTTCCGTTCATGATCACGGTGAGGCAGCAGTCTGGCCCAATTTTAGAACCAGAAAAAACTTTCAGTCAAGGAAGTTGTCGGGAATCAGTACCTAACACTGGTTAGCAAGCATTGCCCTAGTGCTTGCCGTTCACCAAGTGTGGAAACAACGAGGCAACCTGTATCGTACGATAACGGTATGTATTCCTATGCACTGTATTCCATTGTGATCAGGAACGTTAATGTTATTATAATATGTTGCAGCGCTGCTTACTAGTTAATCTCCGAAACTGCGAGGAATACAACCTCGGGTGGTTCAAGCCTCGGTGAGTTTATTTGCAAATCTTAACCATGGTGTGCGTACGAGTCAGTATCTGGGCGTGTCTCATGCGTGTCATTTCTAGCCGAAGAAGACTGGCGTTCGTGAGATGCATAGGTATACGGATGAATTAATGATACAAGACAGATCTCTTCTGAAAGTCCCAAAAGTATGTTCGACCAATTAAACTAACCACGTTCAATATCAGATTGCTATAGTGTGTCCTTTCTTTCACCGCGATCAATGTCTCTAAGCATACATAGATATATTCAAGTCTAAAATTGAAAGGAATCCTTTCCTTCTTTTTCTTGGACACGGTTGACAAAGTTCTTAAAATCATGTGAAAACAGTTCTGATTCGCGGGATGTTGACTCGTCAAGTACTGAAACTACTGACTCCGGTCCCTGACAATCCCATCACCGTCACTTCTGGTATATGCATGCTGATTGGGGAGTACGTCGGCGAAAATTCTGTTGTAAGCTTTTCGTTTTGAAAGACTGAGCGTGGCACAGTACGGAGTTGACATAGGTCATGGCTGAGTAAAGCTCTCGCTGGAAAAGTCGACACTCGAAAAAACCGTTTGATTGTGGAGTCTACGTAGCAGCTAGTATAAGAGGCCGTGTTCGACAAAACAATGCTCACGAGTCCTGCTGACTGAATGTAATCGAGCGCTGCGGTTATCGCAGGCTCACAACAAAGATGTCAATCTTTGTACATAGGAATTCGACGTCTCATACCGGCACTTTACAGATCCACAAAGGGTTTTTTATGCATTAATAATGCGGGGAAGAGGGGGAAGGAAGGGGGAAGGGCCTTCTGTGATCAAATGATGTCACTCGATATCTTGGTCAAATCAAGTACCAGCATGACTGTCGTGACGTAAGAATGTTAGCTATTTGTATTCTTCAAGGCTCTCAAAGGATTTGAACGTGGGGGTATTGTCCTTTTAGGCCATAGGCCACCATAGTCAAGTACGATTGACGACTCCTGCTACCCTCCCACTTGCTACTTTCTCGACATCGCGGCAAGTAAGACTGTACCTAGTCATCCTCTCGACTGTCCCTCCAGATTCAATGATCCCCACGACAGTCTCATCTTGAACCATGTGGCGATTGATGATCCGCGAGTGCGATCCATTTGGAAGAAGCAGGAAACCATCACCGGTGAACGTGTCGGCATATACATCGTCTATGCCATGCAGATGTGTTGAGTAAAGTTCCCCAGTCGTAACCACAACACTGCGAGGCTCCAGAAACAATGACAATAAAGGCGCCGGATCGATGCTACGTCCCACCGATCCAGGGTCAACACTGGAACTGTCATGATCCTTATTATATCGATAGTAATGGAAGATAGCATGCGATCCTAAGGAAATAGTTGCGACGACTGGGTAATATGAGGGACCGTCTTCGTGGGGCTTCAAATTGGACATCAATCATCAGTGTTGAAACGGGATATTTCGGATCGTACCATGATGCCTTGTCCCGGATGGTACTTTTACGACGATGAGAGAAGTGTAAAAATTATTCGTGAGATGGAATGGTCTCACTTCGTTCAATATAACGTGATTGGGCCCCTTGTGTGGGGACTGGTCGAAGGCGCCAAGGAATCTGAGACGTCCTAGAACATCAGGACTATCATCGGACCGAATGGTTGAGATAGGCTACCCAAAGCTTGATAAACGACTCACAAATCATTCAAGAATACAGGCAAGTCCTGACGAAACAGAACGTTCTTCTGGAGAACTTCACCCCCTATATAGAACAAAGGAACCTGCGTGAGGGATTTCAAACAGTAACGGATGACTTTACTTACCCCATAATTGCAGTCTAAACAAAAATAACGAATTGGCCACCGGATTAGTGCGCGCGTATCGATAGTGGTATACATAACAAACCTACGATTGTTCAACGTCTTCCATTTCTGCTTTGGGGAATCTTCTATCTGACGACTAGCTAAGGAGCGCACCTAAGAAACTAACTTGTTCGGCTACAACTCACCTTCCGTAGTAAATACTGTTCCTCATCTTCAGAGATGAAGTTTGGGATATAGAATGCAGCTGAAGTTCCTTGCAGGTGGTGTTCAGCAAGGAGGTCCATAATATTGGTATTACCTGAACCAAGAAGGTCTGGGAATGCTTAGCTCAAGTTGTTACGTCATATGAAGTGCGGTTTGGTGCAGTTGACTTCACACGCCGTTTTCGCTAGACTGAGAATTCGACTTAGAACCACTCCGACTATGTCCTTGAGCAAAGAGTTTTGCCTTAGTCAGGCTACGCGGCCACTCCATCTCAGGCTACTTCATCTTTAATCCGCCTGTCTGACTATTTGATTTATCTTAATGTTCCATTTGTGACAAGGTCCTTTAGGAACCTTCGGTGCGAGCTATCTCCATCGATGAACGTCGAACGTCTATGGACTGGCTCAATGTTGAGGTATTCGTGTGGCTACTGCTTCCTCGATCCGTTCTCACCGCATCTCATCAGAAATATCCTTGATGGTAAAATTTCATCACCCATTTACGCGGTCCGTGTATTTTTATGGTTGATATAGGCTTCACAGCAAGTACTTGCGCTTCCAAATTCTTCGCTTGTATGGGATCATATCAAATACTGGTTAGCCAATCATAGCTATGTCAGGTTTGTCGTATGGCATGCAGAGACATCAAATGAGAAAGCGGGGGCTGATTTGCCTGCAGCAATGCTAGTATTGCGAATCTCGAACCTGGAGATGTTTCCAACCCCAAATAACATCCTCGAGGGGTCCTCAATTGGTATGTCAATGACTGCCATGTGTAGCACTGCTGTTTAATACTACAGTTTTGTGAAAGTCATGCATGGCAAAGACCATGCTCAAAAAGGAAGTCCTTCAACTTGATCGAGGGATCTTTCAGACACCCGGACCTCAGACCTTCGTTCCCTATTCATGATGTATTGTAGGAGCCAAAGATTCATACATCAGATTCGAAGCCCTCAGCTAACCCCTGCATATTAACAGAAGCCTTCGAGGTGCCGATGGCTTGCTCCTCTCGTTATCGGATGGCAAAATGCGGCGCCAAACACGGTTCCGTGCGTTAATAGATCTGGCGTGTCCAGTTAACCATAAGTTGAGTGTAAAGCTTTATCAGAAGTGTAGCTTCGATAAACATACCCGACTTGAAAGGCATTTGAAAATATTCCGGAGTACAGCCAGTGAGTTGTAAATGAAAATTCTGAATCACCAGACCCACTTTATTGAGGCTATTAATGCTATATAATAGTGGTTGCAATGATTTATGACAAAAGGTGAGGAAAAAATATAGGTCCTCGAAATCTCGAGCGAGACCCGGAAGACCGTGCATTATTTATGGCTCAGTGTCGGCGTTTCGTTTCATGCGATTATCTCAATGCACCGAAATTTGGGCCGTCGGACTATGACACCATGTTGCGACCAGGTTGTCATTCGCACACAACTGTAAGCGCTGAGTAAGTGTCTAGTACCGAGTCTACAAACTTGCGATCGACGGGCCTGTCGGGATCTGTCTTATTGATTGGTGCCGTCACTGCTGCTGTGACAATGAATGGCCAACGATACGATGTCGTGGTTCAAACGTGTCACCTGTTCTCCTGGGTGACCTTTCCGCTCCAGATTACGAAGTGCGGTTATACATCATGGATGCCGTGTCAAATTTTCCGAAATGATCGTGCTCATAAGTAATGCTTTTAAGGCGACGCAAGACAGCGCCAGTCGGTCGGTGGGCACTGGGTAAACAAAAGCCAAAAGCAAATTTAAATAGACAAAATGCTTGATCAAATACTATAAACAGGAGGCTGCGTGCATATTACTCAGGTGACTAGCCTATGTATATCTGATAAGTCCATGTCAAAGTGATGTTCGCTTTCCCCTTCAGGATCTTTCATTGTACAGAAGCGGAATCGGCCGGCAGAACGTTCCGCGACAAAGAAAGATATAGCCACGAAGACGAGAACTGCATGAGGCGAACCAACGCAACCTGCAAGAAGTATAGTGATGCGGCTATTTTTGTTGTTCCGAACCACTGGAAAGTGTCATTAATGGAGCTCTGTCTTGAACGAGATAGATGTCGTACACAGGGGTATAGACGCAAGGATAGCCCCGGCGGTTGCAGTTACCGCAACTAGGTCGACTGCCATCACATTTTAGTTTGCGACCTTGACGAATTCTCAGTACGCGTATTGGTACTTTATATCATAAAAGCACCACCTCGACAAAATTGGCAAGCCATCGCTGTCCTACGCGGGACCCGTGGGCTTGAGTCGTCATCCATAGGATTGTAATTATATTGACCACTAGTAGCCTGAGGAGCGTCAAACGGGAACTGCTATACAAATTGTGTGCACGTACATGTGAAGAAGACATTAGGACGGTATTATCGTTTAACGAAGAGCGACGTCTACGAGAAGCAGAAAAGGAGAACGATGCAGAGATGAGGGGCAGGAATAGCTGGTGCAATTTATGATGTCCCTAGCGAATTTAACGCTGAACCAACCTCGTATAAGTCGGGTAAATACGTATTTCCATCTGTACAGCCCGTATAGCCAGAACCCGCTTCGGCGTTGTTATTTTAAATATCGCACTAGTATGAAAACTCAGACGCTACATCGGGAAGAGATAGCTGAAGGTCCAAGATCTGACTGCGCTATCATGAGCTGCCCCAAAATGCCACGTGCCAACGAGACGATCAAGAAGACGTACATGTGTCCTGATTCCAGGCTGTTTCTACGAAGCTTCAATTAACCAATCAAATGGTAATGAACCAAGTGGCGAAAGGTCATGAACCGGAGGTAGACTGCCTATCAAACCGATCAAGCCAGAAAAGCCGAGGGTGCTCTCCACTGACACGCCAAATCCCTGCAAGCCACGGAGAGGGTTGTGGTGTATCTATACCCGATATTAAAGAAATTGCCGAGTCCGTCGAATACCGTTCGAAGGGAACCCATACAATGTGAACACACGATCTAAGATCATCTCTTTCCAATTTGTCAATTCAAGTTGGAGACTCAGACATGCCGTAATTTCTAGTCACTTGCTGACTCATCAACTTTTCTTCTGCAGCTAACACGTTACTTAGTTTGATATTCCCCGGTCCCGGCTGAAACGATTCAGGCTACTAATCGCGAAACTTGAGACTGTTAGTGTTCCCTACGGTACATCCATCATGGACCGTTATCCCCGAAACGTGAAAACACCAAACTGTCGTTAACCAGAACGTTCATTGCTTACACAATGTTTTTCTGAAACTCCGGTGTCCAGTCGTTTCCATTTCAAAAGGAGTTCTCGGCCATGAAATTTCTGTAAGTGGCACGTTATTGAATTTTCAAAACATTGGGCGTTAATGATATCTACTCGATCATCAATAGCTGGTGTTGTGGACGCTTGTCGGCGCTCCACCCATCGATGGTATCAAATTCCGCGGAAGATTTCATTGCGCTGGAATTTGATCCGATGCGATGACTGGACCAGTACATCGCATAGTGGGTCCAACATCGACGTCTCTCCTGGATAAATGAAGCCATAGGTTTCCTCGCCCAAAGTAACAAAAGGTCTGTAAGTGTAAGTAGTAGTTCTACGCCGCATACACGTCTACTGATTTAATAGCTGTAATCAAGGTACAAATAGAATCAAGATCTTTCTGGGAAGTAAGACAACACGTATATGAACGTTAAGCATTTCCTCTTCCAGGAGATGCCAATTATGGAGGCACTGGTGCGGCTGCCAGGGGCTGTGGTAATATGGGTGGTCACGAATTACAGCGTATCCATGACTGAAGAAGCAGGGGCATCCAAGATTCGAGGGACCTATCTGTACCCGAAACCAGAACGGTAGGGGAATCGGGCTTCAAGAAGTTCACGTGCAACCCAAAAAAGTGCGGGGAAACGAATGGTACTACTCTTGATGCATTTCTGATGCGCCGATGGCCAATATCTTGATGAACTGAAAATTCCGCTATCACGGGCAGAATCTATTAGGGTTAGCTACGACACAGTCCTCCTGAGGGTATAGCCTGGTATAGTCCGTTATTTCGCTGTCGTGCGTTGTAACTAAGCTAAAACCTTGTTGCGATCTCATTATAGGTTATTAAAGGCCAGCGCCTGCCAGCGTTGGAGGTAGCGCATCATTACTCAAGCTGACTTCAGGAATTTTATCACCGATAAATATAACCTTCCGTAGCGGTGTCCACCTTGACTCCCCCTCCTACTAGCCCGAGTCCGATTCTTCGCAAACCAGGGTACACTCAGTGCTTACTACCTGACCACTTCCCATACAACGGTAATTGCGTGCTTGTCTCGATCTGTTCCGCTGATCTGTCGATGTATGTGAACAAATAAAAAAGCCAGTCCTCATTCCTTTGTTGCCTTGAAGCCGCTGGCAATGATTTCGGCCCCGCTGGCCCGCGGTATGATCGTAATTCATCAAATCCACGCGACAATCTGATAAACATATTGACTATGGGATCGCCTGCCTCTGTAATATGTGAGGCAGGCATATGGAGTGCTCGCCGCGGGACTGGCCCAATACATCCTCCGCATGTAATAGTCTATAGGGTACAGCCCTAGTGGGCAACACGGAAAGTTCCCCAAATCTCCTGCAGTGCGACTTTCACAAGCGCTGTTTACTGCGGAGCATAGTCCGTCCGTCTAGAGCGGGAAAGGCTTTTCTTCTTCTCAGAATTTACATCTCAGAGGGTCGGTTTGAAGAGGTTCGAAGATGGGAACGTTGATTTAATGAGTCTAAAGATCATGCATGCATTTTTGCTCGCCTCAACCCCCGAGGGGATCGCGCATCCGTTGGAGCGCATCATCTTAGATCATCTCGTTAGTCGTGGGTGTTCTGTTGTTGCCAATATTCTATTGTTGGAGATTAAAAATTTTCAAGGACTAGAACACCACGCGACCAATAATGACTTGCCTGCATACGATTCATGAAGTAGTAACGAAATGTGTAATTGTGATCAGGTACAGTGCGAAGTACATATCAGATAATATAGTCAGATCGTTAGTATGTACAAAGTTGCAATGACTTCAGTGTATCATATTAGTGATGAAAATATGTCAGGTAAAGATGAGGATGAGCTAAACGCGACCAAGGAGCAAAGGGGCGTTTGATAAATACGTTAGCGCAATGTACCCACTAACCACTTGCGAAACGAAAAAAAACCAGGAAGATACATTCATGCCTTGCGAGGGGGCGGATATATTGCGAGATAGATAAGGTAGGAATGGCTCGGTGTCGGAGCAGAAATGACGCGGACATTATTCTGCACAGGGAGCGATCAGGCTCTGATTCGCCACCCATCACCCTTTCTGCGCTCTCGGCCAACGCCCCCGAATGACTCTCGTACGACGAGCCATAAAGCGGTGGATGAAATTGCATCCTTGATCTCCTCAGCGGAAAGCGTCAACTCGCCCGAATTAGAGGTAGTTCGGATAACACCCTGCGCAGTAACTACACGACGGTGTACCGCAAGGCGCTCAACTTCTATGTCTGGCAACGGAAAGGGGACTTTCAGGAGTCCGACGACTTTGGGATGGTGTGGGGTCGGCGCAAGTGTGGCAACTTTCAGTCGAATGGTATGGTCTTGCTGCTCTGCGGAACTGTGCATCGGTGGCGAATGACCTGTGCGTTGTACCATGAGAGTACACGTCCAAGGCGTCTCTGAATCCTCGGCTTCACTGTCGTCACCAGAATTCTCCACGCTGCAAACGCTACTTCCAGTGCAAGTACTACCATCCGAGCTGGTACTGTGACTGTGGTGCGAGGACCTTGACCGACTATGGCTTATTGACGGAGCATGGATACCCGATGGTGGGTCAAGCACACGAGACGGCGATTTGTGAACCGACTTCATCAATGGCAGTTCTGATGTCACAACCGCGCTGCCGCGGCGGCTGACGCTCCCACTCTCGGGGCCTTGCGCCGGCGATCTCCTATCAGTACGGGATTTCCTACCCCGCACCTTCTTCTTTTTCAGTCCTCGTGACCACTCAAAACGCACCTCCACCTGCGGAGCACTGGCTCCAGCAAGATCCCCGCGCCCATTTGCGCTCAATTTACCCATCATCCCGTTCAAGAGGCCCGTGTCTGTGCCCTTCAGCCATTTGCGGACAACCCAAACATACTTGGTGGGTCGGCCCTTGAGTGGAGATATCGACGAATAAAGGGAAGCTTGGATACCGAGGACAGGAGGACAGAGTGTGACAGTGGATGAAATTCCTGACAACGAGGTGGGTGGGAGGTTATCATTAAAACGAGGTATATCCGCACCTTGAGGACTCGACGAGGGTATGTCATGCGATCCGCGAGACGAGAGACGAGTTATGCTTGGCAAACCCTGCAAATCGGTAGCCGCTATCGGCACCACTAATGGAAGCGTTCGTGGAGACGTGTCCTTTTTCTTGAACATCTTAGTAAACAGCTTTTTAGCGCCCCCGCGCTGGGGCGGTGCGCTGCTATTTATAGTATCTTCCAGGATAGCGGGGGTAAGGGTAAAACTGGGTTTACGAGAGAGATCGGTGTGTGAAGAAGGCGAAAGGGTAGTTGCGAAAACTTCGGGTGTAACAGCCCTACTGCTCGAAGAGTGGGGGCGTGCCCGAGGGAGCAAGCCTAGTTCTCGTTTGGAATCATCAACGCTAGTGCGCGCGCTGCTACTTGGCGGTAAGGCACCTAGCAACGGAACAGTGCCCCAGACTTCGATAGGTTCGAGGACGGCTAGACCAAGAATTTCCAAACCTCTCTTGGCGAATTTAGCCACTTTCGCCTCAGTGCCAGCATCCACTATGACATTAGTCATGACATTGTGAGCTTGAAGATTGTAAAGTGGAATAATCATGCGACGCCCCGAACTCGTAGTTGACGACGAAGCAAATGAGGATATAGAGCTTGCGGAGGTGTATGCTGAAAACGCAGACGACTCTGACTGGCCGGAAGGCGTTCTTCGAAGATCAATGGAATCAGTGGTGTCAGCTGTATCTGGAGTTGAATGGTCGAGGGCCTGGACAGTCGCATGGGGTCGATCATGACGAGATTGCGGGGGTACAAGTTGAACTTGGAGATTGAGCGGGTGATTTGATTTACTCGGTGGAGGTCGTACAACAATGAAAGTCTGAATGATATATTCAAGTTGTTGAGCCGCCTTTCAACCAGGATAGTATGAGACGTACCTCATTTACAAGTTTCTCCCTCTTGTCTTTTTTCTTCGACTTGGGATCACTGGCAGTGTAGTCCAGTGGCTGAGAATTAGCATCTGGCTCTGGAACGTCATTGTTTGGAGTTGAAAGTGATTGGTGTGAGCGTTGCTCGTGGCCCGGTTGTTGAACAGATATTAGGAAGGATGAGAAACTGGAGAACATGATTGTCGTTTACGAGCAAGGGCGAACCCGGAGCAGTCAAAGGACCATCAAGGATCAGTAGGAAGAGGTCTTGAATACCTTGCCAGCTAGCTACGTACGGTTATTATGACATTGATTACTTCATACTCCGTCGGCACTGCGGCTACAGCAACAAATACTGGTCACGTAAACAGTTGTCCACGCCAATGGATACGAGGCAATGGGCATATCAGTTGGAGGCCTGTCAACCGAAAAGCTGCGCCCGCAGAATCGTGTTGAACATGAAAGTGTATGATTACCGATGTGAAGAATCACATGCACAGCTGCATTCAAGATACCTGCGGCGGCGGCCTCAACCAAAACTTTGCCACAACACATATCAGATACCTAGATGCTTGGAGTAACACAGGCACATAATGATAGTACCGCGGCACCGACAGCCTACAGGCTACCATCTTTTCGATCTCAGGCTATCCGTATGGTAATACTCCGAGAGGAGGGGAAATAATTGCTACTATACTGGTCCTGGAAGACAATGAGTGGGGCTGCGAAGAAGGCGGACGCATGCCTAAAAGATGGTAGCAGGTGAATGAGTAAGTACTCATGAGAGTGGCAGTGATGTAGTGTACATGATTGGAGCGGAGGTCGTGTAGACTTGGGTCATCAAGCTTCAAGGACGACGCAACGTCAAACAAGGTGCTTCACAGAAGGTATTCGATTCACCTGGAGTTGCCTGGCAGGTTACAACTGGAGAGTGTAGATATTAGAACTCTTGCTTACATCGATAGTTGTAGAGATCGACTCACTCTCCGGATTACGGTATATCTCATCGGCCAAAGGGCGCACTTGGCCGGCACTCTGGCGTCGAACGATACTGACCTGTACCTCTACTGCGGACTGGCTAGCGCCTACCGAATCATTGCTTCCAGTCATAATATAGTCTCCCTACGAAACCTTAGACAACGGAACAAGTTCTCCAGGGCGTATCTTAACTTGCTGAATTGCTGTCGCTCAAACAAACCACATACAACTTCCAGCGCAACATCCACGCCAGAATCGGCTGTCAAAATTCAACTATAAGTTCCTCTATTAATATTGTCGTTCGATGTAATTCTAGTCAACGCACCTTATAAGGGAATACAGACAGGAACCCATTCTGCCAATGGACCATTGCATTCCTAAAATTACACTGCATGCTCTCCGGAGGCGCAAGGTGCTCGACTCGGAAGTTTAAGTCCTCCGAGGTCTGATGGGATACGTGTTGCAGTCATAGTCAGGTATTGAGGGTTATAGCAAGTACAGATACACTACTTACACAGATGGAGATGAGTCCACCATGTGCTACCGGAAGTATACGTTCGTCCGCAATTCACCAAGTCCAGTCCACTCCCCGGGCCCGATGTGAGGGAGAAGCGTGATTCCGGTGTCCAACTGTAGCCACGAAGGTCGAGTGACCCCAGCATTGACGCATTGATGCGTTCTTAGAAATCAACGACTGATATGCGAACACGCAGCAGTCAAGGTGCTGAGAACTCACATCTTCAATCGACACGCCGTCTACCAGTAAATGGGACGCCCATATGTTATGATACGGTCCGGCCGCAGCCCGCAGCCTGGCCAGGGAACCGAGCCACAGGCACCGCGCAATTTCTAACAAAAATCCCAACACGTTTGTTTGTGGGCCATGTGCATATGACACCGTTGCGACAAAATCGTAGTTTCAGTTACTGGCAAAGATGCGCGCCTCCGGCCGGTCCGTGAACCATTTGTCATGGAAATGTCCAGCCAGTTGACAAGTCTGACAAACTCTGCGGGCACTCTTGTGTAGTTGTGTAAGTAGTGAGAACGAAAATGTTTGCTTGATTGTAAGCAGATGGTTTTTTTCGGGTGGAAAAGGCCCGACCGAAGGGGTAACCCGGCCGGCCCCGACTTATATATGCCAAAGTGAGCCAAGATGAGCTGCAGCCGTCGGGTGCAAGTCACCCGGGCCCCGGTAGTAGACTAGTTAGATTAGGAGGATGTGATTACGTAGCTAAGTGGGTATAAGTATAGTAGAAAATTGTAATGTAGGCGCACTGTGCACAGGAAAGGGATCCGGAGTGGTGGGTATGGAAACGAAAATACGAAAAGGCAGCAGGCTGCAGGCAGGGCGTGACGTCAGAGCTTTGCCGGAGCCTGGGCGCTGTGTGGTAGGCGGAGAAGAGAGGCCGCATGCCGCACAGCCGCTGTAAGAAGTCCTTATTCTAACCATACACTCTTACCTCGCTTCGGGGTAGAATCCCAATGGACGTGAACGCAATTGTGCCGCTAAGACCAAGGCACACGTAACAGTGTACAACGACTCTTCGACAGGGCACGGTCATTCGTGTCATCACCAAGCCTCCCAAGGGATACTTGAACCGACTGCGCCCAGTTGGACGCGAGGTGATCGAGGTTATTGGGTATCCAAGTGGTTGTATTTACCACAGGTGATGCTGTGTTCGGTCTACATCCTATAGGGCTTTAATTCACCGAAATTGAGGACCCGGATACGGTATCACGATTGAATTCGACCGTAGTCCTGCAGATGTGTGCGGTAAATGACAACCGCATGTCATATCACAGAGTTGTCAATTTAAATTGGATTCGAGATTTTTATGAGTGGGAGAGAAGTAAAAACTTTACTGCGGACCTGTAACCTGATGTACATGGAAGTCGGGAACGTCCGGGGGAGACAGTGGAAAGAACCCATATAATATATATAGTCGTACTGCGGAAGTATCAGATCAATGCTGAATAGTAGATCTTTACAACAAAGCTTACGCGATAGTAAACGCCCACTCCACCGTTCTATAGCGTTCGTTGGGTAACACTGAACATTTCCTTAGCTAGAATACTTTCAGTGAACATACCTAATATTTCGAAACGCACCGACTCATTCGTCATCCGTTCACGGCAACGTGACGTCGTCTGAAACCCGCAAACTTTCATAGTACACGAGTACCTCGCAAGTGACTTATCCATCCCTTGATGCTCAGGGACCGACGTAGGCGCCATAATTAAGGGATGCAGCAGTGCCATTTCCTCCGAAGGCGTTTGATAGAATCTGCAAGAGCGCATCATTAGTGACTAAATTCGCATAGACGACGGGCCCATTTTAACGGTATATATAGTTTCAAACAGCTGCTAATCCACGTTTGGCACCAATGACTCGGAAGTTATAGGTATATCGTTTTCAAACACTGCAGTCCCGAAGACCTGAACCAAAGATGTCCCGTTCAACTCTGGATTAGAAACCGCATTCTGAGCACCTTGTGACCAGAGTAGATCGCATAGGGGTTTCCCTGTGACTTGAAAATGAGAACTGTGGGCATCTACGTATGACTCCATAAGGTCACTCACTTCGTGCCCATAGCAACGTCATGTATATTAACATGGCACTAGCACAAAGTCCGAGTCAGGGTATCATCAGCAGCAAAAGTACTGCTCTAACCATTTGCGTCAGCCACGAAACATAGCAAGCACTGGGCGTGGACGTACCGGGCCTTATACCTAGGTAACCCTTTCGATATCTGCCGCAAAGTCGGTGGCAGCAAGTGCACGCCAAGCCAATCGTCCGGGAGTATATCGGCGTGGCTACACCATTTGTGACTGACAGAAAAAATAACAATGCAAAGGAAGAGTCAAAGAGTATGGGCACCATCTATGAAGGCGGCAGGGCCTGGAATAGCTTGAAATATCCAACATGTCATCCTAAGATACGAAGAAGCAAGTGCAATGCACATGTTCTCGTGACAGGATCAAGGCACCAGGATGCGCATGACGAGATTGACCGTTCAAGAGATTTTCTTTCCAGAAATCTGTATGTTCATTGTGACTTTGAATGTTCGGCTGGAATGAGGCCCGAGGATGACAAAGAGTGACCACTGAACATCAGATCTAGGAATGTCATCACACATTGGAGCTTGTCAAGCCAATGGTAAAACAAGGTCCGCTAGCTTTCTTGCGATCATGATGGAATCTAGACAGCAAGGCATGGTGTTGAAGTTAGACCAACGAGATACTGAGACGATAGACAAGACCAGATAACCCAGTGTGAAATAGAGATCATACATACTGTCCCCAAAGATAAAACAAAGCGACAGGTCATGGCAAAACAGGTGATAAATATGCATTTTATGGCGGGGAGTCAGGCCTGACAGAAGGTAGGGTTACAGAACCCTCATTCCTGAGTCGTTCTTCGTCCTGACCCGGAATCATACCATCATCTGGTGTCCCGACATCTTCATCGTCCGCATCAGTCAGGAACTCGACAGCAGATGGACCGTCGTCCTCGGAGAGGCGGATTTGGCCTTCCGTCCTCGTCCACGTTTGAAGCCTGTGTCTGTATAAGTCCGAATTATGTGGCATGAACATAATGATCGCACTGGTGGGATACTACTGCACGCAGAGCACTTGCGCGACGCCAAAGCAAGTAAAGCAAGCACAACGTGGAAGTGGTGAAGATGAATATCAGGCCAAAATTTCCCAATGGCTGTGGCTTATTGCCATCGTGAGGTTCTGTTCGAAGAAGTAGAGCTGTGAGATTAGCGTTGGGGAACATGGGAGTCTGATTATGTGGCCGACCTCCAGGTGCTACAATACTAGGTGCCATATGAACTCTCCCTTGACGAGGCAGGCAGGAGGCGATGGGAAGAAGTGAATGGATGAGTATTACTCAGTTACTTATAATTAAACTCCCACTAGGTGGATAGCATTGAAAAATCTAAATCCTCTCTCCTCAAGATACTTGAGATGCGGCATCATGCGGTTCCACCAACCGACGTCATGTGACTACCGTACAGTGGCTGTACAGGGTATAGCAATCTAATATTATCTATGTAGACAAAAATCGATATACATGTAAGACCGACGTTACAAGCAGGTGTACTGTAGACTGTTGGAAGTCAACCAGCCAACATCACAATGGTACATAGTATCTTTTTCGTTTAACTCAGACACTCGTTCACTGCGCCGACGGAGTTACCATATTAGGTAACTCCATGCACGATACTATACTCGACTGGGTCATAGAGAACCACAATAAAACTACGATGACATATTGTCTCATTATCTGAATCAGGCTCTCTCGTCTCATATGACCACTGGAAGATTGAAGTGTCGACATTGGTCAGATTCTTATGGGGGTGCCCAAGATTAGCCTATAAGTTCAACATGAAGTTCTGTCCACGGATCAGCTTCAAGGTGTCTGGCCAAAGCGAGATTGTGGCGGCTTGAATTCCTCAACAGATTGACAACATCCTTAACTCCTCCGCTGACTGTAGTTTCTCGAGGCTCCCCATGCCTTGAGTTTATCCTGTGGAGTGATCGCCAGATAACATCCATTCAAAGGAATTTGTTGTAGAAGGACAATTTAATTCAGGACACACTTACCACGTTTGTCATGCGTACTAGGGTGAACCATATGAACAGTCAGAGGCAGAGCATAAGGGGGCCAATGATGACATGAAGACACCAGCCAGGTGGGTCCAAAATATCCAAATAAGTAAGTACGCAAATTTAGGAAGTCAATAGGAAATCATTAACACTGGTATACGTGCAAAAATATAGAAGCATGTAGGCGGCGTGCTGTGAATGAATAAATACGTAGGTCTCGGTATTAGTGGTACATACACCGTACAATGCTTATCGTATGGTAGACCTCAAGGTCATGTCACTGCCTTCATTTTTTTCCTTGTCATCGGGCGCGGACCAGACCCTAAACATCTTAATGGTCTCCTCCTTTGGACTGACAGTAAATACAGAACATCCGTCGGGGGCCATACAAGAATGGCCCACAGGAGCGGAGTGTGCTTTGACGTTAACAATTCGTCGACAGGATGGGTAAGAATGAACGGCAAGTGAGTTTTCTACACCTACGGCTGATGTATTGGCCACCGGGCGTACGCTGGTTTGAGGTACAGCCCATGAAGATCCGTGAGTGCTCAAGAGCTCCTTGCAGTGGGGGGACCAGTGCAAAGATGTGATGGTTGTCTGTAAGGGGATAGTATGCATGGGGCCAGAGGATGGCGCCAACTTTCCAGTATTCCAAATGTGTATTTCGCCGTCGGGGGAACCTCCTCCAGTTGCCAGCAGGCCATGTTGCCACGGACTCCATGACAAGGCCTTGAAAAACAAAACAAAAAAGATAATTGCCGCGGAAGAGTAATCTCATCATGCTACATACCTTGACCGGACCCTTGTGCTTCATGCGGATATTTTTGTCGCCAGTCGTAAGAAGATCACTTGCTCTATGGTCCCATATATGGACAATACCACTGTCATCTCCTGTGGCCAAATGGCGTCCGTCAACTGACCATTTCACACCGTGTACACGGCGTTTATGGCCCATAATCTTGGCTATCTCAGCCCGCATCCGGATATCGAACAGGGTCACATTGCCGCCGGTCCTGCCAACAGCAAGGACATCGCCATTCCAGTGCATGCCTCCCATACCATGGGCACCATCAACCCAGTCTACAAGCTGCATTCTTTTTTCGGCATCTATAACTCTGACATCACCGACTGTCGTCCCAAGAGCGAGGAGATAAGGTTTGGATTTTCCACCCCAATCGATACTATGGACCGTCCCGTCTGAAAGCGAGGAACGACACAGGTGAACTACTGCACGAGATTCAAGGTTCTGAAAATACACGTCATATTTGAAAGCAACTCCGATGCAGTTGGCATGTGACCATGCCATTGGAGAGGCGAAAAGGTTCGTAGACATCCCAGGTCCATCGAGGGCTAGTACAAAATGGTTCCGAGCCCCTAAATTAGCCTTTGCTGAGAGCAGAGACGCAGCACGCGAAGTCGAAAACAATTCGGAAGCACTTCGGCGAAGCAATGAACGAAAACACCGGTCTGAAAAGGGTGAGGGAGAGTCGGTGGGACTTAATACACGGTCGTCAAGTAGACCAAACGCTTTGGCGATACGATTTGTTCTCGGTGTAATATTCAATGGCAATGACGTTGAAGTTCGGACTGTCACAAATCGATCACCCTAAATCTCCCATGTGTAGCATGCTATGTTGGCTAGGCGAAGTCCTTACGTTTATCTCCTCGATTGGAGTCTCCGGTACTAAGGGTCTCGCTAAATCTTGTCCCAAGTCAAGCGAAGCCACGGAAACCCGCCTTCGCTTCCGGGTCGAGTATGTGCTCGAAACGCTAGCGCGTGATGGAGTGCGCTTTATCGTGGTACATGTTGGGGTAATAGTATCTGTGATACCACCATATTCGCTGTGGATCTCATTAGTTCCCGTCCTGTAGATAACACGACTCGGAGAATACAGACTCGGACATGATAGTTTGCCGCGGTATGAAAAAAGGGATACACAGAGTAAACGGGCAACTTCTTCTAGGTCCAGTCAAAATCCAGTGGTTCGTGATCGTGATGCGTTGTCAATCGTTGTTACGGTACGGTTAGAAAGGCAACCACTGGATGCCAATCGGTGTTTGTTTGAGTCTAAAGGTACAGCCAAACAACCGCCTTCTATATCCGGCCTGCCGGCGGTTGTCACACGGGTTATGACATTGGCAGGTTGTCTCTGAAGCTCATTTCAGAGTTTGATTCGATTGACCCGCGCGGGTTGATTGGCGAGCACTCCGGCTATTTGAAACAGTTACTCCCTGGGTTCGTACCTATCATACTATCGCCACGCCACCGCACTGCCGATACCCACCAAGTTGCCTGAAGTTGGCCAGCACATCGGATGTTAATTTTTGCGACATCTGATATGGCACAGCCCAGACTTCTTAGCGAAGAGCGCTGCTGGTTGTCAACTTTCTGGTCATCTTGTTTGATCTCAGGCTGTTTTACAGCGGATGGATATTTGATTTTTGTCGGACAAATTACGGTATAGGGACGTATGATTCTGAATCTGATGCTAATATTGCGCCACTTCCACACGCAGCGCCACTGCAGTTAGGACCAGGTATACTCTGATAAAATATTGGTTATAAATGCGACTTCTTTCTAGGGCGCAGCTCTATCCTGGTATCGATTGCTGTGGTCATCCAGTGACAGGACAGTAACATGTTCAAATATACTTACTCTCAAATATCTAATATTATAGCTTGTACAATTGTTACAGTGGTGGCCATCATCCTGACAAGTTACGTAAACTCGGGATCCTAGCATGCATCATTAAAATACCAAAACGTCGAGTGATCTCGCTGAGCTTGTAAGGATACCTGCCAGTACTTACTGGCACATAACGTGGATATTGACCATGTTCAATAACGACTCGAATTGACTGAGTCCTGAGGACAAATGTTCATACCAAGTTGGCCGTATCGTGCGGGTGGAATGATAGAACAACCACCTGGACACCTCTTGGTAAAATTGCGTTTATAAACAGGGACAACTTGTACACTACATTTAAGACAAATAGGACTCCGCAAATATACAAGAGCATCAATATTGTATCCCCAGTGCCCGCTACCTCACGACATCACCGACATGAATAGCGGTTTTATTAACGCATCATTCCATGACACTGCAAAGTAATGGCATATGAACAAAAAGAAAAGAAAAGGCGAGCTGACATAACAACACTGTCGACAACAAAAATCCCAGAGACGCTTAGAAAGTAGCAATGCATATGGACGGATTGAAATTTTTCCTTGAGATCAAACATTAAGGTGAATGTGATGTGTGGATCTAGAACCTCCCAAATGGAGCGTGAATTGATCCACCGACATGCGTTCTGTGAGTTGTGGCTCATGAATCATTCATCATCCCTTGGGAGAAGGAGCTTCTTGTCCGGGCGCTCATACGGGGTCCGAGGTGAAGAACGCCACTTTGGATTGTAGGGTTCATCGGCAGCAGGGACGATCTGGTCAAGTGTTTCAAAGCGACCCTCTGACTCCGAACAATCAAGAGGTGCGATGAGTACTTTGCGACCAATCTTTGCACGCCTTCTGTGTTTTGGATCATCAGTGATGGCGGATTTCACCTTCCGCTGCTGCTCTCTAAACTTGAGCAGTGGCAGAACATCTGAACGAGCGAACTTCTCCCGGCGATGTCATCACCGACCAAACAAACTGCATCACGGCCAGCTCGGGAGTAGTGTAAACTGGACGCCCAGGGGAAGGCAGGCGAGGTATAACGTAGGATAAGGCGTTACGGGCTCTAGAGCCAAGCGGGGTGTGGGGTGCTATCATTCCTGATCCAAAGGTCTTCGCCAATTCAGCCCAGTGAGATGTCTGAGCCTCGACTGCTAGTTGGTCGTGATCCTTGTAAAATCGAACAGCGGAGATATTCAGGAAGCGAACGCCTTCGGGAGTGATGAGGATATCGTGAGGGACAAGAGAACCCAATAGAATTCCGTGTCTCTGGATATCAGCTACTGCTGCGAAAACAGCAGCACGGTCGGTAGGACACACACGACCTGCATGATATGAGCACGAACAACCGTATCGCGTATAATCTCAGCTTACGTCCAATAATTGGCTCACACATGACACCGATGACCATTCCACTTTTGTAGACATGGGCGAGTAGCTTGAAGGTGTAATGGCTAACACCAGCCTCATTCATAAGCTTGTGTCCAAGGCTCTCCGCAGCAACAAATTTTGACCAAACTGCGTGTACGCCTATAAAAAGGTCGACTTCCGTTCCTGTAGGAGGAGATATGAGAATCATGGTCAAGGGGGCATTACACGACGTGACCTTCGTGTATCCCCTCCCATAACGCGCAGTCCACGATACGAGTAACTTCTATATCATCCAAATTTACTTTCTTCGTCCAAACCGGGCATTTCAAACGAACAAACTCCTTCCTAGTGTAAATCAGGCTGTATGTATTGTCCTTGGTGATCGTTTGTGAATAATGAATAGAGGATGATTTCAGTTACTCTCACCTTTTGTCTTACAAGATGTGCCCAATTGTTCTCTGTGCCGAACTTCAGGTTATCGAGCATCGTCTGCAGCACTTCTTGTAGGTAATAAAAGGCCTCTCTGTCAGATGAGAAGTTTCGAGACGACCAGGTTTCGGAATAGTCGACGCCAGGACGGCGGTATGGTTCTGCTTGAATAGATAGGACTTCGCCATTCTTCCACAGGTGATAGAAGCGCCCTTGGTCATGTTCGGTATAGCCGCCTATACGGAAAGTGAGATTTTTGAAATCGGTTGTCCGTCTGAGTTTGTGGATGGTGAGATCCTTCTACAGGCATGAGTCAGTTCTGCAAAAATTGTGGCGTGCTAGGTGCTGGACCCACACTTGCGTACTCCATGGCCGCTGACTTTGAGAGATCGAAACACGTTCTTTCTTGCTGTGCTTCATCGATATGATGGTCAATACTAGAGTTTCCCAGAATGGGTGATAGGTGAAGCACGTGGCAGTACTTATTACGTTCGGGGGACGATCTTCTTAGTTCTATACTTTCAGGTGAGATCGGGACAGTCCTACTGAGATGATTTCGCTTCAACCGTCTGTGGTCGACTTTGCTCATGAAGTCGGTCTATCCTATTGAATTGGCGTAATCCAGCACAACCTGTATATAAGCCAGAATTATGGTAGTTAAATGTCTTATTTTCCCTATCCTTGGAATCCTGACGAGGACTCATGATTCAGCCGACGCCACCGAAGCCTGTTGTTGAGCTTCACTGCCCTGGTGAGTCCTAGATATTACTGTTTTACATCTTCCCCCGAACAGATAATTATCTCAATTCGTCGTTGCTCCGCCAACATGGTCTCTGCTTTAAAGTGCGCAGTGAGTCGACAGTACACTCCATTACTCCTCGCAAAAATATTAACGATGTGTATCTCTCAAGCCTATTTCTGTGCAGTCCACGAGGTACGATTCTACGTACTCGAGCCTTGCTCTAGGGGTATGAGTGGACGACCTTGTCCATCTCCTCGAGTATCGGAGGATGCCAAATCTAGCTTGCCTTGCTCCAAATGTCCTCGCCGCTGAGTACGTCTTCCCTGGTCGTCTTGTACTTCTGATGTTTATTTCTTATTCACGCAGTCACCTTCTGCAAGGGGGGCACCATCGCAGCTGACAATTAGTACCAGGCACAGACTTCTCTGGCGAGGATGATCTACCCTCGATTCCGCACCATGGCCGACATCTCAAACTCGTCATACGATGCCACCGGGAACACGCCACTCGTCATATATGTGACGGTCTAATTTATCTCATTTATTCTTACTCTATTTCAGGCTCCTAATCTCGCTAGCGTTGTCTAACAGTCTGTGTAGCATACTACCCAAGTCTCAGCCCTGATCAGTGAGTACGAATTCTTGATAACTTAATGCACGTTGACATATGACCTTTGACAAGACATCCACGAGTGATCCCATCATTCTCATACGGCCTTAGACCTCAAACTACTTGCCTGGATAATCTGCCGCAGCCCTCAATCCCTCTACTTTAAGACCTATCTAACTAATGCTATACGCACCATCTGCAGTGCATACATCATATTTTACCTACTCGTCCATCAATCATTAATAAGACCCCCTTCTGTATTTTCACCCAAGATCCTTGTTCTGTCACTCAGCAGCCGGACTAATCCTGCACGGACCGGCAAACCTTGTTGTAAGACTAGCCCAGGCGAGATGCACACGCTCTGGTTTCGCTCAAACTTGCATAGAAGTAAGGATATCGGTAAACTGAATTTATATCCAGAAATCAGTATATGATTCCGTTATCTCCGCCTACTCATCACGAAACAGCCCTCATAACCGTTGGCACCGGGGAGACTGAGCGTGTCTCGCCAGCGCCCAGTGAGGCTCCCGTTGATGCTACCAACCAGATAGCCCCGGTAAAGCCATTGTCCTCGATCGCCTTCGACCTAATAAAAGGAGGAATTCATGCATGACACATTATATGAATTCAGTAGACGTACATATTCCTTCAAAAAACTAACAAACCCGTCGCAAGGTCGTACCCTACCAATGACATTGAATTGACCCCAAGCAGAATGACCCTGGGCAAAAAATGAGAACAGTTTAAGATAAGTAAATCATTAATGACCTCTCCTACGACAATAATATCTTGAACCTCGGGGCACTTGAAGCCCTCGGCTTCCTCGCCACAAGCCGACGGCTGGCTGTAAGAAAGTGGAGCCATTTTCCCAGGCTCGTGTACCTCCGCACCGCCTGCGTGCTCGTGAATGCGGATGCCAGACGGAAAAAAACGCCTTGAGCGGATCACCCGAGCTCAGCGACGGTGATTTTACGCCGTCGGCAATGCCATCAGCGCCCCTTGATACAATTAAGTGATACTCTCGTAACTTCCATGTTTGACGATGCTGCGCAACCATACAATTATGAAGGATTGAAGGGGAGCGTCCAGACAGAAGCGCAGCATAGGTAGTGAATTCTGTGTACTAAGGGGAGCTTGTTTAATGGAGGGTTTCAGGCTCGCGCTATGAATTAACCTACCGTAAAGACACCTTCCCACACACCTTGTATACTGCCGACTTTATATGCACCCGAGAATTGATTGGCGAGAGGATTTTCAGCGAGATTCATGCACCTCTGCCAATCAGCTTCCCACTCAAGACTCTGATTCAGAGAGAATGGAAAACTGTTCGGTGTATGTGGTCCTTTGTAGACAACCCTTGCTGGACCTAAAAGGGGACCCACCAAGCTGAGGTAAGAGAGGATTGCAGGAATAGCCATAGTCGGTGGAGTCAGTTGATATGAATTAGAATAGTGATTTATGCACGTAGGCTCAAGCAGACAGGACCTGGGGACAAAGTCCTCCCATGGGGCGTGACATATATTATACTTGGATTATCAGCAGATGCATGAAGGTAGAAATAAGGACATACCTTGTTGGCTGCTAAAGCAGTCGGTTTCAAAACGGTTGCAAAAGTCCGATAGTTCCTTTCGGTACGCTGGAAACGGTCTGTGAAACGAGGGTTATACTGCAGTACAGGAGTGGAGATGACCCATACGACGCACCGGGTCTGAGAAACAACCAAAACAACCACATTGCCAGAGAATTGTGCTCATTATTGAGCGGCCACACATCTTCCAAGAGGGTCTTCGAGGCGAGCGATGCACCCTCGTCATCGAACCAATACTCCATCAACCATCGCTCTATTCCTGCGTACTCCCTCAGTTGCTTGACATTCTTTCCGTCATTTTCAAGCATCATTAGGTAGGCAAGCCAAAGCAACTCGCTAATGATCGGCGAATTCGACATAGTATCTGGTGCGCGTATTTGGGAATCCGTCCGCGCCCGTATCCGCTTCAGGCAAACAAATCGTTTGCGCAACTCCTTCGATAAGATATCAGGTGTGGCGACCTGCGGGCCCAGACGGCGAACGGCGGCACTAAGATCGAATTTATACTCAAATATGCGCGCGCAAAGATGTAGATTTGTCTCGAATGATAGAGCACGGTATACGCTCCTGCAGCTTAGAAGTAGAGGGAGCAGATCGGGAGGTCCTACATCTGTCGTGGTTGCTGCGAAGAAAGCAATATTCTCCATCACTTCCTGAGGGAGCCAATCGAACGCGACGGCTTGAGTAGACATGATGTTGGTCGTGGTAGTGCAGTGAGTGAAGATTGCTTAAGAAATACTGTGTACCAATAATACTAGTACTGTCCCGCGGCCGGGCCGCCGTCGGACTATCATACTCACCAGTCCTTGCCTTGGCAGGTGAAGTGAACCCAAGAACTCGGCATGTATTCATACTAATAGGTATTATACACATGCAAATCGAGTCACATTGGCAGGGTAGTCGCAAAACTTTTTACTGCTTGCCGTTTCAATAGCGTTTAACGCAACAGCAATATTGTTGCATTATTAAAATAATTTAACTACATAGGTAGACGGGGAATATTTATACCCCAATACTGAGTAATAACATTTGTGTCAAATCCGCGAAGTGTGGTGCCAAAGGCATGCCGGTCCAAATATGCAAAAGACATGCAAAATAGAGTTGCATAGAGAAACCGTCAGGTCTATTTAGATGTATGTGTGAATGTATAGGAAAATCGGCAATTTTTTTTATTCGCTTGAATTGAGGAGGGGCTGATTACCATAGGAAACGCATTTCCATGGTTTTTAAAAAGATAGCGTCATCATTCTCTGCATAAGAAGCACCGAAGCGCCAAATAGTGAGGGTAGAGGACAAGTGTTGAGGCTGCTGGAAGACATTTTGCAACTCTGGACCATTTCCGGGCCAAAGATAGTAGGTTATATCAATGTGACAGCTATTCCCATGACATATCTTTGCACAAACTGAATATTGACTCCCATTCAGGGGGACGAACGCCGCCAGACATACATCTCCAGCGACCCACAAAGTTGCGAGAGGAGATAACTAACGCAATCTTGTCAGCGTACACAACAGTTATTTGCATCGAATTAACGCACTGTAGCCTCTGAATAACGCTCGTCCAAGCTCAACCATCTGAGGGTCCAGCTACATACCGATTGAGCGTGGAAAAGATAGCAGAATAGCGTTCCTTACTGGTTCACGGAGCAGAACGATTAAACCATCCGAGGGTCGTATCCGTCCTATGTAACGGTAGCCACCCCAAGCAGCTGCGTAGCGATCCTCCGTCTGTTGAAAAAATTAGATATGGGACAGGAAGGTTTCTATGGCACATACCACTCCTGTGATGATGACATCAAAAGCACCATGCACACTTGGCTTCGAATTGCCAGTAGTGCCTCCAACAAAGCCAATTTCGACATGCTCTTGCCTCGGCGGAGAATAATAAGACTTGAACGACGCGTTTTCTCCAGTAAATTCAATCCCTGCCTGTTGAAAATATCAACCTTTGCTCTGGAACTAATGACAAGACTAACCTCAGTCTCGTGCCACCGACAACCGATTGGCAAAAAAGCATTTTCAAACGCGCCTTCATTGCCTCTCAAGGGGAGAGGAATTGATGGAGAGTAACAGTAAAGCTCTCTGAATGTAACATAAAGAGGGAATCTGCCAAACGTTGGAAAAGGTAACGGAGCAGAGGAAGATGACAGCATATCCTTGTAGATATTATAATATGGGGCCTATTTATATCAGCCCACGTGAGGGATGAACAGGTGCAAAAACTCAACGATGAAAGACCCCTGCCAGCGACCGGAAATTGTGCCAGGGATATACTGTCCAGGTAAGGAAGAAGGAGAGCGATAGAGGGGATCACGAATGCAACGCGTCCAATCTGGATCATGACGCCGGCTCTTACGCAGAGTGTCGAAGCGGTTGCCGTATATCGTGTCCGGAAAGTGAGTCTTGCAACGAGTATTGAAGTATACTATGTCCTCTTTTGTAGGCCCTGAAATACCGTTTGCGACAGCTTCTGCTTGAGTCTCTGGTAGGTGTGGAGGGATCATAAGAGGGCGTGTCTCCAAACGAGAGAAGTGAACGAGAATAGCGTATGGAGCAAGCGGTGGAAGGTTGAACGGTATTGGTCGCCCAAAGTAGCATATGGTAGTTGAAACTGGACGAATGGGAAAATATTCCCCGTGAGCAGATGTAGCAACAGTCTTAGGAGAATTTTTTGAAGGACAGAGATCGTACTCCAGCCCAGAGAAACATGGATACTAGGAAATGCGTTGTGAGAGCATAGCAAGCATAATCAATAGAGAACGAACTCGAAACCCAGCAAAGGAGTATGGTGATAGCAGTTGCACGAACTCTCTCCTGAGTTCATCGGTTTCATCACGTATAGACTCTGCAGAGGCGTGATAATCACGGATGCAGGTAAATGAAAACGGCTAACCTGAACAGGACATCAACCAGAAGATGGAAACGGCCAAGACATTGACCTCATTCTCTGTGGGCCAGCCGTTATTGGTCTCTGCACCCACCATTAAGCGTTCCCTAAGGAAGCGCGTTATGAAAACAGGAAGCTGAGCCCAAAGCAACTGGTCCCAGTTCCGACCATCATCCTCCAGCATCATAATATAAATGGTGGAGAGGGACTCCAGAATGTCAGGATCAGTAACATCGCCTCGCCGAATGCACTGGAGTGCTCGAAAACGTTTCCTCAGTTCATGTTCTATGTTGTCGACTGTGAGCTGACCGCCCGGAAAATCCCGCCAAGGAGAAAATCTATCCTTGAATAACATCAGGTACAGATATGAGTTTGATTCAGGTGAAAGGGCATTGTTAGACATGCGGCACGTTAATCGTAGGGAACGCAAGACACTTGGAGGGCCTTGGCGATGCTGGTGAGCTGCGATTATAACAATTTGTTCTAAAAGCTCAGCAGGAGTCGTGATAAGAGAAGCAAGCATGCTCGAGGAGGGACGAAGCTCGAGGAATGACTTTGCTTTTCAGTGAAACGGCGACTTGCGAATCATTGCTTGGAAGGGTATAGATTGGCATGGGATTCTCACGTGAACAAGATCGTAAGCCCGCTCCGTGAAGAAGCTATAGTACGGTCGCGGATATCATTGGAAAGCGAAAGTAAACCGCTCATTTAAAAGACTCAAACAACTCACCGGTGATATCCGGAATGTAATCGCATATTACCTAAACAGGAAAAACGAATCTCAGATCAAACCTTCGACATCTGAATAAACCCTACTGGTGATGAAGAACGTACACAGGTTACACCACACAAAAAGAGATCACGGTATGCGCAGCATGCTTATTCATGTCATGGGGTGGACATCCTGGCGAGGCGCGCTACTAGTAGTAAGCGCCATCGTCTCGGGTACTTCATCCGATAAAATAGTATCAGTTATTAGGCTGAAAACCTTTTGACTAGAGTGGACTTACTAATGTCTCCATACGGTAGGAACAAATTTTCTGTCGGTGAATATCGCGGACTCCGTACCCTTTCCAACCCTACGGTATCAGAGATAGAAAGAGGCCGCTCTCTGTTATGTCCAACAAGATGTCGTCAAATCTCTTTCGACTGATGTCTGATCTATGGCCAAGATAGCTCCTACAGGACTTGCCAATAAGTAACATGGCAAGCGAAAGACAAGCACGTGGAATGATCGAAAGGCGACGACTTGGAAAGGCGGAAATATGAGCATACGAGCATGGCACATTGGTAAGCGTAATTGCTCAAGCGGCGGAACAAACAGCTTACCTCACGCCTTTTCGGACCCATAACAGTGGCGCCGTGCCCAAATAACGTGGCGTTTTGCGTCCAAATCAGTAGAAACCATTTTGTCTGTACCTCAGGCCTGGAATATCCCTTGTGCGAAGGGTAGCCCAAGTTCCGAAGGATCTCGAATCTGTAGAATCCTGGAAGCACCTGTCAAGCCGTTGTTGCACTATGCTTAGTGAACATGGGTTCCCCCCATGGGGGTTTAGTACTTAGTGGACAGGACCTTCGCTTCCATCAAATTGAGCTCCGCGCACCTTGTGTGGTGAAGATGTAATTTACACACACATCGTCTCAGTGACAGAGTGAGCTCTTAGTACAATGTGCGATAATACACGGTAATACACACTACTTTTGGTGCAGGCGGCCGTTTGAAGTTCTCGATTTCCAGAACCGCATTTGGAGATAAGCTATAGGTAGCAAAAGGAACAAGTTACTTGGGTGATTGACCTCACGCTGTAATTGAAACGTTAGAGCGCGTTTTAGTCGGCGCACGAACTTTAATTACGCGATGTCGATTCTAGCCTAGGCCTTCAGGTCACAGGAAGTTGCATATAAGTATATCAGGCCTTTTAATTCAGCCCAATTAGTTTGAAGTTTTTTTGAGGCCCTCAGGCCTCAGGTATTATTAACTCATGGAATAAGTATAATGCGTTCGACAAGCCGTCCTCCAACAAGGCTAAAAGCCCTCTAATCACGGGGCTGACATGTCCCGTGACTCGGTTCGAAGACGCGTCTTAGTTGTATATGCATGGGACCATCTGTATGACTTACTATGTGCAATGTTAATCTTCTATAGCTAGCTACGCCGCGGCTGATCACTAATTGCATAGAATATCCTGTTCTTTGATCGGTCATCGTTCCGCAACTTCTGGGCACCTCCTTGTGCTCTCTTACACTAGTAAGTCAGGCCCCAATTGTTATCTGGTTTTCCACACCCCATCACTTCCCCAGCTCCATGCAACAAATGCATTCTCTACCGCATTCTGAACGTCTTCCTGTCAGTGCCCCTGCAGAAGTGCAAGTACTATGATACTACCAGCCAGTAAAGGTTGCGGAACCCAACTGGGCGTATGATACTGCATCGATATATATTCCACATTAAGTGCATGGACACCGGTGGAGTTCTCATCGATGTATTCTGCGACCATTGCTTAAAGAAACATCGCATTCATACGCACTGCTCTCACGTCATATGAAGCAAAACTCGCAAGAGTAATATCTTGTCCTGAAGGTGAGATACGCTATCATTCCCACAAACTTGAAAGCATCGACACTTGCGCCAGGACTTCTTGATGCCTATACATGGTCACCGCCAAACAATATCTCCAGCTGAAGGGTCCATCGTTACTGGAGTTTTATCTCACGAAGAAGTTGCACATAAGACTATGGTGATGCCCGGAATCCATCCAGACCTGGCTGGATATGATTAACCCTTCCGTTCTTGCGACGCTTCATCAACACGCATTACTTATTGACGACGTTCACGACCGTGGCTGTGAGTCTGGCCGCCTTCCTTTTCTGTTCCTTGTTGAGATGTCACCTTTATATTCCATAACAGGGCCTTTCCCCTAGGACTATTTCGAGTATTCGTGACTACCAACATTGCAGGGTCACGACGCAAGGTTTTGGCCCAAGCCTTAGTGCAATTCTCGACTTTCCGACAGCGCACATGCAACATGCTTCCGCCGCAGTTCCGGATAAGAAGTTCTGGTCCGAGCAGGTTTGCGATAGCTGTCATCTGGTAATCGCGCGTCAAATGGCATGATCTCTTCATTGATACGCCAACCATACGTATCGCCAAATTCCGAGGTGATAACTTGGCGTTTCTGCGCCTTCATGTGCATGAAGCTCCCCGCACTGATAGGCTTAATACTACGCTTATTCGAGTAATTTATCTTATAGGTAAGGAGAAGCACCAATAGAAAACTGCGAATGCTGTCTACAGGATCTCCCAAGATCTAGAATGCAGAAGTACTCCTTAACGTGCGGTTTACGAAAGTGTTTATCGTATCAACACCCTGCGATTCTCATGTCAGATCCGATGACCTGCTGCTTTGTGCTTATATCAGCCTCTCATAACTCGCCAACTACAATATTGACCGTCCTTGCCACCCTTCACACGCTACCTGGTCTCATGAATATTGAATGAATAGACCCTTGCAAGCATGCAGACGTCAAAGCCCAATCATTCACACGACTCCCTGCAAAGGTCAGATAGTCATTGTATCCTTTCCAGGATTCAAGTGATGTAATCCCGACGCTAGTCCAGTTCAGACGATTTCGGAAATCCGCGCGACACCACTGGCACTTTACATCGCAATGACAGCTGGACCTTAGCCTTATATATCCGCTTATATACATTAGGCAGAACCCAAGACGACAAGAGTGGCCGTTCGACCAATGCTCGTCGAGCGTGAATCACAACAGATTGTGCCCGAATGCACGCAGGCGGCCTTGACGGCATCCACACGTTCCACACTACATTCAATTCTCATGTACTAGTTATAAGTACAGCAAATGTTATTTGACGGTCGTTAGGCAAGCACTCCAGAGTAACATGAGGTGGAGCAATACGTCGCGCTTAAAGGAACATGGGTTGGAGACATTAACCATATCCACGTTCATGAGGCGAGAACAAGGCAATTTTGCAGTATGATCGCGACGCCCACGGCCGGTGACCGCAGCTTTCAATTGCTACGGACGATCGTATAGAACGCCGAACCATTGTTAGTGAACACGCATCAAACTGCTTGCGAACCCTTGATCTCATAATAAATATAATGGCATTCGCACCATTGCACCATCAAAACCATTGGGAATCAGTGTGATCGAAGTGTGAGGATGTAATAAGCGTCAAGAACGGATACGAGTAGCGGAATGCATAGACATATAGCCCGACGGCCGCATCACACGAATACCCGAGGAACGACGGAAGCGCATAGCATGCGAGTCTTAGGCGAGAAATGTCGATATCAAAATGACGAAGGCCTCATCGCGCGGAAGACGGCCCTTCTGCAAGACCAGGACGAAGACCTATTTATTTCATTCGTAGGGGGTATGCATGTCGTGTTCTCACTCAGACTAGGTCTTGTGGGGCTAAGATATCGAGATCAAGCGAAGTTCCATAAAAGAATAATCAATTTCCGACTCAAGAACCGAGACGGATAGAGAATTCGGACAGTTAAGGGTCCTGTGTGGCATCGTCACTAACATTGTCAATTGATCTTGCCTGTTCTGGCATACGATATGAGTAACCGTCATTGCCTTGGCAAGTACTCACGGAAGAATCAACAGCATAATTGTCCAAGTCTAGGATGGCAGTTCAGCTGCTTTGCATATGGGGCAAGCTTTTCCGCCGTGCAATTATACTACCCATTGCATGAAATGAGTAAAGACTTCATAAGAGGAGTAATAATCACTTGCCTTTTGTCATTGGTTTCGTCACTCAGGCAAATTAATAGCGTCATATCGTCTTGAGATAGGCTTCAGCACCAAGGCAACTCGACCAGCTGGGCCAATCAGTCGCTAATAGGAGCTTGCGGGTCATATCATTGTGCAGCATATTTCACTAGTATCCACGTGCGATCGGGAATAATGCACGACAACAATGTCGTAGAATGGCCCAGGCTCCATGTCACTATGGAAAAGAAAAACCATTTGAAAAGCATAAATGAAAGTCACACAGTTGAACCAATGGGATTGATTCTCCGCGTGCATTTTGTCTATGCCAAAAATACGTCCATGCATTAATGCACGGGAAGCCAAGAGGCAAGGGTGTTTCTGATATGGCGAAAGGGTTTAGCTCTGTGAAATACAGGGGTATCGTATTCAACAAGTTGTCAATTGCATCACACACGATGGGAATACAAACAACACGTACAAATAATCAGCGCTTGCGCAGCACCACTGGTGAAAGTCGGGAGAGGTCAACAAGCTGCAACCTCATGCGGAAAATCACTTCGGGTTAACTGCTGGTCCGGGTATCGTCAGCTTCGCATTCGATAGATCACCAACGATAGCTTGTAGAGCCCGCAGGGTAAGCGTAACAACGCCGAGAGAATCGTTTAGTACGAGTACGAGTCATGCTATACGTTGGACTTGCCTGTTCGACGAGTGGGCCGGCCCTAAAGAGGTATCTCAAAGAAAATTTAAATTTTTCGATCTGATCAACTCAACCACCGCTCCATCCATCGCTGCAGTCTTTACGATCAAGATGTCTTTGAACTTGAACGCCCTTGAGCAACACCTAACTACCAGGTCTTACATCGAGGGGTGAGTTATTTTCCATGCTTCAACCTTTTTTCACGATGATCACTATGCTATGGTCCGTGTTTCCAAGAAGCGACTAGACACCGCTGCTCAGATATGCCGATAATTTTATACCTAGCCTTCTGATTCTTTGGCTCGTTATTTCATTAGATCTAGCTAAATCTCGACTCCAGGTACACGCCCTCTCAAGCAGACGTTCACGTTTACAACTTGCTCACGGCACCGGAGCCATCGAAGTACCCGCACTCTGCCAGATGGTACTCCCATATCAAATCTTATGCTGCGGAGCATGCAGCTTTGCCTGGCACAAGCACTGCTGGACAGGCTTTCGTTCAATCGGCATCGGCTCCTGCTGCCGCCGCTGATGAAGACGAAGTTGATCTCTTCGGTGACGACGACGAAGAAGATGACGCAGAGGCAGAGAGGCTCAAAGCAGAGCGTGTTGCCGCCTACAATGCGAAGAAAGCTAATAAACCCAAAGCAGCTGCAAAGGTCGGTCTCTTCGCTTGCTTGATATTGTAGTGCTTATAGTGACCGCCTCCAAATAGTCTGTTGTGACCTTGGAGGTTAAGCCTTGGGATGACGAAACCGACATGCAAGCACTCGAGGACTCTGTACGTTCCATTGAGCAGGAAGGTCTTGTTTGGGGTGCTAGCAAACTAGTCGCTGTCGGCTATGGCATCAAGAAGCTCCAAATCACCGTGGTTGTTGGTGAGTCATCATTCCTTATCGTATCGATGAAGGGATCATGACTTTTATGAACAGAGGACGAACTCGTTTCCTTGGATGATCTACAGGAGAAGCTCGCTGAATTTGATGACTACGTCCAGAGTTCCGACATTGCTGCCATGCAGAGTAAGCATCCTCCTGTATCTTTCACAGCGATTTGCATCTAACTTTCCCCCAAAGAACTGTAATAATACTGGGTATTGATGAGCGCGAGATTTTGTAAGCTGTGTTAAGAAGCATCATAATAGGAAATGAGAAAGTTTTGTACAATCATTGTTAATGTGCGTGACGAATGTGCTAGTGTTGTCTGGTAAGCAACAATTAAATGGACGCACATCAGATGCTCCTTGCAAGACGAAGTCCCAACTGTGTGATAAGTTGGCTTGATCGTTGCACAGTATTACCTTGCCACATGCACAAAACGCACATCAACAACATTGATTGTGAATTCCAAGTCATTTACATACAGAGGAGAAATAGTTGCTGCGCACAGTGCGCAGGCAACGCGCGGGTTCACATTTCGCTTCACCCACGCACAATTTTGTGAGTTGTTGTCGCGCTAGATTGGTCAGTGGACAAGGTTAACTTCAAGCGGATGGGGAATGCACAAAGCGGTGCGAAAACCTATGTTGCCTTTCTCGGCGCATCTTAGGAAATGCGTTTTGCCACCGCCCTTTCACCGTTATCATAATGCCAATGCTCCATCGGAGTAGTTCAATGCTCGGAACGCCTGTTGCCATCTGACAACGATTCTGAATCATTCATCTCCGTGCTTGGGGAAGTTGCTTTGGCAGCGACGCTCTCTATGAGGCTCTCTTGTCCTCGTGTCAGATGCTGGAAGCTCGAAGGATGTTTCAACAAAATACAATGGATCGACTGAGTACTGAGCAGTCATTTACTGCGACAGCAGAAGCTATCCGGCTTCTTGTTTTTCACCCAAATTTGAAGTGATGCTACACGTTCAACTTTGGCGGCCGTCCCTGATCCAGCAGTACTAGTTTGGGCGATGACCACTAGGACAGCAGTTGCGCAGTCAACGCCACATATATTGCCCCGTGCTGGATGTGGAAAATATTTGGCCAAGAATTACGGTGCGCTTCCGATAGCACTTGTTGTGAAGACGGATATATGAATTCGACCAGGCACACGGGTACGTAGCCACGATTACAATCAAGATCTGATCTGGAGAACGCATGTTTACCTCTCTTTCAGACGTTTCAATTTTCTCAATGAGAAAGTAAACCTCCGCTTAGTTCGCGCGGCGATCCCATTGCTCGAACGGCACTCCGCCACTCACCTGATTTTTAGTTTAAAAGGCGCTTGCAGTTATGATTCTACACAAAGTATGATGCTTCCTCACCTCGAATCAATCCCTGTCGATGTTCTATCCCAGATAGCTTTCTTCACTGTTGCTTCCGCACCATTCACCGGCCTCGGTGCTGTTCTTCAACTACTTTTATGTAGTCGCAATCTACATGACGCCCTCTCTCTGAAATCTTGCCCCCAGCTTTATGCGCGGGTGTTTCGTAGTAGATTTGATTTAGTCGCTCATCTCCGTCGCAGCAAACTAGCATCCCCTACGACTACGAACCTGGCATTGGAGTTACAGCGTCGATGTGCAGTACTTCGACGTATCCGGCATCGCCATGTTGCCGATCACATCCTTCCCGACCTCTGGATGATCTACCTAATGCTGTTGGAGAGCGATGGGATGAACGAATCTCAACTTCACTCTGCCGGCATCGCGCAATATATACGTATGCTGTTGAAACGCCAGCAAGGGGTTCTTCGTGACGACACGGCTCGCGCATTAGCTATATCTGTCGCATGTTTGGTTTGGTCTCACAGTGAGGCTATTGCGCACTTTTCTAGTATATAGACGTTCCTGATTTAATGCATCGTCCAGAGTTTATTACCGATATGCCGTCGGAGGAACGCAGTCAAACCCTTTCGGAACTAAGGCCTTTTGTCACAGGGTCGTCAAATAATGTGATGAAGTGATCGCGCCCACATTAAACCGACACTGACATCATTTTAGGTTCTTTCGTTCAATGTGAACAGCGGGATGAGACGATGCTCTTTATCATTTGACGGGTTCGATAACCGAGCACCAGAAATGATCCCCGGCGCTTGCGTTGAAAATAAGTACCGGGCACTCGACTCCTCCATCTACACTAGGGAATACACGTTAACCGCTCCCAGCCTTCTTTCTGCTTCAATTTTCCTAACTTTCGCACTGAAGGAGGCGATTGCTCTCCAAGTGCCTAAACATTTGCCGCAAACTCAAGTGGTCGCGCGCCCCACGGAACACGATGGACCTACTATAGAAGACTTCTTTGCCATCACAAGAAGAAGGACGCCCCTTGTCGCTGATTCGGGTCATCAAAACCCCTCCCGTGAACCCTTCGCGGATCGTACAGGAAGGAAGATGCGGGCATCAAGAAGTCTCGCTCATGATGAAGAGTTCTATCGTATTGCCCATCGCCTGGGCTTACCGGATGACACTTGGGAACTTCGGTCGTGCATTGGGTTACTAAGTGGAACTTGGGAAGGTACATACATGTGAGTGCTAGATGTCATTGATTAGTCCTAATCGATGATGGATTTCACAGGGTAGGCGATGGTCAATGGCTTCAAGCACTCGACTAAAACCTCCACAGACATCACCGACATCGTTCTGTCAATGTCCTTCCCAGAAATCGGATCCCACGGTTTCGCCAGATTTCGTGTCCAGACATCCTATCCAATGCCGGCTTGAGGAACACATCTGCTTCACACCATGCATGCCATTGGCCAGTGTTCCGCGGAATGGCGATTTCGGAGAGTCAGCGTTCAAACATTTATTCATGAATGATTGCGAAGGAGTCACTGTGCGTGTGGTTCTCACTGTGCTCCACTGTCGGTGACACGACTGTCATGCAGACAGCAAATGAATTTTCGGACGCCACAGGAACATCGAAACATCGATATGAACTTTTTCGCCCAACCGATACCTCCGAGAACTACAGGGACCCACGGCATGCCCTGGATGTCGTGATTACTGGCGAAGTGAGTATTTCGTTATCAAAGGGTTTTCAGATTGTTCACGCACTTGTTTAGACTCCACGCAGGTTGGAAGCCACCTGGGGTGCATTTATCTTCTTTGGAAGGATCCGCTTATCTGACGGACTTGTCACTCTGACGAGAAAACCAGTTAGTCCTCCTTGGCTCCACAGATTTTTCACATTGTCATGACGTATGGTTCGTGCAGAAATACTCGGGTGACGAAGGACGTGGGACATGGATCTTTGAAGGTTACATCCATAACAGACGTTCCTTTGTCGGACGTTGGAGGTCTTTTGGTGTGTCTGAACGTGAGAGCTTACGGGGCATTTTCAGCCTGACCAAGGTAGATGATCCGCCTTCCCATCTTTACTCTAGCCTGTAGGCGAGACTTTTTTACAAAATACATTGTAATTCTTATTTTGGAAGATAACACGGAAGTCCGCGCAAATTGTGGGAAGGGGGAAGGAGCGTGGACAGAACTTCCCGGCGCTGTAAGAGCTCTTGGAATTCCCGGACATTTGATGGTCCAGCAAAGCCGAAATAATTTTGACGCTAGTCTCCCTTAGTCGAACCGTATAGAAGGAAGACAGTATTTTGACGCCTCGTTTTCGTGATAACTCCGGGAACAATGTTGTTACTTTTTAGTCATAACCGAGTGCTTTCCACCTATTAATGAGTGCTTGGCTTGAGTGCTCCGAAATACATCAAAGTTCTTACCTGATATAACGTCCACGAACTTTGATAAGATGACATATTCACCTGACATGATATGTCACTTCTTCGTGTTTGACATGGTAGACAGCGATATTCCCCAGTGACGTAAGCATCGCCGCCCCACTTTGTATTGAAGACTCGGATCACCGGTGCCCGACGCTCTATTTAAATTTCACGACAAGGTTGGTTGTGAAGCTTTGCGAGAATTGATGTTGTTGCGCATCAATCCGACTGACCGTCTTCTATTCCTCGAGTTTACGGTGCCGAACATAGATGCATAAAACACGACTCTAGGCTACAATTATCTCCGAATTCCGACTTCTTCAACAGTAAACACAAACCAGACGCTCTGCCATGATATACAGTCACGATTTGTGCTAATCCCCACATGCTGGACAGAACAATTTCCAAATTGATTTCCAATAACTCTTCTGCATTATGTATTTCGCCCATCCGGGAGGTCATCTCATTTCATTCAAGTACAAAAAGGTGTGGTCTGCTGAGCAGTTACGTGTTATTAAAATGCGCTCCCGATATTATACGCTGGCGGCGACATTGGTGACGATATGCCGCACGGAACGATTATGAGCGCATGTCCATGACAGCACCTCGACGGAAATGAGTGGTTATGATCGCGACGGACCCGAATGCGGATTGTTCCATTGATCTATTTGATAATATTTAGAAATGGTCGGGGCCAACCGACACGCTGGTGCTGCTGACTCTTGAACGTCCATACATATCCACTAACGACAAAGATGACTTTGAGCATGTAAAGCAATTGTTGGTAATACGGGTATTATACCGATTTAATGTCATATGCAGACAGGTCAGCATTCTCTCTGGCGGAGCAAACCCGACTACGACTGGGGTCGTCGAAGCCAAGGGAGTTCGATAGATACTAGATGGACTAGGGCGGCAAAAAAGTGGACATCACGATAAGCAATTATAGGAGACGCTCGGTGCTTACCTCGTTGTGGAGATGAACCCTTGACCGCGGAATATCAGCTGGTCTGGCCGCATGTACAACCTAACGCAGATAAGAGGATTCACAACCTGAACTGAGCGAAGTTCCAGGACTCTGGTCAAGTGACTTGCTGTAACGAGTACGATCCAATCCGAGTGCTTTCAAAGTGCTTTCCTTGTATGTACATGCCATGTATTTGTCTGCAGAAGCAACCTAGCTGAACAAGAATCCAGATAGGTTTGGGGTATGCGAACAGAAGCGGTGTCAGCACGACAGTGCGGATCCTGAAAGTGACACACCTGAGCCATGCGAGGTTAAGCGGCAATAGACTTACTAGAGTGACGTAGACTTTTTCATGTCCATACTAGTAGGTTTTTCCTGGAACAAGGAGAGAACAGGATAGAATAGCCTTCTGAACTAGGAATTCTTATTCCTAACCCTAGTGTGTGAGAAAGAATCGGACACAGATCCAAGGTACATACTTCAGATAGGACATTCGTGATGAGTCCCATGCAGCTGTGTCGATAGGTGTGTACAAGATCCGTGCTTGATCAGATATGGGCAAGCTCTATCACGACTTACAAGAAATTTATTATATGCTCCTTGTTAGTGTGCGATGCCAAAGTTGCGGCCCGATCAGCCAACTGATCTGTGGAGTGAGACTCGGGCGGAACAGATGAATGTTGGATTTAGCCAGGTACCAAGGTACATTCACACTCGTGGAGACCAATCGATAAGGTGAAAGAGCAAGGCCTGGAGCAGGGCCTCGATTCGTCCCTGTATCCCCCGCATCCATGCTGAAGACCAAAGGTACATTAAAAAGTGCATATGCAGGGATAGTCCGCTTGCATAAATCTGGGGCAACCGGCGGCAGCATGCCATATTTGGAGTGAAGAGTGCTGAGGATGACAGAGTTGGGAAGTCTTTTGAAGTTTTGTATTCGACAATCCCAGGATATCATGATGGACCAATATACGTTTTTGATCAAACCGTTGCCAGTAGATTGGCCATGGCAGCAAATTGACAACAAAACATGAGCCAGTCATTGGTCACTCATGTGTTATGTACATATTTGGCTTTGTTTGTAACTAAGGAAAGATCTTTTCCCATGATTGTTTTCCTTCTCAACAGAAACATCGTCGCCATCGTCGCCTTCGACTGCAAAGAACCCGTCCGCTCGTTGATATCTATCATACCCACCTTGCAATGAAGTCATTTGCTATTCTCTCCTTATTTATCACTGCTTCTTTGGCACAATCTGTAAGCATCAAATTTGGTGAAATCATTGATTGCTAGACTGACAACACTGTTCTGAAACCATTCCCCAGTCTTCCAGTTCCAATCCTTTCATTCCTTCAGGAATCAGCCAAGGTTGTTCAGACTATTTAACTAGTCTGGACAGCAACAGCAGCTTCTCCTCCTGCACAACCCCAATCACATCTGCGACATCTGCGTTCGCACCGGGGGCTAACTCGAGCAACATCACCACTAGCACCATCGAGACTGCATTGAGCAACCTCTGCTCGGCATCTGCGTTCACTGCTTGCCCTGACAGCACTGTTCGCTCTCAGTTGATGTCCTACTACTCGGCATGCTCAGCAGAACTCACAACGAGTCTCAATACCGATGTTCTCAGGACTTATGATGTCCTCTATGTCCTGACGGCACTCAGAGAAGCCATATGCTCAAAGTCTGACAACGGGCAGTACTGTGTCACGCAGCTGAACACTACATCCGGTAGTTCTGCTACTGGAAATGTGGCTTTGGCGACTTCCAATACACAACAAGCGTTGCAGCAATACCTATATACAACGCCTGGCAGCGGGGCTTCCGCGCGTCGGGACGTCAGCAACTCCACTACTGCACTTATTCCCCAACACCACGACCTTTCAGGATACCAATCTCGTGTTCCTCTTCCTTAATTCCAACATGAATTCGACCCAACTCTGCACCACTTGCACACGCAACATTCTCACATCATACATCACGTTCGAGTCCAATCTCCCTTACGCCCCAGGTCTGAACAACAGTTTACTGCTCAGTGGTCAGTCTGCTCTTTACAATGCCATCATGTCAATTTGCCCGAGTGGCTTCTTGAGCGGCGCTGTGCAGGCCGCCGGCGGTCTGTCCAGTGGCATGATCAGTGGCAGCCCCCGGTCGATAAATGCGGATGTATCATTGCTTGTCAGTGCTATCTTGGGTGCTGCAGGTCTCGCGGTCTCAGCTTTCTGAGGACCCACATTATACAAGTCTGGTGGACTAGTAGCCAATAGCTGTGGAATTTCGATGGTTGTTTATGGTGACTGGAACGGTGTTTTCTATTATTATACCTATTGCGATTACTCTTTAGACAAATACTCTCCAGGCATCATCTTTGAAGTCGCTTGTCATCTTCCCTTTCACCTTTTGATCATTGTGGGCATCATTTCAATCATCTCGCCTAGTATCGAGTCGGCTGAATAGTACCAACGTACTCATCTCATTTATGATACAATAAGCTTGTTGGCTGTGCCACAAGGCCTTGAGACTGTTACATACTATGCCATTAGTTACCACTAGTTCGTGCATCTCGTGCATCGTCCAAAACAACATTTTTCTACCAAAAATTTTCGAACTAATACACACATGAAATGATAAATAATAAGAACACTCTATGAGCTTTAACGAATGCAATCTAACAAGAAACTAACGGCTTCTGTCACTATCACCTACTGGTAACCAGTGGCACCGTAGTGCCGCAGTGGAGTTTGGAACTCAAGCACGCTAGTGGCAACGGCGTCTGCAGATCTAAACTTTGAACGCATTACCCCAACTTCAACTGAGCCACACCTTCAGCAATGGGTCCCCTCCACAAGTGCCATTTTGCTCACAAATGCAAGGATCCCTACCATTCCATATTCAAACCATTGGCCTGGGCAAAATCACAATGCATATTTTAGATTATTAAAAACCAGTACACTTCGTACATCGGTATACATGTCTAGCGCTGACAACCGTGTTTGCTATAGATACTGACTGAAGGACGCGAAAGTAGCACAGTTCGCAAAAACGTATTAGTGGTTGATTGATCATCCTTGGAAACGCCGTTGAACATGCGATTGGGTTTCATGCCAATGGTTATAATACATCGACACTAAGTAGCGTATCGAGGGCTCTGCATTCCTCAGCTGAAACAGGGAAGGATGGGAGTGCGGGTATGAATAGTGCTTGACCAGCATAGCTACATATAAATTAGTTCAGATGGAGCTAGCAAGGTAAATCATCGCACCATACCAAATATATGACGTTTTTGCTGCACAGAAAAGAGTCACATTTGAAGTACAAATGCAAGCAACAGGAATTCCACTATCATCACGAGTGCACCAACAGCAACAACATCACGTCCAGCCGTTATGAATGGGCGACCATATTCCCGCCTGTCTTCCTGTCCGACAGTAGGGAGCGCCCGATCATAAAGAGCACTAGTCTCCGGTCGGTCGGAAAAGTCATGCCGTGAATGTCGAGCACGAATATACCCAAGAGCGAAAAGGAGAATGGAGAGGACGAGATAGACAATACCAACTGTCCGATGTTATAGGTGACGGTCATCATGGAAGAAGTCAAAGATGATAAGATAACATACTTACCTCGAAGAAAGCGCGAATCAAAAAGTCGGAGGGCCGTCAGTGCGTACCCAAGGGTAGCAATGGCGGTACGGCGGTACGCACCGTTAAATGTGCGATTGCGTGCCCGAAATTCATTGAGCTCAAGGACATCAATTGGCTTAAATGAATCTGCTCTATGACCCCTAATATAATATTCAATCATGTCGATGATCGCAAGTTATTTCCGTAGCGCTCACCGGTATGTGTGCATGATGGAGGTGAAGTGCCAAGAATATTGAATTGACTGGTACTGTGAGAAACTGGTTCGGCTCGGTTCGGCATATTAAATTATTCTCGATCCTTTACTTACACTTCAAGCTGCGAGTCTTCGAAGGTGGTGGTCAGCTTAGGCAGAGTATAGGCTTGACATTAAAATTGATGCTTCTGCCTTCGACGGTACGCGTAGGCATTCGCCTGAGTCCAAGAGTTTACGGTGCAAGGTACGTTTCTAATGAATGAGTCTACCAACACAACACTGCTAATGACACTACAGAATATGGCCGCAAGCGTCTCAAAACCAAGCGCGGTTTTTAACCTTACCGGTGCGCGTTGAAGACCATCATATATGCTCGTTTACTCAGTTTTCCTGCAGCACTCAAAATTTATGCCGAGGGTGCTCCCTTCCCAGCGCATACCGCATACTCGTAACTTCTGGTGGTCAAAATCGGCGATACCTGAGCAGCAGGTGGCATCGGCAGTGGAGTCAGCACCAGCTTCCAGTAGCAACATTAGCCCTGCTGTTGTGGACTTGGAACCAGCAACAACAATCAATACAGCGACACCGGAGCCAGCCTCTGCTCCGATACCAGGAACTACCGCGGAGGACAGTTTAACGACCATTGTTGACAGTGGTGCGGGTATCGATATTCCTGCGTTTGACACTGCCATCCCACCCCTTCAATATGGTGATTTAGCAGAACTTGGCCTCGCTGGCTGGTCTCCGGCTGGGATCATAAGGTGGTCATTCGAACTTCTACAGGTCAGCAGTGGAATGCCGTGGTTTTACACGATCATCGCTGGCACACTTTTGTGGCGTGTAGTCATTTTACCTGCCAACATCATGAGCCTTCGCAACTCGTCGCGTTTACTTCCCTATGCCGATCAACTGCAGGCCGTGACGGCGGAATGGAAATCAATCGACACCAGTGATCGCCTTGCATTGCAACGCATATCCCTGAAGAGACAGAAAATTTACGAAAAAGCGGGAGCGCGGGTGCTTCCTTCCATTATCATGCCCTTTGTTCAAATCCCAGTCACATTGGGTTTGTTCTTCGCTGTCAGGAAGATGACCATGCTTCCTGTAGAGCAGCTCAAGCAGAGCGGCGTCTTTTTTCTGCCTGACTTGACTATGTCGGACCCATATTACATCCTACCCATCTTGTCTACTGTTGCCATCAACGTTCAAATGTCGGTGCGTGTATTTAGAAGTTATGCATCGGGGAATTGATACTAAATTGTGGTCACAGGTGATGAAAGGAGACGTCAATTTTGCTGAGCGTCCCGACATGGCCCATATGATGAATTACATGCGCATCTTTTCATTCATGAGCGTCCCTCTCATGGGTTCACTGCCTACCGTAGGGTTTCCTGGTTAATTCTTGCATATTTAATTCTAATAATTACATATTCAGGGTTTGTGGTTGTCCATCCTGACTGGTGTGACGGTGTCATGCCTGCAGTCCTTTATCCTACAACGTGAAATGGTGCGCAGGTGGCTCAAGATAACTCCCCGTGCCGAACCAAAGGTCAAACCACCCACCATGATGGAATCTATGCAGTACGCGAAATCGTGGTACATGAACAAGAGGAGTGAGATCATCGCTGCTCGAACTCAGGCGGCAAAGATACAGAGGAGATGAAATAAGCAGCGAGACAACATGCGTAGAAGGCCCTATTGTATATCTCATTTATTAATACACCCAGACTCTGCTCGTTTCAACTTCCAAGTCAAAGGGAGGAGCGATTGTATTACGTAATGTTACGGTTTGCGTGGGAGTACCCCAAGCATCTGCTGCGGTAGCCGTGCTACTTCCGGTTGTGTACACTTCATGGCTTTCAACTTGGGCACAATAACAGTACAGGCGTCACCCGCAGTACCGTCTGAAGCTCCCATTCCAGAAGACGAAGAGTACTATTCGTCGTGGTCTCTGTTTCTTGTTTGCTTGCTACTCATCGTCTCGTTATGGACGTCTTATTACCTGCAAATCAGGAAAATCCGGGCCATCCATGAGACTACCGTCTCTATCTTTGCAGGGATGTTTGTCGGGTTGGTAATTAGACTTGCACCGGGCACGATGATTCGAGAAATGTTGGTGAGTATCCACTCGTTACGTCTCTACTGCTTTCACGGACGGATTGGTGTCTTGCTTTATTGGAACACGTCTCCAAGCTCCTTATAAACTGCGACTGCTGTGGCTGAAGCTTTATTCATAGACCTTCAAACATACTCTGTTCTTCAACTTGCTACTTCCTCCCATCATTCTTAACTCCGGATACGAGCTCAAGCAAGTGAGTAATGCGCAGATGTCAAAATAGATTCAGACATAACAACCTTGCTGCAGGAGAATTTTTTCCGCAATTTCGGCTCCATCCTTACTTTTGCATTTTTGGGCACATTAATATCAGCTGTCGGTGTCGGGTGCGTCAAATGCGAAAACGCTTCTAGCATCATCAATACTTTGCTTAACTGTTCCAGGACAGGGTGCTCGTGTATCTCTACTCATTCCTGGGATTAGAATCCTTGGATGTTACACTGCTGGAGTGCTTGATCTATGGCTCTACACTATCTGCAACTGATCCAGTGACCGTTCTTGCCATATTCAATCAGTATAAGGTGGACCCAAAACTCTACACCATCATCTTTGGCGAGAGTCTGCTAAATGATGCAGTCAGTATTGTCATGTATGAGTAAGTTCGAATTGCCTTTCTCCTTTTAGAATCCGCATGCTTATTTGTGATTTTCAGAACTCTCGCGCAATTCCACGGCACAGAGATATACATATCGTCCATATTCCATGGCATCGGAATTTTCTTGCTTTCATTCAGCGTGTCCATGGCCCTTGGCGTTAGTTTCGGCCTGGCAATGTCCCTAATCCTCAAACACTCATCAATGAGTCTGTATCCTTCCATCGAATCCTGTCTCGTTGCCCTCTGCGCGTATACCTGCTACTTCTTGTCGAACGGCTTGTCAATGTCTGGCATCGTATCCCTCCTGTTCTGCGGAATCACCTTAAAACACTACGCATATCACACCATGTCCCGGCGAACGCAGCGAACAACAAAATACATCTTCTCGACTCTCGCTCAGCTCTCCGAAAACTTCATCTTCATTTACCTGGGTCTGTCACTTTTCACAAGTCCTCCGTCATCTGAGCGCGTTACCAACTATGTCAAGCCCCTCTTCATTGTGGTCACGACAGTTGCAGTCGTTTTTACCCGATACGCAGCGGTCTTCCCACTATCTGAGGCGATCAACTTCTTCACTCGTCATGCTCGGGGACAGCGAACAGAAGAGCTTCCACACTCTTACCAGATGATGTTGTTCTGGGCTGGCTTGCGAGGTGCAGTGGGTGTGGCACTCGCGGCTGGTTTCAAGGGTGAGAATGCAGAGACGCTGCGGACGACTGTCCTCGTTGTAGTGGTGCTTACTGTTTTCGTCTTCGGGGGTACCACTGCACGCATGCTAGAGATCCTTGGCATTCGCACAGGTGTTGAAGACGAAGCTGCTAGCAGCAGCGACGAAGATGCACCTCCGGGACGTAACGCATGGCAGAATCGTCGCCATAGTGGTGCATGGAACAGGTACACTGACGATTCTGAGCCCGTGCCATATTTCTCGCCATCGCAGCACGGATATGGGCGGGCTGCAGGCAGAGTGGGGTCACACTATGCATCGCGGACTTATAATCACCACCCGGGAGCATCAACGTCACCGATCGCCAATACTGTGTTTTCTGCAGCATCATCAGAGTCATTTGAGTCAGAAGCGGAAGTGCTCCCTATGGCCACCTCGGCGGAAGCTGGTCCGTCTTCGGAAAGACGTGATGACAGACAGACCAACGAGGACGGTAAATGGTTCCAGGAGCTGGATGAGAGGTACCTTCTTCCTTTGTTCTCGAATGCCACTGCCAGCCGTACGTTCCACGCCAGACGTGCGCGGAGGAATATCTCGATATCCGGTCAGCCCGCAGGTGCGAATCTAAGCGCACTGGGTACGCCGCATGACAGTGAAGACGAGGCTGAAAGCCCAGAGGTAGAGCTTGGATCAGTAGGGACGATGACACCTGGCAGGCAGTTTTCACAATCTCCAGAAGAGCAAATGCGTTCTGAGAGGGGACTCGCCACACCTATCTTGCGGAACGGAAATGGTAGAGATGATGGACAGAGTCGAGCGGGTTGCTAAAAATTGATTTGTCCCAGCTGATTCATGGTGTTAGATACCTCGTTAGAGTGTTTTTGCAAAGTGATCTACCAATGATTTACTCAATTGAGAGTTGTTGATTTTTCAGGACCTGAAGAAATCTGGTCAGTGGAATTGCGGAATTAAGCGCATTTTGAACTTCCGAACGTCATTTCTTCGAGATCAAGAGTACTTGGGCCTCATCGACAATAAGTATAGAGAGGTATGCATTAATAAGTTGGTGGTACAACACGTTATAAAACATGGACAGCAATGAAGTAGGTAGTTATACTAAGGTTGTGATAAGATAACACAGCGCGCGATATTATAGAAGATCCGCATTCCGTAAATGAGTACGAAGGATACTTTCCTCAACTAAGAGTACCCATGTGAGGATCGAGACGTCTTGAGCTCGTGTGGACACTTACCTACGCTCAACGTAGCTGCGGTGGCCTTGGTGTCCTAAAAGCAAAAGCCAATTCAGTCCCTCGTTCCAGCGTGGCCAGGGAACGTTCTCAAGGAACCCAGGCACGTCAAACAGTGGGAGACTCACGATTACCGATGTGAAATGGATAAAAATGGCCGTGGCTCCGGGGAGTACTGTTTAGAAATTTCTTTGAAATGTTGTTGGAAGTCTGGAAAAGAACAAAATAATTGCGTGAGTATCGACGTATAGCCGTGACTTATTCGCAAACAGTGCGCAAATTGAGGCCTACATCTCATTACTGTAATGGTGTCGTTTTTGCGACTGCCGTAACTCGGGATGTGATCCTTTATACACATCCCTCGCTTGATCTTATTGTGCAGGAGATCGCACTTGTTAAGAAAGAGAATGATCTCAGTCTTGGCTAGAATACGAGACGAGCAGACTGATTTCCACAGGAGATAGCTATCTTCCAGGCGGTTTATGCGACGATCTTCACGAAGTCGCTCGTCGAAGCAAGAGATTGGACAGAGGAAAATGATGGCATCGACATCGTCGAAATACGACGCCCATGCTACACGCTTTATAGGAGGGTTGTAAGTTCCAAAATATGACTAGATAAGTGATAAATTTACCGAAGACCTCGTTCCGCCAACATCATACAATAGCCACTCTTTGCCGTTGCCTGCGGAATGCTGTTTAATGCTAGTGTTTGGAAGTAATCGAACGACTTACTGTCGTCCATCACGACTTTGTGTTCTTGAACCCCAACCGTTCGTAGACGCGCACGAACAATGTCGTTGTCGCTAGGTTCATAGTCATACGATACGATGCGATCAATGTCGTTCAAAAAGCTTCGACTCAATAAGTAAGGGTATTAAAATACAGGATAGGGAACACTCACAAGCCCGGTGAGTCTTCGATATTTGTCTTGCGATGAGACAAAACCTGCTGGACAACGGGGTCCTGCCACAACTCTAGCATGGTTTCCTTGCACGCAACGAGCACATCAGTAATCTCGTTATGATCACTATCACTCCGTCTTTGAGGACGGGCACTGGACATCATCGACGGGCGCAGCTTTTCCAAGGCGGATTTCCATCCATTTGTTGAATTGATGCCAAAGTCTCGCGAGGGGCGTTTGGGTAGTATTTGAAAGCCTGGAGAATCAAATGGTGTTGCGGACATGGAAGCTGTTGATCGAACTTCTTGCGATTCAGGACCAAGTTTGTTCTCGAGGTCACTCTGAATGCTGCGTAACGGGCCGAGACGCCGTTGCATGAAACGATGCTTATCAGAGAAACGATAAACAATTCCATGGCTGGTTGACTCGTCGTCAGAATCGCTGAGATACTCTATTGCTGTAGACCCCGGACGCTTTTCGCCCTCGGCTAGAGACATTTCCCGACTGAGGATATCCAGGACCCTGACAATGTTGCGAACAAGGTTTAAATAAATGACTGCCCGCCATGCAGCTCGCTCCTCCGCCCACTCGCGTCGTGCATGTTGTAATTGGAAGTCTGTGAAAGGAGATCATCATAACTACTTAGTAATCCAGGAATGCCTCCGAAACGTACTTTTGAGTGTAGCAGATTTCCCTGCATGATCGGGATAAGTTCACATCCGAAATCATGCTCTGATGAACGCACCGCTCTCGCTCTGTCCGAGGAGAAGTACTTTGACAGATTTCTTCTTCTTCTTGAGTGCGGTTCGTTCTTGACGGATTTGCTCGTCGATAGCCTCGCTTATTCGACGAGCTTCGACCTCTGCCTCCTCGCGTGTGTCTTTCTCTTGGGGTGTTTCATCTTTGGGAGGTGCGATTGCAAGTGTAAGAGGGTCCTCCACAGACATGCGCATCGTCACTAATCAGATGGTAACAAAAACTACCACAGATGGAAAGAAGGATGAAGACAAGAGAAAAGGCGATGAATTGTCACTCCGCTGAAGGAGAGACGACCAAAAAGATCAATATAGGCGCCGTACGGCACATGGATAAGTTCACAAGCCTTGGAGCATGTCAGGGTTCTTTGGATAAACTAATAAACCATGCCCATGCATGGATTGCATGGAATTTATCATCAGAATTAATGACTATCTCATGAAGATGCTTGCGGAAGTAGTAAAAATGCTATACCGGTCCTGCAGGACTGGCCATACTGTCAAGTGAGCATAATGATGCATGATGTCGAAGCACAAATAGTTCACCCGGAGTCCGGACGTTCCTAGCTAGCTAACGTTGAACAATTACATAATTCAATTGCGTGGGTTGTCATTTGTGGCGTGATATATTTGTTTATATTTGTAAGAATCAGTTTCGCGATATAAGAGGCGACATGTGACTTTCCCGTGACTTTGACCTCCTTACCCCGTGACCAGCACGACCTTCTGCTGCAGCTTGCTCCTCAAAGTAATCCTTGTGCTTATATCACTGTTGTAATTGTGAGTCAAAGAACCCTTAAACAATCCACAAATAATTAAAGTAACATAAGTAGTTGTTGAGCTCGCTGGCTGCTCCAGCCCTCACCATGACTTCTGCACAGCACTCTTCTATCCCTGCCGGCGCATCCACCACCAGCGTTAGTCAGAGTTCACCACCACCAGTTGCGGTTTCTGTTCCAAATGGCGACCGTATCCCCTTGCAGATAGAGGGTATGGATGCTGCTCAAGTCTCTAATCTCCTCAAGAGCCTACCTAATCTCTTCCACAAGGTCCGTGACCAACAACTATCCTTGGATTATTATATTGGATTACCTTTGTATGGCTGATGAGTTATGGGTGTTCAAGTTCACTCTCCTTCTGTCGCATTCGTCATCATTTTCACTAAACTTGCCACTGACACCATTTTTGTTGTATTAATAGTCTCCCGCTCAGGGCGATATGACCGGAGAGGCCGCTCAATCTTTGCAGGCTCTCGCTCAAGCTGGATTGTTCCCTCTTCAAAATCAACACCAACTTCAGCACCCGATACCATTCCCTGGTGATCCTGGTCCTTCTTCACACCCCCGCGGTCCTCCTAACCTTGGGCACTTGTCTGCAGCCGCGGCAGCTGCAGGTCAAACTCCTCCAACCGCTCCTCACACGCAGGATGGAGGGGAAGCTCTCAGTGATACGGACATTGGAGAACAGCCTTCTTCAACAGCTCCACAACCGGTGTCTGGATCGACGGGAAGATCCCGGGCCGCCAGGAGCGCTGCAATGGGCACCGATGAGTGGACCCGCCAGCGTAAGGATAATCATGTAGGTATCTTCGATGAGTCCTCCTGTGCTCTGGTCATTGATGCTCGTGTAATTTTCGCAGAAAGAAGTCGAGCGTCGACGCCGAGGAAATATCAACGAGGGCATTAACGAACTTGGTCGTATAGTACCAAACAGTTCTGGTGAGAAGGCAAAAGGCGCAATTCTTCAGCGTGCTGTGCAGTATATCCACCATCTGAAAGAAAACGAGGCACGCAACATTGAGAAATGGACACTAGAAAAGTTGCTCATGGATCAAGCAATGGGTGACTTGCAAGCGCAGTTGGAGGACATGAGGAGGTTATGGGAGGAGGAACGCATCGCACGACAAAGAGCAGAGAACGAACTCGATGTGCTGAGGGGTGTGTCGGGCCAAGCCCCAACCATTCCATATAAATCTCGTTCACGTTCAGTTGAGCGAGGACAGGATGCGCCCTCTAACAGAGGTCCGTTTGGTGAGAGTGAAGTGCGAACAGAGCTTGGGAATCGACCAGAGGAAGGTGGTGATGATTCGGAAAGCAGGCCCGGGAAACGTGCGAGAGTTGATTGAGGTTATGTAGTTCGTATTATCTTTCTCAGCTGTATTGATAGCACCCATAAATCTTACTTCTAGTGCCTTTTCTAGATACTATCAACGTACACCTGGCGTACGTAGGCAACTTGTACGTGGAAGACCGTGCGTATAACCTATTCCGTTATCTGGGTTTGATTGTCCCCGCATCTGGGGATCTTGGCGTTCTATCTCCTGTTGCATTAACGGTAAACCTGAACAATTCCTGCGTCTTCGCGCGGGAAAACTTATTGCGCATTAGCTTGTTCCTCCACTCTTTGGTATCAAGATTCCTATTATACTAACCATCTTGGTGCAAGAGTGACGTGGGGATACTAATAGATCCCGATCACCGCATCATCGCACATCGCACATCGCTTGAAAGTTGATGGTAATCCCCTTCTTGTTCGTGACACGCGGTCCACGGAAGTCCGGGTGACATCGATGAAATAAATTTTGACGTTCTGGCGTACATGACCCCCCTGTCTTGACCCAAGGTAGTTGTTCAGTATCATGCATTATGTCTGGCTGTTGTTGTGCGCCGTGTGCCTAATCCTCTACGCCGTTTGGGGTAGCTACTTTGCGAGAAACTTACTAGATAACATTCCGGGGCCCCCTCGTCAGCATTGGTGGACAGGTAAAGGCGTACTGCACAATCTCAACGAGTCAATGCACTGACAAAATCAATCAGGCAAGTTGGATCAAATATTTGCGCGGTATGCATGGGATTTCCACAAGATGCTTGCAGAACGCTACGGTCCAGTATCGAAGTTCTATGGGCTTTTTGGGGTACATCAATCGCACACAAACGCATCGCTATTTTCTGAGAACGTTGTTCACAGGCAAGGGAGTTGTATGTTTTTGATCCAAAGGCCATGTACCATATCATGGGTCAAGGATCAGAACAGTTTTGAAGTGACTCCTACCTTTTTAGCGTAGGTATTTCCACTGTGCTTCACATTTCACTTTACTGGAGAGCCCTGCAGGACAAACAAGGTCCTTTTTGGGGATGGCCTACTCTCGACGTTAGGTGCGGTGGGACTCTTGTTTTGTTGTCCCTGTATCTTATTCCCAATACAGGCGAACACCATCGAAAGCAGCGGAAGATGCTCAACCCTGTGTTTTCCATCAGCCACGTGCGAGACATGGTGCCTGCTTTTCTCGAGGTGACGAAATGCGTAAGTGCCTCACCTGTCTGGCGTTGGTGGCGTTATTGACTGCGCATTGTAATAGCTCCGAGACGGCATTGCAGCGCAAGTAGAGCACGGGCCCCGTGAAATTAATATGTTGGAATGGCTCAATCGCACCGCTCTTGAACTTGTGGGGCAGAGCGGACTCGGGTACTCTTTTGATTGTCTGAAAGAAGGTTATGCCAATCCTTACAGCGCTGCCGTTAAGAATCTCGCGTACGCATTCCGGTGATTCCTTTCAACTTTATAGGTGGGGGCTAACGAGAACTTCAGGCCAACAATATTCAAAGTGTCTGTCGCGAGGAAATTTCTCCCATTCCTTATCAATGTTGGTCCTCCTAACTTCAGGAGATTCATTGTGAAGATTTTTCCGTGGAAGGCACTGAAGGAGATCTGTAGTATTGTCGACGTTATGGATGAGACATCGATGAAGGTCTTTGAGGAAAAGAAACGTGCACTTTCTAAGGGAGACGACGCGGTATTGCACCAGGTTGGAGAAGGAAAAGACATCATGAGCATACTGCGTGCGTTCATGAAAGTTCTTTTGTTGTAATTGCGTCCCTAACCACTGAGCCATCTATTGCAATAGTCCGAGCCAACATGAATACTTCAGCGGAAGATCGTCTTCCAGATTCAGAGCTCGTGGCCCAAATGAGGTGGGCGTGGCTGCATTCGCGTATCTGTCTAATATTACACCAGTACGCTTGTTTTTACCGCAACACATACGACTTCCGGTGCCCTGTGTCGCACCCTTTTGACTCTTGCTCATCATCGAGATGCGCAAGACAGACTGGGCGAGGAAATCCAACACGCAATGGCTGAACTTGGCGAGCTTGACTATGATGCCCTGGCCAATCTGCCATATCTCGATGCAGTATGTCGAGAGACACTGCGCCTGTAAGGGTTCACTTTCTATCAAATCGTGTATGTTCACAAGGGTGTAGGTATCCTCCAGTTACCACCGTCGCACGCACGTATGTCCCACCCAAATTTTGCAGATATGTTCGAACGAACCTTGTTTTTCTAGTGCAACTGACAATATAATCCTCCCCTTCTCGCGCCCCATCAAAGGGAATGATGGGATATATATGCGTGAGGTCCTTGTGCCCAAGAACACGAATATTATCGTGTCAATCCTGAACTCCAACCGAGATCCTGAAATCTAGGGGAGACGACGCGCTCCAGTGGAAACCGGAAAGATGGCTGTCTCCGCTTCCACAAAGTGTTATTGATGCCGAGATTCCAGGGGTTTACTCTCACCTGTGAGTGGTATTTGGAAATATCAATCCCCGGAATGCTTATGCTCAATGATCCATTGCTTCTCCAGAATGTCATTTATTGGCGGCGGAAGAGCGTGCATGTGAGATTTAAAATTGTGCCACAATTGTCGATCTCTGATGAGAGCGTGCATAGTGGATTCAAGTTTTCAGAACTCGAGATGAGTTCGTAGGTTTCGTTCTTGATTAGATTCCGGCTGACAAGTTGATCAGAGATCGTTCTTTGCATACTCATCCAGACCTTCAAGTTCACTCCCACGAAAGAGATCGATTGGACCATGCAGGTGTCATCTCCGAACGTCAAAGGTTCTGAGGATGCAAATTGGCAGTTGCCGCTCCGAGTCGAGTCGAGATGATATCAGGTCGACTCGTGCGGCGCTAGAAACATAAAAAGGGGTCCTCCGGCGTTTTCAACTGTAGCTGCTATTTAATGTTCGAAGTATAGTTGGTCTGAAGCGGACTGGGGACTGATCCCATTCCCTAGGGTCCATGGACAGTACAACGAAATAATCTGATTCGATCTAGTGTCGGATGAAATGTATCCAGTGAGTACTGGTGTCACGTGCTACACTCTTTCAGCACGACATCTACGTGCTCTCTTAGCTCGGTTGCTTGTCGTCGTCGTCGTCTTGGGTATCATGGGTGGCGGAAGGAGGATCCAAAGTTGGGGTTTCTTCTATCATCGCGCATCTCTCGTGGAAGTTGATACTAAGACTGCCAACCCCTTTTGTCCTGACCTCGGGACAAAAGAATTTGACAGTCTTCAGCATTCTTCCTTGTCAACTTTCCTGTTGTTCAGCTACATCATGATACCCAACCAACTTACCCCAGAGGTATGCTTCCAGTCCTTCAACGCACGCCGCACCACAGCCCCAACATCCCACTGACTCGGAAGCGCAGCATCCCGCACCTGGCCTATATATATATATGAGCATGCGTACGCGTCCATGAAAATCTGGCCACCGTCTTTTTTAACCATGAGATCTGTCCAAGGGGGCAGCGACCGGGGATTCAAATTGTTGCTTACCTCTCTTGACGGTAGGCCCGAGGGCTAGCTCCTAACTTTATCAATGGCGGCGGCCATGGTCAGAACTTCCGTTGTTGCAGTAGCTTCAAGTTAACATGCACTGCACCGTGACTGTTACAGACTGTTACTATTCATAGATCAAACAATCTGCTCGCCTTCACCCAAATAATCTGCTACATGGTGAGCTAAAGCCAACATTGAGAAAGGTTTCTCGTGCTAGAGAATGAAAACTGGTCAAACTTTATGAGGTTACGGTATAACACTGCCATGGTTTTGCAAGTTGGTTTCAAAGTTCTACGTAGTCAGAGCTTGTAGAACTTCGACTCAGGAGTTCGTCGTTCGTTCTTGATTACCAAGGAGAATAGATCATCATGATTTGATTATTTCGATAACGTCTTGCTGAACCCAACGATCATGTCCATCAGCAGAAAACGTCATCCCCACCGAAGACGAAGTCAGAAAAGCGGTTATCGAGCTGAAAAAAGGCAACCCTGCCTCTGGCGTCGCCAAAGTCCACAGCTTCTTACTTGACGCAAATCCATCATGGACGGTCAGCGAAAAACGCGTCCGAAAGATCTTGCAGAGTGAAGGACTCGTCAGATCGGACGCTGGGACGCCTAATAGTACAATCAACACCATCCATCCATCTTTTCGCCTCAATCAAAGCCTTGATGTCAACAAGTGGACCAGTAGGGTGGAAGTCAAGTACTTTGACGCGATCAAGGGCAAGGGTCTCGTCGCTAAAGAGAATATAGTAAAAGGGGATGTTTTATGGAAAGAGGATCCCTTCATCCTGGCCCCAGAATGGTGAGTTCCCCTACACGTTCCGTCGCTTAGATCGAAGAGCTTATGTCTGGAAAGGGAGATCTATGATCTCCAGCACGCATCCGAGGCATGCTCCCTCTGCTCGTCCATCATCCGCGATCATTCCCCGTTGCATATATCCTGCGAGGCCTCCACAACCGCAACTCCCTGCACAGCGAGATACTGCAATAGGCTCTGTCGTCTACAGGCAGAAAAAGTGCACCCTCTCCTATGTTCCGCGCGTAATCCCGCGTCTGTACCACTCCTTGCCTTCACCAGAGATGCACAATGGATGGCCCTGCATGCTCTCGCGCAGTGTACCAGCCGACTTTTACTGGCTTCTCAGCAAGATGCTGCGACGTTCGACCTGGACTGGGATGTAGTCCAGGGCCTCGCTGAGCTTGGGATGGAAGAACGTGCTCAGTGTCTTCGGTGAGCCATTGGACTCCAACATTTCGATGGCGGATGGTACACTGACTCTCTAATAGCGAGCAGGGATTGGAGCCCGATCGCCAAAATTGGCGGAGAGCCTTTGAGTTGTACTTGCAAGCATTCAAAGAGCCTCGGACACCTGGAGAACAGAAAAAACTAGCGCGCGTCTTGAAAAAGCCAATTCCCGAAGAGCTACAGAAATTTACTTTCGAATATCAGGCCTTCTTACGTGGCTTGGGCCGCATGAGTCTCAGTAAGCTGTCCCATAACTATTATGTTTTTGTTCGCCGTTTTACGCTGGTTCGTAGATCTGGAGGCCCATGGTGGACTGTACAGACTACACTCTCACCTTAACCACGGTTGCACTCCCAACGTCTCCGTAAGGCACTTGGACCAGCGCACTGCGCTCTCGCGCATCACAGTGATCGCAAAAGAGGATTTCGAAATAGGACAAGAGCTCCTAATCACATACACTAACCCCCAGAGCAGTCTCAGGGATCGACGTCGGAGATTGTCGGAGTGGGGATTCGGACCTTGCCGGTGTGAGCGCTGTGTTACCGAAGAGAAGGTTTGGAAGGAATCGGATAGCAACACCCAGGAAGCAGACGATCTCGCAGATCAGCTCAAAGCCGGCCTAGGAGTGTTATAGGATGTGTTCATTGAATGATCAGCGATTAGGATTAATTTCCGTTAAGCAAGTGTCCGTGGTCCCCGTGCTGTTTTGTAGGCATGCTAACATAATCCCCACGATCTGGCTCCATTCAAGCTTCAAGATTTGGATCTGACGAAATTCATCGGGACATATCACCATCAGAATAAATACGGTAAGCTCGTGCGGCGCAATATATTTTGTCACCGGGGGTATATTTCATTCAGATCAGTGACTATATCCTCACGTGTGGCCTGACAGTCAATTCAATTCGATCTCATCATTTCAGGAAACTACCGGGGTGACATACAAATTGCGATTTGTGTTCTTGAGCCTATCGGCGACAGTGAACCCAAACCTAAGTTTAATTTTTAGCCAAGGGGTCGATTATCGCAATAACGCGCCTAATCGTGTTATACACTCCCCCTTTTTTTATTGGCTACATTCACCGTGATTCATCAAGGAACTCTGATATCAATAGGTAAACGTGTTATTTTTTTGTATATACGTCATGCGCCGCGCAGGCGATTGTGAATATTTTCTCTGATAGTCCTTGCATTATGAGGCGCAATCAAAATTGAATCTCGCGAAAGTTCTGGAACAGTCGACTTCCGTTCCTAAGGACTGACGGTTGATCCCGCTGCCAGTGATCATCAATATTAATACCGGCATGGCATCATCTCAGCGTACAGCATGAATGTGTAGGATACTTACGACGAGGGTAATATATACTAGGTAAGGTCCGAAGATAAATAGCACCGAATTTTCTGTTAGATTCCTGGAGGATAGTTGTAAGTACATAGATCGATCTCGCTCTTTGACGGTACTTATTAAACTCAGAACTATTTTCATTCCCGCTTGAACCTTGTTCGATTACCCGAGTACACACCTCTCCGTCATGAACCTCCAGGTTGGCTCTGCTGCTCCACCTTCCGATGAGATGCTACTCGGAGCACCGGTCATTTTATTATACCTACGGACTCATCCGACGATAGACGAAAATAGTAAATCCCGTACGTACTGAGGCCCTGCATAGGGCCCTGCCCAAGGAAACAATAAACGAGTGTTTATTACATTCTTATTTGTCTGATCTTTGGCAGAGGCTAGAAGAACTATATTTACTGATAGTGACCGCACGGCGACCTCGCAAGCTTCGGAAGTATGCAGGAAAGGGAGCTCGAAATAAATTGCACAGAGAAATTAATGATTTCGAGATGAAGAATCCAAGAATCCCAGCAGAGGCGAGGCGATACATATGGTGGCAAGGATTCATCGTTTTGGATAAAAATAAGCATGGTGAATATAATCATACCTATGGGCAATGCAATAAGAAGCGCGCACTAGGGACCAACGGATGGCGCAACCATGTCTGACCATTTTTATCGCAATCGTTGAACGGGAGATACCGAAGAATACTATGGAGTAGCTCCTAGTTAGCAGTGAGTCTGTAACTTCAGGAGTGCAGGGTGGGCGACGCACAGACGGCGCATCATCACCTGACTTAACGATACTTTGCTGCCAGCCTGCGAATACGGGAGTACTTGGAGAATAGCAAGCAGAAATGGGGAAATGAGAAGTGGAGCACGGCGTTATTGCTGGGCGGTGAGTGATGATGGGAAACCGGGTATACCGTAACCACTAGTGCAGGACCGGTGTTTGAGCCAGCACTGTCATCTGAGCCAAACGGCCACCACACGTTCACTCCTAGTGACTACAGGAGCGCAGGGTGGGCGAGCTAACATCTCGTGATCATCACATTTAAAATTTGTGAATTAAACAGAATTTCGAAGTAGCCGTCAACCACTTGCCTGCCTGACGGTGGGCAGCCATCGTGTCCAGTTATCAAACAGATCTGCTATTGATATTGCATATAGGGAGAGTCGTTACGAAGAAAAGCCACAAAGATTGCAGGACAAAATGAGCGAGGCTAGGTTACTTTCAAGTTGTACCTGCCGCACAGACGGCGCATGATCACCCGATTTAACGACGCTTCTTGATGCCAGCCTGCCGCAGTATGGGACCCGGAGGGTAGCAAACAAAAAGCGAGAAATGGGCAGTGAAACCCTGTGGAGCACAGCGTTATTGCCGGCGGGTGGCAAGGAAGTATCGATCGGGGAGGCAAACAGTGTATGTGCTAATAATAGGACCAGCATGTGAGACACACAGCGGCAAGCGCCGTCTTACATAATTTGGGTGATTTGCAAGTGAGCCAGCGAAATACTGGTTGACTTGAAATCATTTCTCTGAAAACACTAGATTGTGCGGAAACCTTTGCAGAACCTCGACCTAGTCGAATTTTTATGCGATCGGAGATAAGCGTATAGTATATACCGGAACAGACGTACATATTTACATTCGAGGTCCAAGCCAAGCAGAACCAAGCAGAACCGTGACATGATACTCGGACTGTAATTTAACCTGACTCAAGTCTTGACATCCCCGGGCCATACTTTAACCGAGGACTAGTCGACGCCGGTACCAGATGTGCCCGCTATCACAATCATCGACGATTGTTAACATTGAAAGGTGAATAGCGCACGTACATATCGTCATGCCCGGTCTCGATTAATCCAAGGGTGACAACTCAGGTATTCTCATATCTTGTAGATGTGGGTAATACGTATTGGCTGCCATTGTGTTGGTTTACTCCTGTGACCTACATCCTTTAAGACAACCTTTGCCATCATTGGGTCAGAGTTAATGATCGTCGACAACAGGATCGGGCACACGCTCAGGCTGGCACGTCATGATGGGCAGGCACCCAATACACATTACTGATGGAATCTACCGATTATCCGCGCGAGCGATGCGTCACTTTTAGATGCGTAATACTAACAATACGACATAAAAAGGCTAATAAACTTCTCTTGCATGCGGCACGCAGCGAAGTACGGCTGCATTTTCATGCGCACGTCCTCTCAAAATGAGTTCGGATTCCCCTAGTATTGTGCTCAGAGACCAGAAACATGTTTACTTGTCTACCAAGGATGTTGACACTGGTGCTAAGCTCGTTGTTGGATTCACTTCACCTCTTGATCCAGATGAGGCTTTGAGAATAAGGTGCGCTGTGAGAACTGCATGCACATTGATTTGATTTGATTTTGTTTTACAGGAGGAAGATTGATAGACATATCATGCCTCTGATGTGTGGTGAGTTGACGCTGTGTTCAATTGTATAAATCGATCGTGTCTGACGATCCCTGTTCAGCTTTGTACGGGTAGGTTGATTGTACTCGCTACGAGTCAGCGCTTACATGAACACAGGATCCAATTTATGGACAAGACAACCTTGGGTTATGCGTCCATCCTTGGAATTCAGTAAGGACTATGTATCAAGACCAATAAACCGGTACTGACGTGTGACATCAGACGGGCCACGAACTTGACCACGAATGAGTAAGTCATCATTGTTCTTGGAGTCGAAAATCTGAAGGTGAACTTTCTGAAGGTACAATTGGCGAGACATGCATTGTTCGAGTTTGCGTACTCTATACACTAACTATCTTTCAGGCTTGGCACTGTGTTCTATCTCAGTTATCTTCTCTTCGAGTTTCCCCAGAACCTTGCCCTTCAGAAATTCCCGGTCGGGAAGTGGATGAGGTAGGCTCGCAGCCATTATAAGTGTTAACATCAATGACAGCTTGTATCAGTATCAATATCTTCGTCTGGGCAGTCGCACTTGCATGTCATGCAGCATGCAAGAGCTTTGCTGGGCTTCTTGTTGTGCGCTTGTTGCTGGGCGCTTGTGAGGGGTCGATCACTGCTGGATTCTTGATCGTCAGCTCCATGTTCTACACACGGACGGAACAAACGCTACGAGTTGGTTATTGGTGTAAGTTCCCGTTTGCAAATGATCAAAAAAAGTCAACTAATCGAACGCGCGCGAATTCAGTTCTGATGAATGGCACTGGTGCGCTCACTGAAATGCATGTTTGACATTGCCGCCTAAGCCAGCGAACTCTAGCACAAGTCGTTACTGGTTTCATCAGCTTTGGTGTTTTCCAGATTAACACAAAAGGGTTTGAACCATGGCAATGGTCAGATAATTATTTTTATTACTCCCTGCTCCTTCTGATAGATCACAGGCTCATGATCATCACTGGTATGATAACAGTGATCCTTGCCATCTCATTCTGGTGAGTCTATTGAGCAAACGTTTCCGGTGCCTAGTCTCCATAACCAAGACATCTCCGCCCGATGAAGGTTCTTGTTTCCTGATTCGCCTACGAACGCCTGGTTCCTTACTCCCGACGAGCGGGCGAAAGCCGTACAGCGCATCAAGGTACATCTGTTAAACGAATTGGCATCAGCCCTTGTCTTACATTTGACGCAGGAGAACCAAACGGGGGTGGAAAACAAACACTTCAAGATGGAGCAGTACGTATTCGATGCCATTGTGATCTTTCATTCCTCACGTCAACATCTCTAGGATGATCGAAGCACTGACGGACCCCAAGACATGGCTCTTCGCCCTCTTCTCGGCTCTAAACAATGTACCCAACTCATTAACAAATCAGCAATCACTCATCATTGCTTCGTTCGGATTCAGCGTTCTACAGACGACTCTATTGTCTTGTGTTCCTGGTATTCTTGAAATCTTGACAATCTTTACTGGTGTTCGGCTCGCTGCACAACGGCCCAATTCCAGAGCCTATGTTGGTGCTATGTACTTTGTCCCGTCATGGTTCGGCATCTTGTTGGTTAACTTACTTCCTTGGTCCAATCAGGTATGTGGCTTGTCACAATCTGCGAGTCTACCGAGTTGCCGTTAATATCACATATCACACGATATTAGGCTGGACTTCTTGTCGGCCAGTTCCTGGGTGCGTGCGATGCCCGTACTGTGTTTCTATGCTCACTGCTCCGTAGCTGAGACTAGTGTGCCTGGATTTGTACTATCGTTATCGTGGCTCAATAACGTGACTGCTGGCCATACGAAGAGGGTGGGTACCTCGCCAGTCATCGAAGTCGCTCCTTAAGTGAATATCAGTAGATTGTTACGAACGCCATCATGCTCTCGGCTTATTGCGTTGGCAACGCAGCTGGCCCCTTGATGTGGAAGGACCAATATAAGCCGCGGTATGTCATTCTTCGGCTGCCTCTTCTAGGAAGGAATGTTTGAAATAATCATTGTTCCAGCAACCACGTCCCATGGGCTGTGATCGGCGTATGCTATGTGGCCTGTCCGGTGCTTCTTCTTGTTATCCGTGCTGTTCTTGTCCGAGAGAACCGAATCCGCGACGCAGAGCCTGATGACGCCAGTGAGGAATATGTTATCGAGCGAATCACAGAGGATGGGAAGCGTGTAGAAGTTAATATCGACAAGGTGAGTTCTCCGAATGGATGGCTACTTTTCGCACACAAGGGTTGACGACCTGCCTGCACTAGGAATTCCTGGATTTAACAGATAGGCAGAACAGGGACTTCAGATATGTTTTGTAACATTAAGCGTACTCGATCCCTACTCTGTGGTCACATATATTTTACATATTCTCCAATTCTCATTGCCAAATGGCGATCATCGTGCTCGGTCATGCGCACCAATTATGGTGTCACACCCTGTGGCGAAGCTGCCAGGGTTGCCTCGAGAGCAAATATACTCACACTCACTAAGTAAATTATAGATAACGCGCCGTAACACTCAGGGGTCACGATGCCAACGCCTTACTCATCGCTGCAGACCACACGAATTGATCTAGCGCGCATCAATGACTGGTGTAATACATGTGAAGAGCGTGGGTCACCGCTGATTACAATGTCCAGGGACAACAAACAGATTTCCATGGGCCATAGGGCCAATGGCAATGCCTACCAACATGAGTGGACAATCGACCGACAAGTCGCAATGGGATCGATGCTGCGGGATCCGAACGTGCAGCAACTTGGGATGGACTTTAAATGCCATTCATCATCGTGTTTTGGGCCTCGCCAACACATCATGATACACTCGGTCAATTTTTGCACTTCATACATTTACCTTTTAGGTCATCATTGTTCTCAAAGCAACACTTCCGGCTTGCTGCTTTCTGGTAGCGTAGGATGGGCATAGTACCCCCGATTGTTCAACCGGACATGGACCATTTCCTGGCTTCAGAAGTATCGCAGAGATACCAATGATATTGCGGAATCCCTGGTCATAATATGCACGTGTTTGACACTGTGGACATATACCAACGAAATTCATGCATGATCTCATTGAGATGAATGACCATCATGTCGTTTTCATGGAGCCGGTGGTCCATAGAAGCAATGCGTAAAGCGCCAAGAGGAGTCGATGACGAGACTTTGGCACGCATAATCTACGCAGCTTATACTTATGTGGATGTGGCGCACGGAAAACACCTGATGTGTAGGCGACCTATCTAAGCGCTATCCTAACTCGCCTCTGCGTCCAACAAAACGCCTGCTTCGATTCGGTCTTTTATTCTAAGTGTGTGCACGCTAAGTTCCATTGAAAAGTATTCGCTGGTAAGTGATAAATGTGTTATACCCTTTGAAAAAAATCACTGAGGCGCAAGAAGAATAGGCCTGCACCAGCGATTGCTGCCCGACTCGAAAAAAAACCGTGCTCTTGAAGAACGCCATAGTAAAAGATCGGAGCAGAGCCGGACTGTGTAGATAAATTTGGCGCGCACTATCCATATCTCACTGCTCCTGATAGACGAGACATGTCAGCGGTGAAGCCCCAACACAAGATTGCAGGACAAAAAGGAAAAGTCTGGGGCATATTGTACCTCCCAGGTGGACGGCGCACGCTCACCTGTTCTGACAACGGTTCGCTGCGAGTATGGGACTTGGAGAGTGGCAAGCAGAAAGGCGAGAATTGGGAGGATAAAGACAGTGGAATAATGTGGGCTATAGCATTGTCGCCGGGCGGCAAGGAAGTAGCAAGCGGGAGTGAGGATGGCATAGTGAGATTGTGGGACATCGGGACAGGTAAAGTTACTGCAAGATGGACAGGCCACAGTTCGGGGGTGCCATCTATCTGCTGGAGTCCAGACGGAGATCGAGTGGTAAGCGGATCAAGCGATGGAACGGCAAGAGTGTGGAATGTCGAGAGCGGCGATACCATCCTCGAACCAATCAAGACTGGGCATATGTACGTGCGCACGGTTCACTATTCACCCGATGCAACAATGATTGCAACGGGCGGCAACGACAGCGACGACGAGTCCTCAGTGAAACTCTGGGATGCCAAGACAGGCGAACTGCTCAAAACACTCAAGGCAAACATGCTTGGCGAAGTTTTATGTTTGGCTTGGTCTTCGGATGTCAACACGCTTATCTCCGGGTCACTTAACTATGATAACAACTCCATTAGAAAATTCGACACCGCCACTGGGACACAAATTGCTGTGCTCGAAGGACATGAAAATCTTGTTAAAGCCCTTTCATTATCTCCCAATCACCGTATCCTTGCGAGCGCATCATCTGACCAGACAGCACGACTTTGGAACATTGAAACTAATCAACCCATTGGACTACCCCTCCCCCATGGAGGCCCAGTGAGGTCTGCAGCCTTTTCTCCTGATGGAAAGCTGCTAGCTACTGTCTGCGATGACCATCACATATACACATGGGATGTCGCTGCTATCGTTAGGGAAGCTGGCCTCGGTAAACTTCTGACTGTGAGTTTGAATCCTATTTCCTATCGATCACACTGATGACACATGTTCCATAGGCCTCTGCTCCAAAGGTATCTCAACTTCAAATTCTTAGAAGTTATGTGCACTAATCTGTGTTATTGCAGGTTGGCGGCAAGTTGATCTTAGAGGTAATTGGCCCTTTCTTTGAACATGCCCTGCTTTTATTCATCTTTGTGCCAGACGGATGCTACACAACGTCGAAGTCAGAAAATTACGGATGCGCATCGATTACCGCCAGGTTTTTTTAATGATGCACATGTTGGTGTGACTTTCCGGAATCATGGTCTAACATATTTGTGACACTTGAGTTTTCAGCCTTCTACGACACGTCGTCCCCCTTCCCGTCACGGCCGTGGCAGCCGTACAACACCCTCGTCATCGCGTACCCTTCTTGGTCGGCTTTCCTCGCTCTTCCCTCGTTATCACCACACCACGCCGAGTGTCGTCGAGGTGCCCACTGTCCAGGACAGAAAGGTATGTTTACCTCCGAGTTCTGCCTGGTTTGATGCCAATTCACTTCAAAGGCCTTGTATGTCTCCCCACCGCGCCAGAAAAAACAACTCTTGCAAGGTACCCACACTCAAGGTCAACAGCAACAACAAGGTCAATCACATGGGCAGGCATCGTCGTCTCATCCCCCGGTGACATCTGCAGGTGCTGCTGCAACTCCTGTATCTACAACTGCAACACCATCGCGTCCTGCTACCGCCAACAATCTCAGCCTATGGACTCGCATAGTGCTCTGCGTCTGCTGCGTCTCTGCCGACTATACTAATGGCCATCATTGATGAAGCAGCGTTTCATCGCTCGCATTGCTTCTCATTATGTGCTAACGTTCTTGTCCTCGTATCGTACTATCATTTTTACCTGCAGATGCCAACTATATGGAGCCAATCACTGGTTCGCTGCTGCAGCTAAGCGTCTTCCTGCAACGCAACTGCCAATCATGACTGCCTGAACGGGCAGAGCGGGATGCAGTACTTCATGGGTGCCTGAAGTCCCTCGTTTCGCATCTTAATGTATAGCTGAGGGTGACGGACATATATTTCGGAAGAACCAATTAACTATGCATTGGGCTGCAGGCGGTATTGTGCGCTTAGGAGCGCGATGAACGAGTTGATATACCATCTTGTACATATTGGTCCATAATTGTGGCTGTACACGCGGTGAGAATTAATACTAGCAAACATCAGCACCAGCCCCTGACTCGCTTATTCTTCGTGTCCACTGTCCATCAAACTAGTCTCTAATCATGCGTTGGCAACTAACTGCAAATCCCACATGATTCTACTGTTAATGCATGATGTTCTTCGACCCGTACTGCAGACGTCCGTCTTGACCAGTCTTAGCCAAGTGGTAAGCATGACAGAACAAACATCTGTTGCAGATTTGAAACCTGCTCAATAATCTTTTTCCTTCCATCACACCTTGAACATTCACTCATGGATGGATCCTCCAAGGTAGTCATAGTACTGGCACCAGAACAGATTAGAAATCTTGGGTGGTGCGGGTTCAAAACTTCCTGACAAATATCTCATCACATCTTGACACTCGTGGACAGTTCTTCAGAGGTGCAACATATCAACTTGCAGAGCATCCTAGCTGAAGTGAATCATTACCAAACAACAGAATCAAAATCTGTTTCTCTTGAGCTGCGCAGGTTTGAAACTTGCTGATGACAACTTTTTTTCTCTCTCAAAACACACATTGACATTCACCCATGTCGTTAGAGCTTCATTTAACTGGTCTTAGCTAAGTGGTTACCACAACAGAATCGAAATCTGTTTCTCTTGGACTGTGTAGGTTCGAAACTTGCCATTCGACCTGTTTTTTTTTCTATTGGAATACACTTTGAAGATTCGCTCATGTAGGGTTTCCTCGGAGGTGCATATCAACTTCGTCCTGGCAAAAGTGGTTGGTTGCCACAACAGAATCTAAATCTGTCTCTTGGACAGTGGCAATCTTAATGCAGGTTCGAAACCTGCCGATGACAAGTTTTTTTTTCTATCGGAACAGATTCACTCATGAAGGTTTTCTTGGAGGTCCATCTTAACTGGTCTTACAGCCAGGTGGTTTCCACAACAAAATCAAAATCTGTCAGTCCTGTCGATGACAAGGATTTTTTTCCCTCATGGAACACACTTCAACATTCACTCATGGGTGGTTTCGTCGGATGATAATCTTAACTGATCTCAGCCAAGTGGTTACTGCAACAGCATCAAAATCTGTTTCTCTTCAACTGTACAGGTTCGAAACCTGCCGAATGAAAGGTCTTTTTCTATTGGAACACACCTTGACATTGACTCATGGATCGTTTCCTCAGGGTTCCTTCTAACTAGTCTTAGCCAAGTGGTTACCACAACAGAGTTAAAATCTGTTTCTCTCCGAGTTGGTTCGAAACCTACTCCTGACCACATTTTTGCGGTGTATGGATCCTCGGAGGCCACCTTAACCAAGCTCAGTCATTGCGCCGAAGCCTCTTTTTTTTATGTGATATCATAGTCTGTCCATGAAAAGGAATTCACTTTCATGCCCCGTGATGGCTTCAGCTTTTCCTCGGGAATTTTCCAGTTAGCGTTCACAACTTCAAGTTATGGGCGTTCGAGAAGATGATTCAACGAGAATGCGATGTCGAGAATTTAAACACCATTCATACGCTGTAGGTGTTGATTCCATCAAGCTTGTTCACTTTTTATTCACTGTAAGTTATTTTCCTTCATCACTCTCAATTTCTTAATGCACTCAGTCTCGTGAAACCTCTGCGAGCTGATTGTGTTGTGACCACTGTATTGCCTAAGGTTTCTGCTTCAAACTCAACTTGGCGGTGGCCTTTCATCGGACAAACCTCTCAAAGGAAAGGAATGTCACAGCGTCTTTCGACTACTAAGTCTTGCAACCTCTAAGTTACGCTTTCTGAAAGTTATGTCCATCTCAATCATTCGATTGTCAGAACCTGTCTATTGAAATGTGCTATTCTTATCATACATGTAGCATATTGTCCAACAGCGAATTTTCCGCAGCTTTTCTCGATTGTTGCCCTGGCTCGCTACTTTCCAAAAGATACCGCTGATGATGCACAAGTAGTACTGATGTAGTACGAGACAGACTCCGGACCGCTCGTCTCCTCGCGAGACCTTAATCCCAACTATGTATTGTATACATTACTCTTGTCAATACAACAAAGATCGAAAAGAAAGCTCTATATCCATATTGCGCATGAAATCAAATAAGAAAATGTCGAAGAACAAAAGCACCACAAAATGAGCACCTCCCAGCGTAGCGGAACGGTATCCAGTATGACACTGCTACAAGGGCATAAACCCCGTCGGACGCGCCATCGCCCCAGTCTCCGACTCTGCATACATACTGTACGCCATCTGCATCGTCTCCCCATCAAGCCCCCTCACCCTAAGACACTTCCCAAATAACTTCTTATCGACGGGATATTGAACCCGGCTTGCAAGATGCTGCCCACCCACCAAATCCTTGATCACGCCAGCAATAAGCCGCTGCTTATGCACATTGATCAATGGCTCCAGCTGCATCGAAGGCGGGAGAGGCGTCAGCGAATCGAATACTTCTGGGTGGGCTGGAGACTCGAAATTGACGGTTTGGGAGTCGATGCCGACGGGATCGTGAGGTGAGGTTGGGTCAATTAGATCTGGGAGTCTGCTATAGCGGTATAGTTGAGAAAGATAGACCCCGATGAATGGGATGCAGGCTGATGGCGTCTTCGCGTCGTTGGCACCCTTTGGTTTTCCCGAGGGTAGGTCTGTGCTGTTGCTACTCAAGACTGTAGACGTCCGCGTCGTCATATTCAGAGTCTTCGGGTCTACCATAGCAGCGATAGCATTGCGCATAGCCTTGAAATCATCGTCCGGCGACACGAATCGCTTCAGCTTTTGAAACAACCCGTTCTCCCACAGCCTCACGCGTCCCCAATGCCGATGCATAGCTTTCGCGACCCACTCGTTTTGCAAACCGGCAATGATAGCCGCCAACGTATTGAAATTACTCCGGACATATGCTTTCTGAACCACGTCACGCAAAGTCAGAATCAGTCTCCTCAAAGTAAAATATCATCCAAAAGGAACTCACAAAAGCGACGCGAATAAACTTGCCTACCAACATCGCCCTATCGCTCGGATGCGTCATCACGATCTCGGCAACCACAAAATTCGCAAGCAGATTAAACCGCCCTCGAACAGCAGCCAATGCACTCGTCTTCTGGCTCCACCGTGACTCAGCCTTCCAACGCGCCCGGTCCTTGAGATACTGTGCCCAATCCAACACGTTCACCTCCTGACACGACATCCAATCGTCCAAGATCAATTCTTCAGGCTTGACCCCCAAGAAAAGCTCTCGGTCGATCATCGACAAATGTTGTACGATCAGGTCGGCGCTCATGTTCAGGATCCAGCTTCGGTGCGGTTTTCGACCAGGGGGGATGAATTTCGATGGGGAGGTTATTATGAAGGGGGATGTTGTAGGCGAGCCACGGGACGTAGACGGTCTTGATGGTACCCTGCTTTGCAAGATCTCAAGTGGAACAGCATCTTCAGGCGCAGGTTTCAAATCGTTCGTCCTCGCAGGCGGCGACGTCGGTCCAGACATGGCTTCTACTGTCCCAGACGTCAACTCTAAACCCACAAAGCTGAAATAGTCCTCCGTCGTCGGCGTAGCCCCCGAAATCGTCACCTGCGAACCAGTGCCCACAAGAGTTTGTTCATCCATCCTCAATGCCCCAGTCTCGTGCTGATCAATCTCATAGTCCTCCTCTTCCTCATCCTCACTATCCAATCCAAAAAACCTCGGCTGCTCATCCCCAAAATCACCCACAGCCATCCGTTCCTGAATTGTGCGCACCCACCCGTCCACCTTCTTTGCTTTCTCTTTCCGTTTCTGAGGATTGATCTGGCCTTCAAGACGTCTCAGAGCCTCTTCGACGCCCCCATTATCCTCATCGTCGCTCAAGGAATCAACGAGGGCGTTCACCTGCCACTGCTGGATACCATTCCCTAACGCAGCTCCGACAGACGCAGACGACACAGCAGATCCACCCGAGGCTACCGAGTCCCGAGAACGGATCCCCAACGAGGAAACGCTGTCCACCGAGCGGCGTATGAACTCGAAATCCCGCCTTAGAGGCAGTCGACGCGGGGGCTTGCGCAGACCTGGTGGTACGGGTGGATTCTCACCATGCGCCTCGGAAGAGGTATCTGAGAGATCTAGGTCGTCGATGGAGACGACATCGAAACGCCATGGTGGCTGGGCCTGCACTTGGGCGACGAGGGGGTTGATCAGCGATCGTGAGGATAGGATTGAGCCGAAGGAGTCTGTTGAGTGTGTGCGCGTGGACGCACGGGAGACGGACGATATAGATAGGCGCTTCTCTTGTGTAGACTGGCGTCTCTCCTGCGTAGATTGGCGTTTTTCCTGCGTAGACTGATGCTTCTCCTGCATCGATTGGCGTTTCTCCTGTATCGACACGTACTTATCGCCCAAAGAACCCACCGTCACATTATCCCGCTCCTCCTCCTCCTCCACCTCCGTAACAACCCGTAATTGCGTCTGCGACGAGGGTAGGTCCAACTTCGCCTCAAGTCCTTTGACCCCACTCCCCACCGCACTCTGATTCTGCCTCCCAAGCACAGGACACGCGCCCCCATCCAACACCTTCCCCTTACACCCACCCACACCCACCGGCTCAATCATCTTTAAGTACTGCTCGACACCGCCCCTAACCATCAACAAATCCCCCGTCGCATTCAACTCCAAATCAAACGCCGAAACATTTGCAGGAACCGCAAGGCCCGTATCCACAGTCTGCCTCGAGTTCAACACTCTTTTCCATCTTCCCAAACGCCCGATCGTCTTCACGAATGCGCGAGAGATCGCACTCTGGGGGAACACAATGGGAGGGGGGGAGCTGTTCGTAGGGGTGGTATCGCTTGTGTTGGAAGACGCTGCTGAGATAGAAGCTCGACTCTGCTGGAGTATGTTCATCTGCAACGGTTGTTGTATAATTGCAGCAGCCCTAGGCGGAGAAGACACGCTGCCGGAATTGAATGAAAACGCATTGCTGTTGTCGCCATGGAAGATAGATTGGGGATGTGCGGGTGATTCGTCGGGTGCGAAATCAAGGTCTACGTCAGAGTCGTCTTGGTGTTTGGAGGATATGGCTTCTGCGAATTTTTCGCCTAGAACATGCGTGGGTCGGGGTTTAGTGGGAATGTTTAGGCTTTGGCGGGCGGAAACGGAGCCGGAGCGGTGTCTGCGGGTATGGACTTCTTTGCAGTCTTTGACGACTTTGATAAGTTTCCTTACGATGTTCTGCGTATCATACTTGAGCTGAGAAACCCATAAAAAAGGAAAAACTCACCAGACCATCTTGATGTTTCTTCAAAATAGGATCCTTCACAAGGGTATTTAACCAACTCGCCAACAAAAGCCTCAACTCCCGATTCGGCAAAAAATCCATGACAAAGAACGTCAAAAGCCAGTATCTGATAGCTACGAACGTCCGCACGCGCACGATTTTTCGCACCATATCGTCTTTACCACTTAGCGCCCAGTGAAAACGACAGATGAGGAGGTGGCAGAGGTCGACAGCAGATATGTATGTTCGGTAGGTGAGGAAGAAGTTGAGTAGTTCGTCGTAGTCGAGATCGCTTGTTAGCTGGGCAATCCATCGTTCAATCGTCGCTGCGATGAGCACCTTGGTGGTTATGCCTTCCCCATCGATACGTACTATAGGCACATCTGTGAGTCCACGGCCCCTGCGAGAATTAGAAGGAGAAGACATTCCACCGCGGCTGCTCTGCGACACCGAGACATCATCACTATCCAAATCAGAAGAGACGTGTATTTCCCCCCAGAGGACGAACCGGGGGTCATTACGCGGTGCAGCGCTATCATCTGCGCGAAGAGATATTTTGATAGTCGTCTCCCCTACAGAATCAGAAAACAGTCTATCCAGCTGTGGAAGACCGCGGTAAGTCTGGAGAACATCGAACACCTCTGTTGAATATCGAGAATGCATGCTCGTTTCTGGGAGTGGGATGAGTTCTGGGTCGGGTGGGACGATGCCTGGGGGTGGGGAGGGGGAATAATCTTGGATGAGGTCGGGTGAGACACGGAGGGGGAGGATGGAATCCGGGGTATCTGCTCGTTGTATGATATCTCCTGCGCGCGCAGTCAGACCGGACTCGAACGACTGCATCTCCCGTAGCGCGCGCGGCATGGGTAAAAAACCATTAGAAGACGGTCTAGTAGGCGATTCGAAAGTAGCGTTGAGTCCAAATGGATGTGGGATGAGACCTGGTAACGCGTTGTTTTCGAACCCAGAGCTCGAGAATGGAGAGGAGGGTACGGAGCCGTTTGGCCATTGCATGACTTCTGCAAAAATGTCTGCGGTTGGCTGTTTTGGCGGATCGGGGAAAAGCGCAGTTGGCTGTGAACGTGGCATATCCGCACCAGTAACGCTGTGTGAATGAGTCCTACCAGTGGGAGTGTGTTGCATGGATGAGCCTGTAGCAGACGCGCTGGCAGCCATGCCGAACATGTCTGGAATAGAGCGGGTCCTTCGTACTAACTTACGCGGCTGCGTGGTGGTAGAGCTGGACTGAGATTCCTGGGCGGTGGACCTGGCTCTATTCTGGGTGAGGAAACTCATGCGGGAACGGGCTTTGGAGGAACGAGTACGAGAGGCATCAGCGGACATGGACACCTTGTGAGTCATTTGCTCTGCTTCCTCTGCAGCAGCAGCGGGAGCGACCGCATCACGACGACTTTAAATAAGTAAGTAACGAAATTAGCTGTGCATAGTGGCGATGATACGGCAGGAACCGCACCTGACACGATACATCTGCTTTCCGTGCTGATTGACAAAGGCGGGTGATGGCGTATGGAGAACGGACATCTTTGCCTACGCCGAAAGATTGGTCATAGCGCATCTTTAGTTCTCTGGCAGCTGAACCAGATGAAGTCTCGACGAAGCTGCCATCAGCTGATGAAAGATGAGAGACACGCAAGACCAGCAACAAAGAAAGAACACACGAGCTATTGAAATGTCTGCGGAAGCTACTTCCGGTGGGAGCGAGTTCCATTCTGTATCTGATGCACGGGAGAATGAGAACGAAGACTGTGAATTGTTTAAAGAAGGAGCGGGAATTGGGAGCAAGAGATTTGCTGGTGCGAGTTCGTCTGTAGGTGTCTCTGAGTCAGTTGTCGGCATCGCACTAGTCATCGCCGAGGTCGTATTCAGCGCCGCCCTCCCTGTCGTAGTCGTCGTGATCGTCGTGGTCGGTGTCGTAGTCGCCGTCTGTCAGTAACTAGTAAGACATGGGTGGCATCGAAGAAACAAAAGCAGAGTGACACCGCATGCAAACCACGTGCTTTACCCCGCATCATCCTCTTCCACGATGTCGATAGTCACAATCCGCGTGCGTCCAATTCATTACAAAAAAAATCACTGAAAATCATCAATAAAACCGTAGATAGAATGTCGAGTTCTTTAACAATCCAGCAAGATTCTTGGATCCTTATCACTTTCGGGTCACTTTTGAGTGCATAGCGCCTCTCAAAGACGGTCAGCACAATGTTCATTATTTTGCGGTTTTCACCTGCTAACTTTCAAATGCAGATTTAGAATGGAAGCTCATCTATGTATCATCACCAGGGAATGAAGAACTAGACCAAGAACTAGACGACTGCCTCGTAGGTCCAGTCCCAGTCGGCGTAAACTCTTTCGAGTTCGAGGGCCTGGCTCCTGATCCTGCAAAAATACCAACAGAGGACGTCCTGGGCGTCGCTGCTCTTATCCTCACAGGCTCTTATCGTGACCAAGAGTTTGTACGCGTTGGATACTATCAGAATACGGAGTACGATAACGAGGACATGAAAGCTACTCCTCCGGAGAAAATTCAGTTTGATAGACTCGTACGCGATATAAGCACAAAACTACGCGTCACCCGCTTTCAAATCAAGTGGTTCGTCTTATTTTTCATGTTTGTGATCTGAATCTCATCCACTCAAAGGGACGTCGTACCACAATCACAAGGTCACGCCGCTGCAGGCGCTGCAGCATCAGCCGCGGTTCCCTCTGCAAACGACCTAGATGGTGATGATGCGAATCATAGTACTTAGATTCACTGTATTCTTGCATTATACCTATCGTTTATCGAACCTATGCCAACGGCTTACTCCTGTACAAAAGCACATACGCAGACGCGTCCTCCCCTCCTCCATCAATTGTCCCCAGCTTCTCCCTGGGAAACACCGACACCTTGTCATCATCAAATTTGTACCAATCTTCGTCATCCTCGTCAAACGCAGGTCCATCACCCGACTTTGCATGAAATACACTCTTCTTCACGAAACCGATATAATGCCCCGCATCAGCGTCTGCTCCCTTGTGCGTAACGATGCCTGTCTAAATTTTAGTTTGCCCCAAAAGCCAAAGAACAACGACACCCACCAACAAGATCATACAGCCCAGTCACGCTGCACCCATAATCATTCTTCAGGTCGGCATCAGCCAATGCCTCCAGCTCCTGCAGCTCCCGCGCACGATACACGCTCTCCTCCTCCAGGTCCCCCGGCACTTCACTCGCAGGCGCCATCTCAACATCTGTATTCTCCTCTGCAGGCCTAGACGATGACGATGCCTCCTGCGCCACCTTCGTCCGCTTACGCACCTTCCGTCGCTCGGCACGCTCTTTCTCAATAGACTTTAGCCGGCTGGACACCGGCGTGAGCTTTGATTTCAGCTCATCGGTCACTACTTCCAGCGCATCAAACTCTGACGCAAACTTCACTTTGCGCTGGGGGATCGTGAGACGTGAGGCAGAACTAGAAACAATTTATGCTCACCATGATCTTGGCCTTCTTTCCGATATCGCGTCTCCATGCAAAACGAACCATGTGCACCGTCAGGTAACTCGGTAGGCGCGAGAGACGCGACGTCTGGCTGTAAACTGCTTGACGCCCAAGTGAAGGAGAGTTCTTTTCCAATTGAGAGTTCATTGCCTGTGTGCGCGTAAGCAAAGACCAACCCGAGTACAAAAAACGCGCATACATCCTTGATACCAGTATGCATATAATTTGTTGTCGCTGAAATATTGCACTCGATTTTCAGTACCTTTTCTATCGTGACGGTGCTAGGCTCTTGAGGCGCTTCGTCGCATTTCAATCTGTCCAAATCAGTCAGCTGACACCGAGCAAAAAAGGGAAAAAAAATCCAAATCACTCTCTGCGCATCTCCGCCATCATAAACTGATCGACAAATCTCCTTCCCCCTGCTATTGTATTACCAGTAGCATCGATCCCAGGAACCTCTTTCAAGCCGTTCGCGAGCTGCGTCCAACACTCTTCAGCATCTATACCTCAAGTCAACAACCTAACAAAAAAAGATAGCAGAAAAACACTCGCCTTGCTGTGCGTACCCCCCTAACATTCCATTCTTGCCCGATCTATCAATCTCCCCGAACTGAGGCACAGCCTGACGCAACACGGTCAAAAACGTGGTAGGGATATATCCCTCCGTCGTACGAGACATGTTGCTGTACAAGTCTCTCAGCGCACGAGGGAGGACGTCCAAATGCGGTGACCTATCAGACGTGGGATTGAGGTCACGAACCACGCATGTAAGAAGTAACAGCATACGTTGAGAGAGCTGTTTGAAGTTCTGGTATCGCACGCATCGCTTGTACGGTGGCGTTCATGTAGCAGGTATTTCCGAGACTAGGCATATAATTGTCACTTCACAGTACGCTGTGAATCGTTGTAGTACCCACTTTTTCAATCCAACTGGCAAAGAGAGCTGCAAGAACAAAAACATGAGTAACCCACACGAGCGCAAATAAAACAAACATACGGCTTCTGCGATCTCCGACTCGTCCATATCTGCACAGGAACGATCACCACAACCCTTAGATCCTTAGATCACATGGATACAGAGACACTCACCCTCAAGAAAAACGATCGGTTTTTCAGGTGGCTTCGGGAGCTCGCCCGCAGCGCCAATAACCATGAACGTTTGTCCCTAACCATACATTCAATACACACTTTCTACAAAACAAAACAAAAGCGCAGTCACCGCTTTAGGAGCCACCTTCTTCCAATCCGTATCATCCTACATAAATTAATCATCTATCAAAACGCCTACACAACACGAAAAGCACGCACCTTGAGCACACCGCCCTTGATCATAACTTTCATACGCTCCGGCGGCACGCCCGTGACCTGATAAATCGCATCTTTGAACACGGCAGGTGGAAGTGATGTGTCTAGGTCAACATCGAGAGTTTTTCCTGCGTGTTTGACGTGTACTTGTAGTGGGGCCATTGACTTGGATGAGTTGCAGGTCTGCGTAATCGCAGGTAATCAGAGTCCAGACTGACGCGTTCAAGGGGTAGATGGGAATCGATTATCTAATGATGGGGACGTGTCTGTGACGTCACGCTGAACACGTTCCACAGCAAGCAATGCCGCACCACCCAGCTTTAAAAAGCTCCTCAACGTCGACTTTAACCTTTAACTTCAACGACGACCTCGACAACGACAACGACGTTAAGCACGATGACAATCTAGTATGTATTGAACAAACCAAGTTCGACAAGCTCTAATGGTGTCGTAGTTACTCGCTCACATTCCTGCTCCTAGCAGCAGAAGTAAGTCTCGCAGCACTCTGACTTCAATTCATGATTCATAATGCGCCCAAACTAGATGATAACATTCTGCCTGCTCGTATCCCCACTCCCTTTTACAGTCCGCAAAAAACTTTTCCGTTTCCTCTCTGAAAGCCCCATCATCGCCAAAGTCGCGTATGGGCTCAAGATTTCCTTCATGTTAGTACTTCAATCGTTCATATCTCGTTCACTTACTAACATCATGTCACCCACGCATAGCTTCGTAGGCATTCTCTTCCTAGACGCCCTCCAACGCATGTTCCGCGTAACAGCCGAAACCGAAATGGCAAAAACAGGCAGCCAGGGCATGCACGACGTACGAACCGAGACCAATTTCGCCGCTCGCAAGTTCTAGTGCGCTCCCCATCCTCTATCATAGCGCATTATTCAATCTAATGTGTTGTATTTTCTCATCAGCGCCCAACGAAACACTTACCTAACTGGTTTCTGCCTCTTCCTCTCTCTGGTCCTTACCCGCACGTTCTCCATCATCTTGGACCTCATTCACACGCAGGAGGAATATGCGAAATTGAAGAAAGTTGTGAGTATCCTCCATTTAGGGTAGGCCCCTGCTTATATATTGCCGGTTTTGCAGGCTGGTGCTGGTGCCAAGGGTGACCAATCCAAACAAATCGAAGAACTTAAGAAGAAGTTAGCCGCGAGCGAAGCAAAGGACCGTGACTTTGGTGCGTTTATCGCTTTTTATCGATGTTTTGTTTCTAAACTGGAGGTGCGTCCCTCAGCAAACCTCAAAAAGCAGGCCGCACAACAGGCTGCTGAATTTGATCGCCTTGCGAGTAAGTATAACGAGGCGATTGGAGGTGTTTCGGACAAGAAATCAGACTAGAGGTTCTGTGTAATTGTCATGTGTGCTGGCTTTCATGTTCTTGGTTCTTGATGATCAGTCACCCATCTTTACCGCGGCCTTCCCGCTCATACTAGTATATGCCGCGTTATTTCTCGGAGCACCGGTAGAACCAAATGACAATAGCCATTGAATGTATATTGAGTAGCGACATGCATTTGAAGGGTGCAGTATGCCTTCTCTAAGAGCTTGCCAGATGCCGACCTAGGCCTACTGTATGAGACATCCGAGTCCCGACTCATTCCTTTGTTTCTAGGGCACATCGCTGTGCAATGTCCCTTAAATTAAACTCTGATCATCCCGGTCATACGTATTTAGGCTCGGAACGAGGTGGTGCCAAACCTGGTAGAACGGCATCAGCGAGGGACGGCCAGCGAAATGTAGTATGACGTTTAGCTTAATGATTCTGTTGACCTCGATGTGTCTGACCATTTCTCACCGGCATTGTGTTCGACCTTTTTTCACCTTCCGTTGCACCATATACTGCATCCAAGATGGTACCCTTACCCTCTTTCCTTAGATTTTGCTCTTCAACAAACTGGAAGAGTGGATGAGCGTCTAGATGGGCAAATAGTGCAGTTCTAGAAAGCGCTTGTACTGGAGCTTTCTCCTCTTCCCTAGGACGTCCGATTTGGGGATTAGCTTGTCTGTACACGAGACGATATATGATACGATATATGATACGATATCGAGACCGATACGATACAACATTCTAGGGATCATATGCATACTGTTCATGTAGAAATGTTGTCAATGTATGAAATGAAAATGTCCCATTCTTCGCAGCTACAGTATCTCCAGCGTCCTGCCAGTGACGTCCATCATGTCATCAAAAGAAACCGTATCCCTGACTTGTGCGATGATATTGTTATCTGAAGCGATTCTTTTATACCCCCACCATGCTGCTGCACTAGCAAAAATGCGCCAAAAGGACGACCAAGTCGAATGAGTAACCTCAACCCTCTGGTAACCAGCTCATCATCACCAGGCTCATCGGGCCAATCGTCCGTGCCCTGCGACTTGTCTGTAAAGTCGACCAACTCGAGATCATACCGATTCCATGGACGGATGAGCAAGAATGTCTGCCGAGTACGCCTTGCAGGCGAGAATTGAATTGAACAAGCTTGTTGGAGTAGGGGACCCCGGGGGTAGGAGCCGAGTGGCAGCCGAGTAGCACCGTAGTTGAGCGAGCCATTCAGTGTCCTTCGGGCTTTGTCGTAGCGTAGTGCTCTTCACCACTTCTTGCCTTGCTCGCGACACGCAGGCACACAGTCGCGGATACACCGCTCCATTGTCTTCCGTTGTGACCAGCAGGTCAGCCCCATCTGCCTTGACTTCATATGGGAAACATTTGTCCCCGTCTCCACCAGGCCTCCGCCTGACTCCTGTGAGAGGAAATGTGATGCATGGCAATTGCAGTCTGGCGTTGACAAAACGAGGAACGCCGAGGTTCTCAAGAGTGGTATACAGTTTCGAAGCCGACTCTACAGCTACAATATTGTTTCGCAGCGTAGAGACCGATATCTGCATGTCGTGTTCAGATAGAGATACGTCCCTGCGCTGAATGTCGTGCAGTAGTGGCTCCATGGTTTCCCACCTATGAGATAACATGACCTAACTGAAGTACTTGGCGACCGCTTCTTTGATGGGCTCCGTTTGGAGGGGCGCATGCATGTCCGATGAATGCAAAAGCTCTTTGTACTCTGTACTCTTCGTGAATGCGTTAATCTGCGCATCTCGATCGCACAAACGACCAGTAGAGGTGTCGATTAGACGAAGTGGAGCGTTTTCCAGTTGGGTGCAAATGGCTCGTCGAATAGTATCCTCTACTTCAGATGGACTGACGTATTGCTGGCGTAGTTCTGCAAAAAAAATGCAATTCATCTTCAAGTCGGCGCTTGAGTTGTTTGGGGCTTACGTCGCATCTGTGGGTCGGGTGTATCATCCAACTTGGAGAGCATGATTGTGAAGGCCTTGAATGCATCATCATAGCGCTGTGCTCCACGAAGAGCTGCATGCTTCAGTTCGTACCCGATATAAGATGAAGGGTTGAGCTCAATGACCTACGAACATCATCACAAATATTTAAACAACGACGATTATCGTCCGTACCTTGTTTGCGTCCGAAAGGGCCGCCGCATAGAGCTTTTGACCCAACTTCACCTTACTGCGGTGCGCAAAGTAGGAATCATATGAGGAATCCCTCCCAAATGCTGCGGAGAGTGTGTCCTCGATGGACCAGAGCCGAATATTCCCATCAAGGCCTCCACCCGCTAGTAGTTCTCCGCTGGGAGAAATTGCGACGTAGAAACACCATGCGGTGCATTCAAGTGCCTGTCCGATCTGCTGATGTGACTTTGTACTCCACAGGCGCACAGTCTTGTCGACCGAGGCAGTTGCAATGAAGGAGCCATCAGAAGAGATGGAAAGTGACATGATGCCGGAAGTATGACCAGTGCAGGGTTCACCGATCTGGGTCCTATTCGACGAGTCCCAAAACTTGACTGTTTTGTCTCGTGACGCAGAGACAATTTGCTGACCGTCAGGCGACCACACGATGCATTGAACCCAAGAGTCGTCGTGAGCATTGATGTCGAACAGAAGCTCGGCATTATCGCAGCTCCAAACCCGAATGTTGCGCCATGTTCCGAATACTAACTTCAGCCCATCTGGGCTGAAGGCGACACAATTCACCGTACCCTGATTACCCTTGACGAGTGTTGAGAGAACAGCGCCAGTCTCCGCATCCCATATAATAACCATTCCATCAAGTGACCCGCTTGCAAGTCTCTTGCCATCTGGAGAGAAGCACAGTGTTCTCACCGTATCTTTATGCTTCAGTGGACCGAGTACTTTCTGCTCGTCGACGTCCCAGACCATGATGTCATCGGCTGCACTGCTCGCAACTCGCCTATCATCTGGTGATACAGCAACTGGACTCGCGGACTCAGGGCTCCAGTGTCCTCCGAATGGCCCTCCTACCAATGTTCCTTTCTCTACATCCCAAATGCACACAATGTGGCTCGAATCAGTGACAACAATCCGTTGACTGTCTTTGAAGAACGCGACTGCCGACACCGTCCTCGTGTTCCCTGATATCGTCCGCGCGAGCGTTGGCTGGGTTATCTGCGCCGGGGTCGCGCGCCTTCTCGCGGTAAGGTATGCTTTTTTTGCTCTATCAAGCAATCCTGGCATGTCACTAGACAGGAAGATGGACGGTCAGTACTTCAGTGGCGTTTGGAGTCAACGAGGAGCGTACTATGTGCTGCTGTCGTAAATCTTATGTGTCGTGAGGGGAGTTGGATTGCTGCCCATGGGCCATAACCCAATTCATGTATGTAGGCTCTATATATCGTTGGCCCATATACCACGTCCACGTTGCTATAGCGTGGATCTCATTTCGCTCCCGGTTACCGGTACCATCAGTGCCTGTAGCGGACCGAGTACTTTCTGCTCGTTGACGTCACAGATCATGATGTCATTAGCTACACTGTTTGCAACTCGCCTGTCACAATCTAGTGATCCCTGACACCCACTTTATAGTGGGTAGTAGAGGATTCTGTAGAAAATAAATGACATGCCGTCTGTCATTTCATGCGTGGAAAATTCTTTCCGATGACCGATTATCAAGCCGATGGTCATATGATCCTCGGTGCTGGTCATACACAGCACGATGATGTGCGCCGCCTTTATATGTGATTCTTTTATGCCATCGCAATTGTGTTACTCCTCGATATGTCGAAATATCACCTCGCTTGCAAGCTCGTCCACACGCACAAACAACGGCAAACCCGAACTCTCCACTGCTCAAGTAGTAGTAATCAAAGCAGCGATCGCAAACTGTTCGGCAATAAGTGGGACTGAGTAATTAGCAGGCACTGAAGCATGCAGAATCCATATCAACCGCAACGTTCGTAGAATCGTGTTCATGTTCAGGTTACTCCAAACGGGGGACTCTGACAAGCACCATCATCAAAAAAATGCAGAGAATCATTTCTAATATGTACTTTTGTCATAAGACAACAATAGATGCACGGCGACGTAATTAGTCAAGCGAATTAGGTATAAAGCACATGTACTTCGAGCATAATTAGTCGAATAGATACTTGCGAAAGACAGATATAATCATAATACGCCACTCTAATTTTTTACAGGCCACGAGCTTCGAGACGACCGCGGAAGATCTTCTGGAACTGTGGGACGTGGTCAAAGTCCATGAGCGTGTAGTGTTGCCCAGGCACGTCAGTATACGATGGCTCGCCGCGGCTGAAGCCAGACCATGGCTTGAGCTGGTTGTTGAGCCAGTCTGATTTGCTGCCGCGGAGAGGAATGGCGTAGAAAACGTCGACTGCGGCTGAAAAACCCAACATATGAGCAAGCGATAACGAAGTCAGAGAAGGAATGACATACAAACTGAGCCTGATGGGTTGTAGTCTTTTCCGCACTCGATCAGGGACCCGGCGATGTCCACCCAGTGGTCGAGCTTCTCAGCCGTCAACTGGAGCTCGACGAGACGTTCAGGGGGAGACAGCTTCCACACCACCTCGAGCTGCTCCTTCCTCGTCATCGGTCTTAGAGCAGGCGCAAGATCATTAGCATCATGCTTCGACACGAGGCCGAGGAAGTACGACAAGTTGAGCATCCCGCCTGTCCAGTCGATCTCGTGCATGCGGTCGGCGATATGAGGAGGGATGTTGATGAGACCGACGAACTTGACTTCGTCGCCCATGGCCTCGAGTCGCTTGGCAACTTCAAACGCGACAACACCGCCGTAACTGTAACCCGCGATGGCGTATGGTCCCGTTGCCTGGGTCTTCTTGACTGCTGCAGCATAGCACGACACCATCTCGTCCATGGAGGTGAAGAAGGGGTGGCCGGGCTCAAAGCCACGAGCGCGGAGAGCGTAGAAGGGACGCTCGTTCTGGAAGTATTTGGCGAGGTTGACGAAGATAAGAACCTCTCCAACACCAGGGTGAACGAAGAAGATTGGCGTTTTATTTCCGGTCAGCTGGAGGGGAACGATGGGATCGTACTCCTCAGTCTGGCTGTCCTTAGAGAGCAGGGCGTTAACATAGCTGGCGAGGCTCGAGATGACGGGGTGCTTGAGGATTTGGATGGTGGGGATTTCAGGCAAGCCGAAATGTGCTTCTCCCTCGCGCTTGAGCCTGGAGATGATATGTATTAGTGAGGGTCATTTCAGGGCGGGACGGATATACTGACCTGATGACATCAATAGAAGTACCGCCGAGTTCGAAGAAGTTGTCGCTCGCCGACATCTCGCCAACCGCGAGGTTGAAGATGCCAGCATATATCTTGGCAAGTGCCTTCTCCGTCTCGGTGGACGGGGCAACGAACGTAGCGCCGCGTGCCTCGCTAAGAAGCTCTTCGGAGCGGGCAATGTGTTGAGCAAGCTGGCCTTGCTTGAAGAGACTGATCAGACGTGCACGAGACAGTTTACCCAGAGTGGTCTTCTCCATCTGGTTCACAGGGATGGGAACGACGAACTGAGGCGGCAGGGTGATCATCTTCACACAGATATCCCGAAGGGCCCTGTGTGTGGCAAAGAGCTTTGTGGAAGCGTCTGCTCCATCGAGGTCGAAGGTTGGTGAGTAAAAAATGATGAACCCTTCGGTCTCCTGCCCAGGAGCACGGTAGGGAGCTGCAGCGAGGAACGAGTGTGTAACTCCTTCCACGGTCTGGAGGTGGGTCTCAAGCTCAGGGATACCATACGACACACCATGGACGATGACGGTGTCCTTGATACGACCACTAAGGCGCATGACACCATTCTCGATAATGCCAACATCGCCGGTGCGGTACCAGCCTCCCTCGACGAAGCTGGAGGACGTAGCATCGGCGTTGTTGTAGTAGCGTACGAAAACCATCGGTCCGCGAACCTGAAGCTCGCCGCTCTCTCCGTCGGGGCGCAGGGTGGCGCCATCTGCGGGGTCAACGATGCGCATCTCGCAACCATTGATGGGTCGCCCCAGATCAAGGAACTCGTGAGCAGGCTCGGTTGCGAGGACATCCACAGGATCGTAAATGCATCCAGCGCTGCAAAAACCCCATCAGTTTATATACCCATGTAACTTAATGAGCCTTACCAAGTTTCTGTCATTCCAAACCCAGCAGAGATGACGAACGATACAGCGGAAGGATTCTTGCTAAGCTGTTTCATAGTAGCAGCGAACGCTTGGGCAGTCTTTGAAACAACAGCTTCACCACCGCTGTTGATCCGCTTGATAGAGGACAAGTCGAAGTGTCCGAAGAGGTCAGTGCGCTTCTCCAGATCACGCGTAAGCTTGGAGAGCAAGAAGTTCGGGGCGAAAGCCAGTTCAATCGACTAACAATTGAATAGTGAGAAAAGCGTGAGGCTGTGATTTCATGTAGACATACCTTTTCATCGATTAGACGGAGTAGCCGAAGGGGATCAGCAAGGATAGCAGATGCGTGGACGTGGAGTTGCGAAGCGCCAAAGAGCAGAGGGGTGATGTGCATTTCCAACGATCCTGCGACGTGATCAAATCCAACCCCTGAACATCATGATTAATTTCAAACAGTTTATTTAAACCACATGCGCCTTACAGTTCAAGACTCGAGATTCGGAAGTCAGGCCGTAGCTTTGCCCCTTGGCACGGCATGCAGCCAGGATCGTGCGGTGCGTGTGCACGACCGCCTTCGAGAATCCAGTTGACCCTGAGGTCAGGAACAAGATCGCCTCGTCGTCTGGCTTAGCCTCGTACGCAACCCAGTCAGCTGAGACTGTAAATATCTCCGCCGATGCTTTTAATTCGGAGAGTAGGTGAACCTCCAGACCAGAAATGGTGCTGATCTGCTCAGCCCCGAGG